CAGTTGTTCTTGTATTGAGGAACTGAAGGAAGGAACACTTTCACTCCCTTTTGGAGTTCCTGCAGCTGTTTAGAGCTCATGCAGGAGAGAAGCACAGAGAGGCCTTTGATATTATAACATGATTCCATAATGAAAAAAGTATCATATAACAATGAATAATAAAAGAGCTTATATGAGAGTTACATATATTTTCACAACCCATTAGTGAGCTAGAATTATGGCTCAGTTCAAAGTATATTCATTAACTCAGGATCTATGATATACTTAACTAACCTACACCAGTAATCTACATAACCCATCAATGGTTGACAAGACTCATTTAACAGGAAGTGTCTAAGGTTTATGAAAGGTCCGAACACCTTTATGTAAAAACAGCAAGTAAAATCATTATGGCCAGAAATCCCAACTGAGAAAAGAGTCTGCTTATGGCAGGAAACCAAGAAACAAAAACAAAATCACAAGTCAGGATGTCCTTAATTGTTTAAAGATCAAGCGACTTAAAGTCAAAAACGTGTAAACGCTAATTACAGAAAAGGTTAACATAGTACTCTAAATGTTATAATCCCTGCATTATCAGCCAAATTATAAGGTTGTCCGTTTTCAAGATCAAATATAAAGAAATTTAAAATAGGCTTAAAATATCTAACCAAGTCAATAACAATCCTCTAACACCAGTGTCATCATGCTATATGAAAAACAGTGGCAGCTTCTCATTCCTGAGATTACCACAAATCCATCGATACCAAGTTTGTCCTGGTCCATGACTGGGAAGGAGCTGAAATATCCACACAGAGTGAACCCGTTTTTACTGCGAGGTCCGCGAATTAATTGGTGGCAGCCGCCCAAGATAATAATTCTGATTAATATATATATATTAATTAGTGTTTTCACTGATAACACTTATTAATTTATATTTGATCTTGATGGTGAAACTAAAGGCGTTTAACACTGAACACCTAACATGAATGCAGCTTCTGAGAGCTAGCTAATATCAGCTAAAACTGTGTTCTGCTGCTCACCTTCCTTCTGTTCAATTAACTTTTCCTCCTTCCCCTTCTTTTCTTTTCTGGAAGCCAGATTTCCCTTTCTTGGGAAAAGACTTGACTGACTCTCCTGCCTCCAGCTCTGGCTGTCGGCATCTGCAATGTCTCATTAGCTGTACATGCGGCCGTGCAGCCCCTGGCCGCTGGTGCGGACTAAACCACTTTGCACATTTTTAAGGGGTGATAGATGCCTCAGAGATTATTCAGTTATTATTTTTAAGGCGAAATTCTGTTTCTTAACCTCTTTATCCAGGTAAAGGGAAGTTTATTAAGACATTAAGTAAGTTGGGGGGAAAAAACAACAACAATAAAACATTTTTATTCAAAGCTGTCTCAGGGCCCCTCCCTGCAGTGGGCCCTGGGTAAACGGTACCCTTTCCCCCCCAGTCCAACGCCCCTGTCAGCAGGTGACAGGCTCCTGCGCTGGGGGGGGGGGGGGGGGGCAACGCGCTGTGCCAGTGCGTCGGTACTGACACACGATTGTTCATGTCGGTTCATTTCCTTTAATGTTTTCTGTCTTTTATTTGCGCCTGATGTGTTTCGCTGCTGTGGAGCGGGGCGCATCACCTTGTCCTCCGATGCACTGAAGGAAATGAACGATTGCGTGTTAAATAATTTGGCAACACCTGATTGTTACTGTGGCCGTGCTCAGGAGGCAGATCCAACCGCAAAAACAGCGGAGTGCTCCCTGCTTGGCGGCCGCATCAGTGATCAGTGCATCGGAGGACAAGGTGTGCCCCGCTGCACAGCAGCGAAACACATCAGGTGCAAATAAAAGACAGAAAACATCAAAGGAAATGAACCAACATGAACGATTGCGTGTTAAATAATTTGGCAACACCTGATTGTTACTGTGGCCGTGCTCAGGAGGCAGATCCAACCGCAAAAACAGCGGAGCGCTCCCTGCTTGGCGGCCGCATCAGTGATCAGTGCATCGGAGGACAAGGTGATGCGCCCCGCTCCACAGCAGCGAAACACATCAGGCGCAAATAAAAGACAGAAAACATCAAAGGAAATGAACCGACATGAACGATCGCGTGTCAGTACCGACGCACTGTCACAGCGCATTGCCCCCCCCCCCCCCCCCCCCAGCGCAGGAGCTTGTCACCTGCTGACAGCAGGCTGCTGTCTTTTCCGTGGACTGCATCTTGCCGGTCATTATCACGTGACAGCGACTAGTCGACGACAGGCAAAAAAAGTCACTATAGTGAAGTCGACTAGTTCATACAACCCCTGCTACTGCTCCCCAGAGTGTTCTGCAGCATAATCAGCACGTTCTCTTTGAACTTGATATCAAATTTTCGCCTCTTCTTCGTCTCTGCACGGTTAAAGTTACCCTCGCGGTCTATCACTGGCAAATCAAAAGTGAGACGATGACACAACCGCCCCCGTACTTGCTTGTTACCACATTCCACCCGGCCACAATAAGAGACCGGCCATTATTCACCTCCGCCGACTCCGACACCGGCCAAAATTGGAGACCCGGCCTTTAATTGAATACCGGCCTGTATTGGAGGATTTACGGTAGATGATATTCGATTTTGTGATGATAAATGCAATAATAAGCTTCTAAGATCGTCATTAAGGTATCTTTTTTATCCAAATTTACTTAGAACTAATTACATATTAAAAGATTTCCAAAGGGAAGAAATTGAAAAAATAAGAAGTGATTATATCACCTTCCCTATCCCTCCTAAAGGGAAAGAAGTCCAATTTAAATTTTTGAATAAAATTTACCCAACAAATAGACTCCTTGGGAATAGATTCAATATAGAAGCTGGTAATTGTGTATTGTGTGAAACAGAAGAGGAGGACTTAGACCATCTATTTTTTGTGCAATTTTATACAAATATTTTGGTTAGATTTTCATGCCTGGCTTTGTTCTAGTGGGATTCAAATTGCCCCATTTACCTTAAATAGGATAATGTTTGGAGTGTTTTTGAAAAAAAAGAAAGTTAATTATGGTGTTAATGTGTTATTAATTTTGTGCAAACAATTTATACATAAATGTCGATTTTTAAGACCAAACCAACACTCGCCTATTGGAAAAACGACTTAAAAGTATTAGTTAAATCTTTAAATTTAGTTAAAAAGAAAAAGGCTGATTTTTTTTATTTCCTTGTAGAAGATTTTGAGTTAGTAAGTTAATAATCTGTTAATGATGTGACCCCATCTTTAGATTTTCTTTTTTTTTCATATACGTGAAAATGTTTAATATGTAAGTAATGATTATCTTTTGAACATATAATGTAAGGTGCATTTTGTTTGTACAGGTGCTGGCCAGTAAATTAGAATATCATCAAAAGGTTGAAAATATTTCAGTAATTCCATTCAAAACGTGAAACTTGTACATTATATTCATGCAATGCACACAGACCAATGTATTTCCAATGTTCATTACATTTAAATTTGATATTTATAGGTGACAACCAATGAAAACATCAAATCTGGTATCTCAGAAAATTAGAATATTCTAAAGGCCAATGAAAAAATGTTTGTTTCTCTAATGTTGGCCAACTGAAAAGAATGAACATGAAAAGAATGTGCATGTATAGCACTCAATACTTAGTCGGGGCTCCTTTTGCCTCAATAACTGCAGTAATGCGGCGTGGCATGGACTCGATCAGTCTGTGGCACTGCTCAGGTGTTATGAGAGCCCAGGTTGCTCTGATAGTCGTCTTCAGCTCCTCTGCATTGTTGGGTCTAGCGTATTGCATCCTCCGCTTCACAATACCCCATAGATTTTCTATGGGGTTAAGGTCAGGCGAGTTTGCTGGCCAATCAAGGACAGGGATACCATGGTCCTTGAACCAGGTGCCGGTGGTTTTGGCACTGTGTGCAGGTGCCAAGTCCTGTTGAAAGGTGAAGTCTGCATCCCCATAAAGTTGGTCAGCAGCAGGAAGCATGAAGTGCTCTAAAACTTCCTGGTAGACGGCTGCATTGACCCTGGACCTCAGGAAACAGAGTGGGCCAACACCGGCAGATGACATGGCACCCCACACCATCACTGACGGTGGAAACTTTACACTGGACCTCATGCAACGTGGATTCTGTGCTTCTCCGCTCTTCCTCCAGACTCTGGGTCCTTGATTTCCAAAGGAAATGCAGAACTTGCTTTCATCAGAAAACATAACTTTGGACCACTCAGCATCAGTCCAGTCCTTTTTGTCCTTGGCCCAGGCGAGACGCTTCTTGCGCTGTTTCTTGTTCAAGAGTGGCTTGACACACGGAATGCGACACCTGAATCCCATGTCTTTCATGAGTCTCCTCGTGGTGGTTCTTGAAGCGCTGACTCCAGCTGCAGTCCACTCTTTGTGGATCTCCCCCACATTTTTGAATGGGTTTGTCGTCACAATTCTCTGCAGGGTGCGGTTATCCCTAGAGCTTGTACACTTTTTTCTACCACATTTTTTCCGTCCCTTCGCCTGTCTGTTAATGTGCTTGGACACAGAGCTCTGCGAACAGCCAGCTTCTTTAGCAATCACCTTTTGTGTCTTGCCCTCCTTGTGCAAGGTGTCAATGATTGTCTTTTGGACAGCTGTTAAGTCAGAAGTCTTCCCCATGATTGTGGTGCCTTCAAAACAAGACTGAGGGACCTTTTAAAGGCCTTTGCAGGTGTTTTGAGTAAATCAGCTGATTAGAGTGGCAGCAGGTGTCTTCTATATTCAGCCTTTTCAGAATATTCTAATTTTTTGAGATACCAAATTTGGAGTTTTCATTAGTTGTCACTTATGAATATCAAATTTAAATGTAATGAACATGGGAAATACATTGGTCTGTGTGCATTGCATGAATATAATGTACAAGTTTCACGTTTTGAATGGAATTACTGAAATATTTTCAACCTTTTGATGATATTCTAATTTACTGGCCAGCACCTGTATGTTATCTTCTCTAATTAAAAAAAAATCTGCTCGCTAGCTACCAAAATAAAAGCGTAGAAGAAAAGCTGGACCAATAGGTACGCGCGCGTCTATGTCACGTGGTCTCAGAAAATGTCCACTTGACGCCAGTATCCCGGTCTCGTTCGAGGTGCTGTTTGGAGTTCTGATTCTGACGGTGTTCCGCAGCTAGCTGAAGGTAAACGTCTTTCCCGAACAGGAAGCTCACAGCTGATTTAGTTTCCAGAGTTCCGTTCAGATTCGGCTCTCTGGACCGGTGTACATCGTGGTCCTAATCCCTCGATGTGTTTGTTAGAAACGGGGAATCTCTTTGCGGATTCAGTTAAGAGTCTGATGTGAATTTGTAAAAGCTAAACGTTTGTTTAAAAAACGCCATTGTTGCATCTGTCCCACGAAGCAAAGTCACGTGTCAGGGACTCGAAGACAACACGCCAGACAGACACAAGGTGTTTGTGTTTACATTCCACTTCAGACACCTTCAGCTACCAGGCTAGATAGTTTGTCCATGATAATCAGACCGGAACTCCTGTCTACTGGAGTGTGTTTGCCTTCATCACCTGATCCTGGATCACTGTTTTGGATTTATAGATTATGGGATGCTGCCAAGACGTTCTGTCATGGAGCGGTTATCTTGGCGGAGTTCTAGTCTCGCTCCATTCTCTTCAGTACAAACTCAAGTGGGTTTCTGTTGCAGGTATGAAGCTCCGGGTCCAACTCCAGTGTAAGAACCTGCATGAGTACATGAAGGAGCTGAGTCCTGATGTCCTAGACCGGCTCTTCAACCACCCAGCAACCTGTCTGGCGGTCTACAGGTGAGCCTGATCAGGTCTGGGTTTGTCTCCTCTTCTCTTCCTCACTACGCTGTCTGGTCTCCTACAGGGAACTTCCCAAGCTAGCCCAGAACTATGTGATACGCATGCTGTTCTTGGATCAGCCACTTCCCCAGGCAGCCGTAGCTCTGTGGATGAAAAAGGACGGTCAAAGGTCAGTTGCTCATCTGGTGTCTCCTGATCCTACGTCTCTGTAGTGGGCCTGAACAGGGACCCAGTCACAGGTGGGTTCTGATTTCCTCCAGCTCTGTGTCTTCTGCAGGGACCATGATGAGTGCGTGTCTGTCCTGACTGGTCTCCGTCTCTGGCACAGTCAGCAGCTGCAGGGTGGCCTGCAGGGTTACACTTTAAATCCAGTTTTCAAAGACAACCTGAGGACTGCTTTGCTGGGGGGGTGAGTGGCTTGAGGACTTCCTGCTTCAGCAGAGCTGAAGCTGCTCTTCCAGAAAAGTCTGATCCATTTGTGTGAACCACTTGTTTTGATCAAACAGTGGCACCGCATGGGCTGAAGAGCAGAGTGCCCTGGGTCCAGATCGTCATGCACGGGACATAGAAAGTCTAGACCGCTACGCCATGGAGCGCTGGGAGGTCATTCTACAGTTCATGGTGGGGTCACCATGTGCAGTCAGCCAGGACCTCTCTCAGCTGCTGGTTCAAGCAGGCCTGATGAAGAGGTAGGTTAGATTAAAGTTATGGGTTTAAGTAAAACTTTAAAAGATTAGAAAGTATCTGCTTTAAATATTCACATTTATTTAAATCTTTTTAATGCATGCAAGTCTGAGAGTAGCTCATTTAGAGGGAAGCGAATCTCATCAGCTTGTTTTATAAAGTTTTTTTATTGGATAATTATAGTTACTATTATAATAATATTCTAATAATATTATCATTGTTTTTACCATGAAACTTTCCCCGAAAGTAGGGATGCACCGATACTGGTATCGGTATCGGTGCAGATACCGATACTATTATCTGTATCGGTAAAAGTTAACCGATACCAGGAACCGATACCAATGCAGTTGCTTGAAAATGGCTTCACTGTAACTTGTCATTTCTGTCCACCTAATATTTTATTTTTGGGATGATTTCTATTCATATATTTTACTTTTTATCTACCTCAAAGTCTTTTCCTGTTGAAAGCAGAGAAGAAAATAAAATCTGTATTCCAAATCATTGCATTTTTTTGTGTGGTAGAAGTGTCGGTATCGGTAATTGGTATCTGCGAGTACTCAGATCCAAGTATCGGTATCGTATCGGTTTAGAAAAAAGTGGTATCGTTGCATCCCTACCCGAAAGTGTAAGAGCTTCAGGTTGTGATGTTTTGGTCAGGTCTTGTCAGAAAAGCAGGACCATGTCGTCACAACTCAGACTCTCAGGACTCATCTCATCGTCTTAGCCTTTAATGTAACATAGACAATAAGCCCACCCCCGTCCCGTAGAGCCAGTTCAGCATTAGCCAATAGCGTTAGACATCTGCTCATGTACAGATGTTATCACAGGTGTACATACATTTGAGGACAGACTTAGATAGGTGCATAGTTGGCGATACTTCTTATGGACAAGTAAGTCTTTAAAAGTGTGTGTGTGTGTGTATAACTGAAGTATCTCCTGAGACGTTCCACCACATAACTGCAGGGTATAAGATGCTGGCAGGGAAAACTTAAATGGAACGCCACAACCAAGTGGCTGGCATCGTGTACAGCAGTGGTTCTCAATCCTGGTCCTGGAGGGCCGGTAAGCGGTTTCTCTGCTCCAACACACTTGATTCAGTGGTTGAATCACCTGTGCAGCAGCTCACCAGACTCTGCAGGTGCTTGTAAATCACCTGCTGATTGAAATCAGGTGTGTTGAAACAGGGTTAAAACTACAACACCCTGGATACCGACCATCCAGGACCAGGATTGAGAACCACTGGTGTACAGAGTGTGGACTGGAAGCCCCGAGGTTAAAGTGGGAAACATCCATAAGGCGGTAGAGGACGAGCAAGTCCACAAAAGTGCAGTTCAAAGGAAATCTAAGATACTGCAGAACACTGAAGCTCCCAGACCTCTGGTAGAGGACACAAGCTTTGAAGGATGAGACCACCCGCGGAGGGTGAGATGGGAATATGTTAAATAGATGAATTAATAAACAGCACAAGGTGAAAATAATAATTGTAAAACAACGTGTTTAAGCTCTGTTGGCCGACTAGCGGTGCACATTCATGAATAAAAGACGTTGCTTCCGCCGTAATCATGGAAGTAGCGAGAGGGGCTTACGGTGCAATACATTTTTCTGCCTCTAGATGGTGCCCTTTTGTAAATATCACTGGATTTCTGCTTTAAAGAGCGAGTAACACCTAAATGAACGTTTTTTACTGGTAACCTGTACAGATGAGTGTCTAATAGTGCTGTACACACGTGTATTCATTATTTTGGCAGTTTAGTGCAACTTACTGTAAATTAAAAATTTCAGCCCAAAACCGCAGATATCTCCATCTTCAGGTTAAAACTCTGCTCCACATTGAATTAGAATCAGCCACAGCTGTTGGCTGAGCTACAGGGTGACGTAGTCTGTGCAGTTCTACGTGGCTTCACTGCACTGGACTCTTGCTGAGTCTCGCCACACCTCCACCTGGCTCAACCACTCACCTGCTGACACGTTGGCACTCGGAGCCGCTCGCCTCCTTAAGAAAAATGTCCTCCTCCCCTTTTGTCTAATGACAAAAGCTATGATGAGCACGGAAGCCGGGTTGGGAAGTTTCAAAGAGTTGGCAGGTTTGTAGTTATTGCTGTAGTTGAGTGGCGACTGAGCGTTCCAGGATCTTTGAGAGTAGTGGGAGGTTAGAGATGGGTCTGAAACCATCCATAGAGTCTGGGTTCAGACCGGGTTTTTTCAGAATGGGAGTAATGAAGGCGAGTTTGAGTGAAGGTGGGACAGATCCAGTGGTTAGGGAGGTGTTTATGATACCGATAATGAGAGGGGAGAGAGAGGGAAGACATGTTCTGATGAGGGGAGAGGGGATTGGGTCTAAATTGCAGGTGGTGAATTTCATGGATGAGACGAGCTTGGTTAAGTCAGGTGTAAAGGATGGGTCGTTTACATCTTACTTATGAACCATAAAATGTGGGATTCCTTAGAAATATGAAATATCAATCTGATGGATCTTTGACTATTTTAACCAGAAGATCAGAACTTTTTATTGCAGGGATTAAGTGACACTTCGTATTAACTCTAAGGAAAGAGAGAGAGAGTCAGGTTTAAAATAGTTAAGAAATTTATTTCTACACAATTTAAACAAGACTAACTTAAACACTCTGTGTACTGATGGAACTAAAGTGGAGTGAGACTTGAAATGATGATGGTGTGTGTGTGTGTGGAATGTTATCAGAACCAGCGGATCCGGAGAAGCATTTAGGTCTGAGTGGGAGTGAATGTTTCGCTCTAAACTTAGGAGGAGATTTATAACACACATGAAACGCCATCTGTCGGTCTGCGTACCCCGGGGGAAGCCTCCGATCAGATCCAGAATGTCGAGGTCCTCGTGGACCCTCTTTGGTACAGAAGCCGGTAGAAAAGCAGCGGTGCCGACCAAACTAGTCTTGGAATGCTTCCAGGTCACGACAGGTTATCACTGGCATCTCCGAGACCCTGAAGGGGTCGTGAGGTTCAGCTTTTATTCTGAAGGAACCGTTGCGGTCAGGTGTAACTTGCAACAGAGCTTGTCGAGGTTCTTTATGGCTGAGGAGGAAGTCCGGATGGCCGGTCCGAGACTTCTCTAGAACGCTTTGAACTAAAGAAAAGGTGGCGTGGGATAGTTTTTATAATTATCATATTTTGGTTTACTGGCGAATCAGAATTTGACGTGCAAAAAAGGGTTTATACAAACACCACAGATAACCACGCCTAGCCAGAAACGAAGGTTCTGATTGGGTCAGACAAAAGGAAATGTGTCGTGTGACTTTAGCATTACGTGTCATTAGTGTCTAGTGCAAATGTCCAAGATTATATTAACTTGTAAAATACTACTGATCACAGGATTATAATATCAAGTAATAACATTGTCATTTCACAGATTGATTGAACATTGGGCTCACATTATTATTGGTAATAACAAAGTTGTTGATTATGTAGTACAAACTAGGTCCAGAGTGTGACCATGTCTGTGTGTGGGGCAGTTTATGTGTTGAGTCGGGTAGAAGCAGTTTAGAATGTCCAGGAAGTCGGCTGTGAGCGTAGATTTAGGAGAGTCGATGTGAATGTTGAAATCCCCTAGGAGGAGAACAGAAGGTGTGATGGAGGAGAGCTGAGTACTATAAAGGTAATGTTCGGGTCTACTTTGCCCTGAGCCCTGAATCACACATTTGTTGTACATGCATACATATGTAACATGTTCCAGAGCAGTCCGTGACCTCTCAGGAACTCAGGAATAGAAACGGTTCAGCAGGCTGACACTGGCCCACAGTTTCAGTTCTGGGCTGAACCGTTCTGTTCCTGGTTTGTCCTGAACCTGATGATGTCCTCTCTGATTAGTGAGGCAGGAGAGGCTCCATACATCACATCTGCTGGTTTCCAGTTCCTCCTCCTGGACACGGCCTCCCAGCTGTGGTACTTTACCCTGCAGTACCTCAGAACTGCTCAGGTAAGAGGTTCAGCTGCTTCTAGCTGTTAGATCATGTTTTTAATCTTCTGTGGGTTCACTTTGTGCTCCAGACTCCCAGAAGCTATGCTGCTGGACTTCAGGGCAACCAGACTATTACAGAAAACAGCAACAGGCTTGGATTAATTCTGTTATCAACTCATTTCACTCTTGTTCTTCGTGCTCTGCTGCAAACCCTTGACTTTCTGCTGGAGATCCCTGCTCGGCAAAGCCAATAGGACCACATCACCAGAGGCTGTGGTCAAAATAGACAACAGGAAACCTCCAGTCCCCAGGCTGGTTTTAGATTTCTGATCAGATTTGTTCACGTCTTCCACTCTGGTTCCATGCCCTTTGGTTTTTCCACACATAATCAGTGTGATGCTGGACACGCACCTACTCGCCCACTCTGCTCTGCGACTGCCTCACTAACTCAGGAGGGATTAGCATCAAAGCTCCTTTACTCCTTCATCTGGAGAAGGAGGCTTAAGACTCAGGATAAACCCAGCTGAATAGATCAGCCACAAACTCACAGACTGGTTTTGGTAATCTTGTCCTCATGAAGGTCAAGACCAGGACAAGTGCTACATTGCTCCTCCTGAATCTGATCTCTGAGCACTGTCCTCAGTAGACCTGCTGGACCGGTTTGGCAGGAAGGCCCTTGTTTTTGTCCAGGTCTGCCATCCAGGTCTGGGGCTACTGCCCCCTTCTAGGGCCTCCTTGGCGATCTTTCCCCTTGTGTTACACAGGTGTGTGAACCAACTCAGCCCAACGCTTTCTGCAGCTCCTCAAAGTTCTATCAGCATGACTTTGTCCTCTGTTGAACCTGATTAGACCCTCACCTTAACTCAACTAAAGGATTCAGGAAGCAAAGGTCCACAAGAACATGGTGGACATAACTAAAATAAGGTTTGAGTTCTTCCTTAGCTTCTGCATTAAATTAGGGCTGCCACTAACTACACTGCTCACAAGAATTAAAGGAACCTGGGCCTGGCATGAAATCAATTAAACCTGTCTGATAATTTCCTGGTTGATTAAGCAGCTGAGGGCATTGTCAGCTGGATTGGTGTTCATGGACTTAACGACAGGTGCACTAAAGCGGCAACATTTACAAAACCCTCAAAACACGACTGGTTTAACATGTAGAGGTCATTTCAAGTTTCTCCCTCTTGATCTTTGTCGGCTGGTTTTCCACTCGTGCTGGTTTTGGCTCTCTACTGGCGGTATGAGGCGATTCCTTAACCCTACAGAAGTTGCACAGGTTGTCCAACTTCTCCAGGATGGCACATCCACACGTGCTGCAGCAAGAAGGTTTAATGTGTCTCCCAGCACAATCTCCAGAACATGGAGGAGATTTCAGGAGACTGGCGGTTATTCTCGGAGAGCTGGACAGGGCCGTAGAAGTTCCTCAACCCATCAGCAGGACCGATGCCTGCTGCTTTGTGCAAGGCGGAACAGGCTGAGCACTGCTCGTGCCCTACAGAATGACCTCCAGAGGGCCATTGGTGTGAATGTCTACCCAGACAGTCAGGAACAGACTTCATGACGATGGTCTGAGGGCCCGACGTCCTGTAGTGGGCCCTGTACTCACTGCCCAGCACCGTAGAGATCGACTGGCATTTGCACAAGAACACCAGAATTGGCAAGTCCGCCACTGGCGCCCTGTACTTTTTACAGACGAGAGCAGTTCACCCTGAGCACCTGTGATAGACGTGAAAGCGTCCGGAGAAGACGAGGAGAACGTTATGCTGCCTGCAACGTCGTTCAACATGACAGGTTTGGTGGTGGGTCAGTGATGGTCTGGGGAGGCATATCCATGGAGGGACGCACAGACCTCTACTGCCCAGGAAATGGTGCTCTGACTGCCATAAGGTATTGAGATGAAATCCTTGAACCCTTTGTCAGACCCTACGCTGATGCAGTAGGTCCTGGTTTTCTCCTAATGCACGACAACACCCGGCCTCATGTGGCAAGAGTATGCAGGCAGCACCTGGAGGATGAAGGAATTGAAACAATTGAATGGCCTTCACGATCCCCTGACTGAAACCCAATAGAACATCTGTGGGACATTATGTTTCGGTCCATTAGGCGGCGCCAGGTTGCTCCTCAGACTGTACAAGAGCTCAGGGATGCCCTCACACAGATCTGGGAGGAAAGGCCACAAGACACCATCCGTTGTCTCATTAGGAGCACGCCCCGACGTTGTCAAGCATGCACACAAGCTCGTGGGGGCCACACAAGATACTGAAAAGCAATTTGAGTTGCAGAAATTAAGTTTTTGAAATAACGGACTAGCCTGCCACATCTTCATTTCACGCGGATTTTAGGGTGTCTACACAACTGAGCCCTCTGTAGGCTGATAACTTTTATTTCCATTAAGAGACTTGGCATCCTTTTGTTCCTAAGACATTGCCCTGTCGTTATTTGTATAGATATCCAACTTCATATTGAGATCTGATGTATCTAATGTGTTTCTTTAAAGTGTTCCTTTAATTTTTGTGAGCAGTGTATTATTGTGGTCGTCGACTAATCACCAGATTTTTGGCTGATTAGTCGACTAATTGTGTCATAAAGCGTAGCTTATTGCACCAGGAGTCTCTAATAAACCCATCGTTAGCGTCTAGCTACAAGTGAGATCAGTTATGTGCCATCTGTACATAACGACGAGATGGAAACTTCAAACAACTTTTAATCAACTTTGTAAAAATGCTGCTCAGTCAAATGGAGGTAGGCACTTAAAACAAAAATACGTTGGACACAAAAAGGAGTCGGGACTTGTGCTCTCAGATGTATGCAGCTAAAATAAGTTGAATCTATACACGACCCTTGCTTACACTCAGCAAAGTTAGCATTTCAACATGCTCAGGAGAAAGGCTTGCTCTCTTTTGAGAGCTGATGTTCCCAGCTGTGGATGCAGAGAAGATTTAGCCAGCTTGGATAGCGAGGGGAAACCACCTTCATCTCGGCTCCACCATTTCAGAGGATCACCTCGTTTTAGAGATTGCAGCTTCTCTAAAATACATCGGGACTCAGCCTCTCGCAGTTTGGACCCTCATGCCCCGGGCATCTTTCTCCTCATGTTCGCTCTCACTGTCAGAATCAGACAGAAGGAGGGTGTCCAGAGCAGTATTTTGAATTACACTTGAACCACCAGCTCTCTGTAGTTGTGTAAGCTCATCTGTCCCAGTGTTTGCTGCTTTGACAGCACTTCAACAGTCCTTTGACCTCTGACGCCATTCTTCAGAAGCCAAAACTTCAGCTTTTTGTATCTGGGGTCCAAGGTAGCTGCAAGAATAACTGGGTTGTCTTTCCTCGCTAAAACAGTACAAAATCCTAGGAACCAGTGTGATGCGAGAAGGTTGCTGACACATTTCTAATCTGTCTTTTGCAGTCCAGAGGGATGGACCTGGTGGAGATCCTATCCTTCTTGTTCCAACTCAGCTTTTCTACTCTGGGCAGAGTGAGTGTCACTGTTTTGGTTCTCTGGATACAGTTTTTAACAGGAAACCCATTCACATCATGCTGAAGCTCAGGTCCAATGTGCTTTAGGGTTTAGATGTTTTTCTGTTTCAGCAGAACTAATGTGAATCAGTGAGTCATTAGCAGGAGTCTACGGAGCATGAGGAGATGGCTCAGCAGCCACTGATTCAGGTGTGATGGAGGAGAGAAACATCTAAAATCTGTAGGGCAGTGGACCTCCAAGACCAGGGGAAGCATTCCTAAAGCTTGCCAATGCACAAAACTGAGTCTGAAAATTGCGCAAGTCTTTTTTAATGCAACTTTGTGATTTATTAAGAAAAACTTAAAGGGGCCATATCATGGAAAATCCACTTTTTGGAGATTTTTATCATGTGATTATTGTCCTTTCCTCATGAGAATTACCCCCAAACCCATTTTTGTCTGCATTCATGCATTTTCCTGCCTTAGCTGCAATTTGGTCCATGTAAACATTTTTTCCTGCATCGTCTGGCATTTCTCCTCCCCCTGAAGCTGGTGGTCTCGATTCTGAAACCTGGATAATCTGACGGATTACTTCTGCATCCTGTCAATCAAGATGCACGTAGTGGCCAGCAGAGGATGTGTGTGTTAGGCGACTACTGTTTGTAATGGACTTGGTAGTCCAGAGGTTGGCTTTACACAGGTTAGCATCCTGGTAATGGCAGTAACTTTTTATTTATTTAGCTACACTTGCCAGTATGAGATTATCAATTCTTTATTTGTAAAACTGTTTAAAATCTTAGGACTAATCAGTTGTTTTTTTTTTTTTTTCCCACTTTCTTTGTTTATCCAGTGTGAGTCTATGTGAGGTGAGCAGAGTAACTCCATAAGATCTTTGAATTTGATCATCTCCAAGCAGTATTTTTGCTTGGGGATGATCAAATTCAAAGATCTTTAGAGACACAAAATATTTAACAGAAAAGAAATCAATAAGATTGAAATATAAAAAAGATTAATTCTACCTCAGCCGGCTACATAAATTACTGCCGACACCACTGGGAGTCGAACCAGTGTCAACACATGGCAAAACAAGATGAAAGGCGGGCGCTCAAACCACTGGACTACCAAGGCCGATACAACTATGACGTCATAGAGTGGGTGTGGGCGGAGCAACGCTGAAACAGACATTTGCATTTCCAGGTATAAATTCAGGCTGATGAAAATAACTCATATTTAAGATAACTAACACCTTTGGGAAACAGGCAGCGGAGCTGGTGATGGTGAATTTAAGATCATTCTCACACACACACACACACACACACACACACACACACACACACACACACACACACACACACACACACACACACACACACACACACACACACCTACCTGCCCCCCTGTATTTGAACTGATAATAAAATGAGAACCTGAATAGAAACAACACGTTGCATCTAAGAGTTATATGACCGTATGTTTTAAGTACATAGTCAAATTATATAGCAGTTGCAGTTATTGGTGCATTCATTGTGAAAAGGTGTGTATTGGTGTGATCACGGAGCAGACATAGATCTGCTGCAGTGACACTCATGAATTATGCGTCCAATCGATGCTTTGGAACTCCTTAAGGATTACGCCAATGGCGAGATCCGAATGGGGAGAGCTTTTTTTTTAAGAGACCATGAAGACTTCTTCTAGAGCAGACCTAGTAGATCTATTTACTGAACTGGGCCCGGTGTCGGACTGCCCGCCCTGCCAGAGCAGTGAAACTGCTGCATTCTGGGGTTTTGTCTAGCCGGCTCGTTCCAGTGGGAATCTGCCCACAGGCAGATATTCCTTTGATTTGATGACCAAAATAGGACATTTCCAGCCTAAAACCCCTTTGGGTTAAATTTAATGTTCCCATTAGATGTGGAATATCTCAGTCAAAAGAACCATTATGCAGCTGATTTGGATGCATCATTAAAAGAACCATTGCCACCTTCAGATCTGACTATTTCTTTTTCATAAACACCCCGGATCTCTTGGTCAGTCTCACAGATCACCGCTGGAACAACGCTGTTCCACCTAAAGGCAATAAAAGGTTTCTTCGTGCCTCTACCTCGCCTACAAGCACATCGATTTTAGCCTCTGTGAAACAGCGTTGTCTAGACTTCTCCGTTGCCATGGGTAACTGTTTAGCCACAGATCAGCTGGCTTATTTCTATGCAGAGTGTTCATATAGTTCTTTGCATCGTCCATTTATGGCAGGAAGTGGGTGAGTATGAGTCAGGATATGATCCAAAATCACCTGAGGAAGAGTTGTTTCTTAAAGCAGGAGTTGTGTGCAGCTGTGTGTGTTGTGTATGTCCAAGTAACAGTTTGCATTAGTAAAATTTGTTTGCTTAGCTTAAGTAGAGTTTTAACACCGATGCTACACAAAGTTTTATAACCGGGGCCCCAGGACTGGATGCCATAGCATCAGGGAGTCATCTCCTGCCACGTCTCATGATTCTGTCCTCCGCTGTGTGCCTTAGGACTACTCTGTGGAGGGCATGAGTGAGTCCCTGCTTACGTTCCTGCAGCACCTTCGAGAGTTTGGTCTGGTGTTCCAGAGGAAGGTGAGGAAAACTAAGTGGTTGTGTTTATTCTGTTACTTTTGAACCAAACTGATATGTCTACTGCTCACTTGGGTTAGTTAAATACTCAGCTCTCACATTTGTGCTTCCATGTGGGTCTCTACTGCTTCTATCAACACTCCTAACACAAATAAAAATAAAGAGTAAAGCTGAAGAAATATGTGGGAGGGATTTAGTGCTGAACATGTTTTGTATCGGCCATAGTTTCAATACGCTTCTGCAATGTTTTAAGATTTGTTTCTGTCCAGTGTTGCATTCATTTATTGCCAAGATCTTGCTGGAGATAAAAAAAAAAGCTTATTTCCCACCAAAATTTGCAAATAAATTTTTCAAATATCAGACAAAATTATTTTCTAAATTTTTTTTTCTCATTTTGTCTCATAGTTGAGGTCTACCTATGATGAAAATTACAGGCCTCTGGTGGGCCAATCATAGTGCTCCATCTGCTTAGTGAACAAATCACAGAGCTTTAGCCGCTTTGTGGGCCAATCAGGGTTATTCTATATGCCTGGTGGGTGGGATGATGCAACAGAGTGAAACAAGAGTATGTCACATTCATTGTCCAGTAGCATGCAGAGATCATTTGAAAGACAACGGTAGAACCCGCCCCACAACCGAGAGCCGTCAATGGAGCGTGGCCAGACTAAATAATACATTTATTTAGTCTGGCTTGCCAGGCTAGCTTTTCATCAGTCTGAGATTCAAATATCAACTAACGATTCTCCAGAACCTTGGAGTAGGCCTTTTTTGGGAGGCTGAGTAGTGTGGTCCCACTATAGTTGGAACACACACTCTGGTTCCCTCTCTGAAAGTACAGGGACTACCACCCCTGATCTACATCCAGTGTTGTAGATGTTCTTGTGGTTCACGTCTGTACAACGAGGTGAGTGAAAAAAAGCACTCCGGTGTTTTCGGTCTTTTCACTAGCAGGGATGTTTTTCTGTCCCCCAGTCAATGGACTGATCTGTAGCTCTGCCCTAAATAATCCATTCCATTATCCAGTAGACCTACAGGTGAAGGGGGGCCCAGGAATGCGGTGGTACGGGTTGGTTTTATGGGCCACTTTGACAGTGGAAACGGACTAAATAGCAAACCGACTCATGCCGTACCACTCAGTGGAAACAAGGCGGTGGTTAGGGTTAGAGAGGAAAGCCAGCAGTTGAAAGTTGAGGTCAGAGTAATGAATTGAATTCCCCTGCTGGGTGTTTGATTTTTATTTGATAGGGCCTATGGTTAAAATCTGATGTTAGCCTAGATCTGGACGAGTGTGTGTGTGTGTGTGGGGGTGGGGGGGGGGGGGGGGGGGGAGTGTACAGTCGGTAAAGACGGCTCTCCCTTGCCCTGCCTCCAACATGCCTCCATCTAAAAGGGCTAGGTTATCCAGAGTTATCTCTGTAGTTATGCTGCTATAGGCTTAGACTGCTGGAGGATACACTGACCACTTTTCACACTCTACTACTTTCTTCTACAATCTGCTCTTTAACTGTATTATTTCCTGCTACTTCAGATGTTAACTTTATTTTTTCTCTAAGTGTTTTTCTCCCCAGAAGAAGCTACAACGATGTTCTGCTGAGCTGTGGTGGCCTCGTAGAGGGGGCCATCATCTAGCACACTGCTGCTAACCACTTAAACATTCTCCCTCTCCTGATAATAACTTTTTACTTTCCTTGACGTTGGATGTGCTACTACTAGTTTACCTGTTTAATTATAGATTCACTAGGACAAATACAATAGTTTATCCCTGCCAACTAGAATATTTACTAAGGAATCACAATGTAACCATAGACACATTGCTTTGTGTGTGTGCATGTGTGTGTGTGTGTGTGCGTGCGCGCATGCGTGCGTGCATTTGCGTGTGTGTGTGTGTGCTCTGTCTTCTCCATCCCCAGTGAGTCATGGAGGATGGCTGCTTATACTGAGCAAGGATTCTCTGGAGGTTTCTTCCTGTTAAAAGGGAGTTTTCCTCTCCACTGTCGCTTTATGCTTGCTTAGTATGAGGATTGCTGTATAGTCACTGACACTAGTCAGTGACTTGATGCAATTTGCTGGGTTCCTTATATAGGAAACATTATTTCTGATTGGCTTAATGAACTGACCTGAATTGGAATGTTTATTATGTGAAGTGCCTTGAGACGACTTTTGTCGTGATTTGGCGCTATATAAATAAACTTGAATTGAATTAATTCCTGGTGTTTATGCAGAGAAAGTCCCGACGGTACTACCCCACCAGACTGGCCATCACTCTAGCTGCTGGAGTCTCCTCTTCCTCCTCTTCGCCTGCTGAAACTGCAGACGCAGGCTTCATCGTTGTGGAAACGAACTATCGTATCTACGCCTACACCAGTACGTACAAACTCCTTTTTTGCTCTGAGACTCTGAGTAGTACAGAAGATTTTAGCTTTTTGTCTTGATCAGTCATAAGTGGGACGTAATAGTTCCTTTGAGGCCTTGTCAGGTTCTGTAGTGATGAGTTCTCCCCAGGTCCCCTGGAGATGCACGATTTAATGATAAATGACCCACACTTGCATAGCGTCTCTCAGAGTAAGGACTCCAAAGCGCTTTACACTACAGTGTATCATTCATCCATTCACACTAACATTTACACACTGATGGTGATGAGCTACAATGTAGCCACAGCTGCCCTGGGGCGCACTGACAGAGGCGAGGATGCCGAGCACAGGCGCCACCGGTCCCTCCGACCACCACCAGCAGGCATGGTGGGTTAAGTGTCTTGCCCAAGCCCCCACAATGCGGGTGAAAAATTGAGGCAAACGCGGAAGTGACAAAAATTGCAGTTCCACCCTCATCCACTAGGGGCTGGTGTCAGAAGCGAGCAAATCCTCATTGACTCCCATGTTAAAAATACCAATTTCACAGCAGAAATAAACATGTTTACAGCCTGGTACCAAAACATGTTTTTTGTTTAAATGATCTAGTTTACACTCATGACAACTCTGAGGGGGGTGAATTTTTTTCTCACTCTTCTGTTTAAGTGTATTAAAAGCCTAAAATTCTGTATAATTAATGAGCATCAGACCCACGTGACCACAGAGCTAGCTCCGTGGAAAGGCCTCAGCAGAGCCTCGGTCTGGCCTGGAAACTGCTCCGGGATTTTGAGTCTCCGTGTTTGTGTATTCTTTTTTGGATATTTTTTGTGCAATTGTTGGACAAAATGACTTGCTGTGGCATTAATTGCACTAATAGAGCGTCCAAGGAGTCTCGACTTGATTTTTTACTGTAAGTAAAATTATATTTATGTATTTTAGGTCACTGCCGAGCTGAGCTTAGATTTTAACATGTACTGTTTAACCATGAAATTTAAATGTAATAGGGTAAAACCCAGTACATTTAACATAATGCTGCACTTTAGAAAATGGGTTGAAATATAACATGTTGGTGGAGCTGGGTTCCCACTATCGGCTTGTGGAGCTCTCGGGAAACCAATGTTTTCCATCCGGTTCTCCCCTCCCCGCAGCTTGGTCCATCTCTGTCTGATCGCGGCTTCTGTCTGCTGTGCGGGCTGCCGGCTTGTGGAGCTCTGGGATGGAAGCCTTTCTACCCGGTTCTCCCCAGCGGCAGCTCTGCGCATCTCAGATCGCAGCCGCGCCTGTCTGCTGTGCGGCTGCCGGCTTGTGGAGGTCTCGGAGACCTCTGTGTTCCACCCGGTTTTACCCAGCGGTCAGCCCGGCGTATCTCTGACTCAGAAGCTCCGGTGTTGTGCACAATTAACTCCGGTTGTAGCTAGGTTGCTACCTCCGTTAGCTTAACTCCCACCTCCGCGTTAGCTTTGGGTTAGCTTGTAGCTACATCACTTCAGTTCGACGGGTGTCGTCAATTTATCCCAGCCTTACAGCTCCACCTCTTTTCCCATTTTTGGAATTATCTGGGCTTGACGGAACCTGTGACACGGTCAAAATGGCGGTGGTGGCCACTTCCCATTTATCTTCAAAAATGTGTTATTGGAGCCTGTGGAAACCCATTGTACAATATTTATATGTCGTTGGTCTTGCCCAAGGACACAACAGCAGAATTCTCGGTCCGGAGCCGGGATCGAACCTGCATCCTTCCAATCACTGGAGAACCCACTCAACCTGTTGTGCTACTGCTGCCCCTTAACTCACTGAGGAACCAGTGGTACTTAACCACCAGTGTCACCAACACCGTTTTTTTTTATACATCACGTATCTGTTATAAAACACACTTGAATAAAACCTTATCCTAATAAACCATCAAAGCTAACTGTTCTGAAGAACCAACATGTGAGTTTGCTCTGACTTGGTACCGGTCTGTGTGAGAAGGGTCAGGTCATTGGCATCAAGCAGAGAAAACATCATAAGGAGATTGCAGAAACGACTAAAACTGGGTTAGGAACTGTCCGACGCTTTATTAATAACTGGAAGGATTGTGGGGACCCAATGTCTTCGAGGAAGAAATTTTGCCGGTAAAAAAAATCCTGAATGATTGTGATAGGTGATCACTTAAACCTTTGGTGAAATCAAATAAAAGAAAAACAACAGTCGAACTCTGGGCTAAGTTTAATAGTGGAAGTAAGAGCATTCCCACACACAATGCAAGGAGAATTCAAGTTATTGGGACTGAACAGCTGTGTAGCCATAAGAAAACCACTAATCAGTGGAGCAATCTGGAAAGAAAGGCTTTAATTTGCAAGAGAACATAAAGATTGGACTCTGTAGCGATGGACGGAGGTCATGTGGTCTGATAAGGCCAGATGAGCCCTGTTCCAGAGTGATGGTGCATCAGGGTAAGAAGAGAGGCAGATGAAGTGATGCGCCCATCATGCATAGTGTCTACAATCCTGTGGGGGCAGTGCTATGATCTGGGCTTGCTGCAGGTGGTCTGGTCTAGGTTCAGCAACAGGATGTGCTCCAAGAATGAGGTCAGCTGACTACCTGAGTATACTGAATGACCAGGTTACTCCATCTTCCCTGATGGCACGGGCATATTCCAAGATTGCTTAACGTACAGTTTATTAGCCGGCCTCTAGATGGTGTCCTCTGAGGAAAAAAATGCTGGATTTCTGCTTTAAATGACCTGAAGAACTCACAGAAGGCCAGGCTTGGTTTCCGTAGTCCACTTTTAATCTGGTGCAGTTCTGAAGCAGTTGTATCTGTCTGCAGGTGCTTCCACTAGATTTCCTGTCTCATTATCCCTGGCTCTGCCAAGTTTGTTTCTTGTTATTGAGTCTGTTGTTTACATGATTTTGTGTTGTTAAACTGTAACAGTGTGCTAAAAACCCTGGTGCAGCGCGGACCAACTGACTGGGTTTCTTCCCTCTCAGACTCAGAACTTCAGATTGCTCTTGTGGCTCTGTTCTGCGAGATGTTGTATCGGTTCCCTAATGTGGTGGTGGCTCAGCTCACACGAGAGTCGGTGCAGCAGGCCATCGCCAACGGCATCACAGCTCAGCAGGTACACACACACCCTAACTGCCAGTATTTAAAGTATTTTGTGCATTATTGAGTCGATCTGATTTTACACATCTAGACATCTGCCCAAATGTCAGGTGAGGGATCTTGTTGATAGTCCATGTGAGCCCTTGCTTATTATTACAGTTAGCTAGTAGCTTCTCAGTAACAACTGATGTGTGTGTTTCAGAGTGCAACACAAACTAGGCCATGGTTTGGTGTTTGAATGAGACTTGCTATGTACACATAACTTAATATATTGATGTTTTTAAAATTTTAAAATACCAGGCAGCTCCATTCTTTTAAATTATCTTTTATATAGCGCCTCTCAAGATAAAAATCACAAGGTGCTTCGCAAAAATTTTAAATATAAAAAAGATCTTTAAAATTTTTTTTAAATATGTTTAAAATGACAAAAAAGAAATGTGTTCAAAAATGTAAGGAAAGTAAGAGAGAAAATTAATATTAAAATGGATCCCAGGAAAGGCGGAATAAGGAGAGATTGGTGATGAAGGTCACACCAAAGCCTGAACAGGTGAGTCTTCAGCTGCTTTTTAAAGGAGACCACTGAGTCCACTGATCTCAGGCTCGGGGGGAGAGAGTTCCAGAGTCTGGGGGCCACAGCAGCAAATGATCTGTCACCTTTGGTCTTTAGCCTGGTGCTGCACAACCAGTAGGCTTTGATCACTGGACCTCAGGGACCTGCTGGGGGTGTAGGGACTAAGAAGATCACCAATGTAAGATGGTGCTTGTCCATGTAAGGCCCTATAGACCAGAACCAGGATCTTGAAATGAACCCTGAAGTTAACTGGCAGCCAGTGAAGCTGGAGGAGAAGCGGGGTGATGTGGGTGTGTTTGGAGGACTTGGTCAGAAGCCGAGCACAGGCGTTCTGAACCACCTGTAGACGGTTCAGGGAGGTTCTGCTCAGACACGTGAAAAGAGAGTTACAGTAGTCTAAGCGTGAGGAGATGAAGGTGTGGATAACTGTCTCAAGTTCAGAGCGAGACAGAATGGGACTCAGCTTAGCAATGTTCCTGAGATGGAAGAAGGAAGAGCGAACAAGAGAACTGACATGAGAATCCAGGGTGAGAGCTGGGTCAAAGGTCACGTCAAGATTCCTGACGGAAGGTTTGGTGTGAGAAGCAAGTTGACCAAGAGAATCTCTGACTTTGGGAACCAGCTTGTCTGGGGCACAGATGAGGATCTCAGTCTTATCTTCATTCAGCTGAAGAAAGCTCCCAGCCATCCAGGTTTTTATAGAGTCTAAGCAGGTGTGTAACAGCTGCAGCTTAGACATCTCATGGGGCTTAAAGGAGATGTACAGTTGGATGTCATCTGCATAAAGATGGTAGGAGATTCCTTTGAAGGAGCTCAGGATGTGCTGAAGAGGAAGCAGATAGAGGAAGAGCAGAGGCCCCAGCACAGAACCTTGTGGGACACCATGGGTAAGAGAGGTGGTGGAGGACCTAAACTTGGAGACGGCCGCAGAAAAGGAACGCTCAGAAAGAGAAGAGGAGAACCACTCCAGAGCAGTTCCTGATAGGCCTACCCAGTCTCTCAGCCTCTCCAGTAGCAGGTGATGGTCAACAGTGTCAAAGGCTGCAGTCAGGTCCAGCAGGACCAGAACAGAACAGTCCCCTGCATCACTGTGAGTCAGAAGGTCATTAGAGACCCTAAGAAGAGCTGTTTCAGTAGAATGAGCTCTACGAAAACCTGACTGGAAGCTATCATAGATGTTCTGTTCATCAAGAGCAGCTGTGAGTTGTTTAGCCACAACCTTTTCCAAGATCTTGGAGATGAACAGCAGTTTAGAGATGGGTCTGAAGCTGCTGTGGAGAGAGGGGTCGAGACTCGGTTTTTTAAGAAGCAGGTGGATTACAGCGTTCTTAAAGTTAGCAGGGACCTAACCAGAAACCAGAGAAGCATTAATTATAGAGAGCACGCTGGGACCGATGGACTGAAAAGCACCTTTAAACAAAGATGAGGGTAAGATGTCGAGGGGGCATGCAGAGGTCTTCATAGAGTTAACTAGTTTCGTTAACTCAGGCAAAGAAATGGTGTTAACCCTCACAGGCTCAAATTAAGTTTTGATCAAAGGACGAACAACTAAGTCCTTCAGGGGTACTTCTGAGTTAAAAAATGCTCATGAAATACGCATGTGGAGTAACCAGGTAGGTAGGTTTTAATGTTGCAAATCTGCAACACCTGCCTCCAGAGGGTTAAACAGCACCTTGGGGTTCCCCTTGCTCTGGGACACCAGGTTGGAGAAATAGGCAATATCTTTGTGTTTTTAAAATGAATTTACTGCTTTACATTCCCAGTCTGTGTGATTTCATTATCACTTCTGATACTGTTTAAAAGTTTTTAGAGCAGTTTCCTGCTGTTAAAACGTTGATCTAGGACACCTTTAAAGGTGAGTGCATTTCCAGAATAATCCATTTAAATCAGACTTTTAGTTTTTGTGCTTCTGTGATCTTTAGATAATCCACTTCCTCAAGACCCGAGCCCACCCTGTCATCCTCAAACAGGTACAGACACTTCCTGTTTATTCCATGCATAATTATTCTCATGGTCGTCTTTAAGAGTCTTGGTCCTTTTTCCTGTTTCAGACCCCGGTGCTGCCTCCAACTATAACAGATCAGATCCGACTCTGGGAGCTGGAAAGAGACCGGTTACAGTTCACAGAAGGTGAATATCTCCATTAAAGCTACAAACAGGAGTTTCAGGAATTATGTAGGTTTTATTTTAATCCATAAAAGTGATGGTCTTACCCTGTACTGTGATATAATTTAGACTATAAGCCTTTTTTTTTTGCTAAATACTCTGGATTGTAGCTTTTAACCGAAAGAACTTTCTGGTGACAGAGGGAACGATGGTCCTCCACAGATGCTTTGTTCATCTTGAAGCTGATTTCATGTCTTTCTTTTTAAGGAGTCCTCTATAACCAGTTCCTGTCCCAGGTGGACTTTGAGGTTCTTCGTGACCGAGCTCAGGTTGGACTTTATTTCCTAACTGATGATCGAATCCTCTTTATACTTTGTGTTTCTGTCACTAATGGGTTGTCGTGGTGAGACTCACATTGGGGTCCCAATCTATTCCTTTTAATGATTCTCTTTCTCATAGTCCTTTGGGCCTCATTCTTTTGTCTCGTACTTGTTTGGTTCATGTACCGTTTAGTCCTGAGTAGGGTGGCGGGGAGCGGGTGTCTATCTCCAGCAGTCAGGTGCCCATAAATAAAGGATGTTTGTTGGTAAAACATTGTGTGTCTCTACTAAAGCAGCTGATCTTGCGTTGTGCCTCTGGTGCAGGGTCTGGGCTGTTTGGTGTGGCAGGATGTGGCCCACAGGGTGATGGTGGTGACTCCAGAGGGACACAGTGAAGTCAAGAGGTTCTGGAAACGACAGAGGTCCCACACGTAGTTGGTCCAAGACACCACTGTTGTGTTACTGTGGACTCATGTGGAAGTGCCTGTTGGTGTTGACGGTCCAAGAAGGTTTTCACACCGGCCTTGTGGAATTTTGTATTTATGTAATTTGGGTTGAACGAATGAACATTTTTCATGTCTTGGTTGTTTCTGTTTTTGTTGATCCTGCTGGGACTTCATTGGTTTGCGTGATGGTGTGAACAGCTCTAATAGGGTCTGCAGATTGCCGTCAGCATATAAATCTTGACAGATTTGGCAGGTGTGTTGAGTGTGAAACCAAGTTTTAAGCAATATTTACTACATCAAATTTAACATTAAATAAATCAAAATCAAAGAGAACTATTGTCTAAGAACAGTTTAACCTTATGTTCAAATATTTTCCCAGTTTTCTTCATTTTGTCCTCAAAGACTAATGTAAGAAAATAAACATTTTTCTGAAGAGGGTTAGCTCTACAGCTCAAAACTAAACACTAAAAGTCATCAGATCTCCATCCTGGTAAGGAATGGGTGATGCGTAAGGAGCTAAAGGACACCACATCATGACGTAAAGGAAAATGATCAACCTACTGAGATGGCTTTTCTTCTTCACTTGTAGTTCTGTGGTCGATACAAAACAGGTTTATGAAGTTCTTTACGCTAAATCCCTCTCACATAAAGCAATCTCAGCCGTTTTATTCTCGACAGTTTCAGTACCTTCCAGAATGAGCCGTCACAGGACTCTGTCGCTTTAAGAAAACAAGCCGGAACTAAATGGAGATGGATGACTGGCTGTGGAGACCACTGAAGATACAAGTCTGTAGAGGAAGAAGAACCTGAGACAAATCAAAGCACTGATCACCATCTAGCTGAAGCAGTTAGGACTTTTTAATAAAAGACATACGAGTACATATATTTATGTTCAGATTGAAATAACTCACGACAGAAGCTTCAAAGGCAAACAAAGTAAAACACATTCACTGTATTACATAAAGCTTAAAAAAAAACACACTTCACATCTGAGGACCGACCTGGGCAGTCTCTGCCCAAAACAGATGATTTTGCTGAAATGTGTCAGTTTAAATAACTGGAACCAAAATCTACTCTTTCATAAATGTTTTGAGAACATAAAAATGTGAAAACCAAAGATGGTTCAGAATCTGCTGAAGCACACATGATGCAAGGTAAACGTAGTGTTACTGATTGTGTTCTGCCTCTTACACACTGACATCCTCCCAGTTAACCTAAAGTCTGAAGCAGTCTGATCGACCAGATTATCAGCTGATGGCTCACGCTAATCTTCTATCTGGACTCATCTGGTGATGAGTCATACGTCTAACATCATTTATCTTATGTGTCATGTGACATTAAAGTCAAAATAGTAACCCAAAATTCATGCATACAAAAAATTAATTTAAAAATAGATTTAATGTTTATAGGTCATTTTGTGTTAATGAGACCATGTGAACTGAGACGTGTCTGAAGTGTCCCAAAGTCTTCACCAAGTGAGTCTCAGAGAGCGCTGTGTGGGTGGAACGCTGTAACAGAGTAGCTCTCTTCAGTAATACGCAGTTGAACATCTCCACTTCTTCGTCCTCCTCAGGCCTCCTTTATGAACTGCTGAGTCTTCGGCGCAGCAGAGATGCAGGTTTGCTGTCCAAATCCTCTACATCACTTTCACAGTCTCTCTGCAGAAAAAGATCATTGACACCAGAACCAGGTTACACAGGAAACAAACCTCTGCCCAGTGCGCTGTTTTGGGTGTTTTATGGGGTTTATGGCAACACTAACGAGTTTCCTGCTTCTCCATCCGACCGGTTGAAAGAGGAATTACAATTGTCATACACAACCTCCCCGCAGCCTGCTGTAGCTAGAGTTAACACAAGCCACAAAGTAAAAAGAACCACACTGTGGGACAAACAAATATTACATACAAGTCTAGTAGCAACAAAGCTAGGTCACCATTAGTCCATGATTTGGTTGCCTTATTTAGCTCCCTCAGACGTGTGTAGGCAGCACCAATGCTCATTCTGGTTTTAGCTCTTTGCTTCACCTCCAAAGACGTTACTCTCTACTCCCAACTGCAGCCTTTCTGTGTGTAGTTAGCATGTTCTCCCTATGAATGCACAGCTTTTTTTCTGGGAACTCCAGTTATCTCTCCAACCAAAAGCATGCATGTCAGGTGTTAAAGGTGCTTTAGATAAAACGTCTGCTAAATGAATAAACATAATTCTCTTGGGGAAATCCAAGGCCATGTAAAGTCATGTAGGGCAAGACTAGATCTTTCCGCTGGTAACTTCATTTAAAGGTAAGTCACATTTTTGTCTTCTGGGTGTTAAAGTGACTGTGTGTATTTTCCCCGGGGATAGGGGACAGTAGATACCTAAATCATTGCAAGCAAGCAGCATTTTTGTGTTCAAGTAAGACTTTACAAACGGATGGTCGTTGGGGTCAAAAATCCCTGGGAGCGCAACCTCCCGCAAAATGACAAACACATCAGACTCCCTTTCATCACTGGCAATGAGCGAAGAGATAAACATGTAAAACAACGTTTTTGAATGGTGAAAGTTTTGTAACTGCTTGTTACACATCAGTAAATGCATTTTGGCCTCACGGGCTGCCGTAGGAGGAAACATGGTGTCTAATATGGACCAGCTCTCATGTATTTAGACCCGATTTTTATGGTTATATGAGAAAATCACAATCACAACATGCCCTACAGGTTAAAAAAATTGTAAGTCGCTTTGGGTAAAAGCGTCTGCTAAGCACATAAACATAAAAGCTGCCAATATTTTTAACAACTGGGCATCATTTTGTTCATTTTCAAGAACATTTTGATGGATATTTCTGAAGACTAACGGTAAAAACTACACAGTGTTGCTTAAAAAAAAAAGAGTTCTTCTCATTGTGTTAAACAAGTTTGATCCAGTCCAGAAAGGTCTCTCTCTCCTGGAATAGAGAATATATTTCTAAAACAAACATAAAAACTGAGGTTTTGTTTCAGGTAGTCTGATTTGTACTTGGCCCAAATATAAAGTGAAACAGAACTGAAGATCATCTAATGAGGAAATGCCAAATAAAATGTGAAACCCTCGGCTATAGGTGAATCCTAGTGGAAGTGAAATTACTCTTTAATAATAAATACACTAATTGCATGCTATGGGATGTTTCAAACATTTTCATTTTGTTTCGGTGGGTCAGACAGTTCTCACCTGTAAAGGATCTGGATCAGTGCTGCCTTTACAAAGGAGCTTCAGGTTGACAAACCGGTTACACATCCACACCATGTTGTAAGACATCTGAGAGGAAGAAGAAAGGTTTATGTGTACCGGGCCTTTCAAGACAACAATTGCAACGCTAATATATATATATATATGTATATATATATATATATATGTGACAGTGTGAGTGTCCTGTCACAGTGTCCCGATTGATCATGCGCCCTGGCTACTTGGCCAAGGGGATGTCCCTTTGGCTGACTGGTTAGAGCGTATGACTCTCACCCCGAAAGTCTAGGGATCGAATACAACCCGGGCCGTCGTTTATCCACCTTGCCATATATATACATATATATATATGTATAATGAAAAACAAGGGAGATTGAAAATGAACTAAAAGGTAGACACCATCGTGGAAAAAAAGCTAGTGAGGAAGAAGAGGATGAACAGGAGGTCACACCAAAACCAGCTTGAAGTTTTCAGCTGCTTTTTAAAGGAGACCACTGAGTCCACTGATCTCAGGCTCAGGGGGAGAGAGGTCCAGAATCTGGAGACCACAGCAGCAGATGATCTGTCACGTTTGGTCTTTAGCTTAGGGGGGTTGAGAGTAATTATCACCAGATGCTTTAAACTGTTTCACAAGTTTAGGCCATCTGTGTTTCATTAACTGATTGAGTTATTAGGATAATTGTCAAATAATTATAAACCCAGAATATTAAAATTCAAACGATCAATGAAATGGTAAAACACAGGTGATCAAAAACCAACAAAAACGATCTTTTTTACGCAAAAATTTGAAACTTACCAAAAGCAGACCACAGGGATCATCAGCAAGCCAAATCAGAATATTCAAATACGTGGCTAGCTGCAGTCTAAGATTTATGATGCATCTGGGATGTATTTATAGCACATCCATTTTTCCACATTTTATTGCGTAACAGCCTCATTACAAATGGATAAAATATTTTTTACTCAAAGCAAAACCCCATATTGGGTCACACAATACGTAGTTAATACTGGACTACATCAAGATTTAAAAACTCACATTTTTTAGAGTTTATGTGGTGGAATTGTGTGCCAATTTATTGGTATTAGAATGGGTGGGCGTTAAAAGCTTTGTAGAACAAACAATCTGTAGTCGTTCATTGTCTGTTGTTGGACATTAAAAGAGAAAGAACAAGTAATCAGAACAATCTGCATGTTTTTTTTCCCCCGGTCATAGATGGTGTGAACAAAACCAAACTGTTGTTCTATTGTGGCCTCCTGCTCATGTAGGCATAGGGAGACTAAGTCTCCTCCCTTTTCGGTCGGCTCACGGGTCTCCAGAAGAACGAAAAAATGAATGCAACTGAACGGGGCTAAAAGAGCAAATTTTTAATCCCCGTGTTGTACTGCAAATTAAATGAAAAGTAATGAGTGTTTCGACCACGCCAGTCACGTACTTTGAGATTTATCAGCTTGTAAAAGTTCGTAATTAGCATGACTACACACCAGAAATCGGCACGTTGCATATGTGACGTTACCACATGATCTCCTCTCCCCTAACATAGCTGCTACTTGCCAAATGACATGGTGGTTCTTTCTTCCTGTGGGAAGTTTTCTGAACTTACAGCTCTTTTCCCTCAGTTTTCTTCGTGTCTGGTTCGATGACGTCACTTTCGTGATGCACACTTGTAGTCCTGGACTTATTTTCACACAAAACCTAAAATAGCGTTTTTAGCCCTGTTGACCTGCATTCATTTTCACGTTCCGGGGACCCGTGGTCCAGAAGTAGATGGGCGTGACTTAGGCTCCCTATTTTGGTAATGAAACAGCAGATAGGTTGGCTATGGAAGCTAGCATAAATATTGATTGGCGGGTACCGTTATCTATATGGTAGTTGGTATGGAAAGAAAGTAAGAAATTACGGAAAATGGTGTGGGCTAGCGAGGTCAGAGGGAGACAGTGACAAGGTATAAAGGGCTGAGTAGGTGGGAGGAGGTAAACAGAAGCAGGTCATTACTTTGTGAATGGTGCTCTTTTTAGGATGGGGAATCATCTGACTGGTTCGTGTGATTGATGTGTTGCTGCAGAAACGTGAACATCTGCTTGTTTACTACAGGAAGCTGTTGATAATAGATGGGTTGTGATAGGGACAATATTACATGTTTTTGAGGAAAACAGGACTCCATGGTAGTGGTAGTAATGTTGCCCAGGTGTTGGCAGTAGTGAAACACTGTTGGCTGCAAGCTGTCATTAAACACTACACAAATCTGGGGAAGGTGACAGAAAACATTCTGCTGCTTTGAAGGTCCTAATGAGCACAGCTGCCTCCATCATTCATAAGTGGATGAAGTCAAAACCACCAGGACTCCATCTAGAGCTGGCCGACCATCTAAACTGAGTGATCGTGGGAGAAAAGCCTTAAGGCGGAGACACGCAACGCCATTATCCGTCCTTGCGTAGGGCACGCAAGTACGTACGGAGTCGAGCCCACTTTTTTAAACATCCGTTGAACGAGACGGAGAATGCAAGCTTGTGATTGGTCAGGGCACCGCTGTAGTCTACACCGCCGCCATTGCGCCCTCAAAAACAAAGAAAGCCGAGGATAACTAGCGGCAGACACGGAGAAGCTTGAAGAATACCTCGCGAAAAAACTCTAAAATATGAATGTTTAATTCCCCCGTGACTGGAGGAGTGAAAAGTTACACAGCAAGCGTTTTATTTGTGGACGGAAATGACAGGAAACGTGGGTTTAGAGGTGGCGAGCGCATGAAGAGGTGGAGGAGAATGAGAGACAAATTTGTCGTGTTAAAAAGTCTCTTATTTACAAAAAACACAATATAAACACACTATCTTGGACCGGATACAGGACAGGATAACACAGAACAGCGCTACGCCCTCTGTTGTCCTGGTGGGGAATTGCTTTGCAACACTTCCCAGGAGACGGAGAAGCATGAGGGCAAAATGTCTCCGTCAATCCGTGTGCGTCTGTCCCTTGCGGAGCTGACGGAGAAGCATGAATCAGGTCTCCGTCAGGAGCCAGAATTCTTGCTTGTTAGTAGGTGCTGAATACTTTTGACCAAATATTTTCTGTACCATTATTTTTCTGTACCATTACATGTCATGATATCTCGTGTCCTCTCAGACCTAGTCTTCCATCTTTGTTCTGGTTCTGCTGGAGGTTTCGTCCTGTTAAAAGGGAGTTTTCTGTTCCACTATTGCACGTCACCCCAGGATGGAGGAAGTGTATACAAGCAGTTTCTGGAGAACAAATTCAACCAAGACTCTTCCTGACTAGTTCCTTTTATGGCTATGTTTATGTTTATGTGCTTAGCAGACGCTTTTATCCAAAGCGACTTACAATTTTTTTTTTTTAACCTATAGGGCATGTTGTGATCTGTGGGGGAAACCGGAGTACCCGGAGAAAACCCACGCATGCATGGGGCGAACACGCAACTCCACGCAGAAAGGCCATAGCCTTTCTACATACGGGGCTACATACAACTGTTTACTTCAGTTTATTTTACTTTTGACTGAACCTGACTGACATGGTGAGAAACACTCAAAAATGCTTTTAATGTAGCCGACTGGTTCACAATAGGTCTGCAGACGTACCTTCCATTTCCTTCTGGCATTAAATCTCTTGAAGTTCTTTATGTTGATTGAGGATCGATGCCTGTGGACTGCTTGAATGCGAGTGATGGGCTGAAAAACATGAAAAGATATGCAGCTATGGTAGGAAACATACCAGAACCACGAAGTAAACAGAACCAAACAAATCAGAAGATCTGTCCGAGGGAGACTCTAGAGTAACCTTTATCCATGGATGTTGCAGACAGTCCTCAGCAGTCATTCTCTCACTGTAACACACATAAACAGGACAAAGTGATACCAGGAACCACCAGAAACTCGTACTGTGATTTTACCTCCACAGACCAGCAAAGGTCCAAGAACCACTGTACTGTTAAAACATGCACCTTCTGATACAGGTATCCATCTACGTCCTTCACCCTGAGTGTACAGTAAGAGCAAGGAGGAAGTCTAGAGTGCCAGAACTTCTATACAGGATGAAACAACTAATGTCCTGGAGGACATCAGTAATAAAGCCTCCAGAGTGAATGTCTCAGACAACAGAAACCCAACGTGGAAGAGGAGGAGAAGGAGGAACCATCAAGGAGGGACGAGGCCCTGCATGGCTTGTACCACAGGTAGACTGAAGAAATGGCTGATATCCACTGGTCCATACATTTACAGTTAGATTACTTCCACTCACTGTTTCAAGCAAAAACCTACAGAAGCTTCAGTTTGTTTACACAGTGCCGCTAGATCATGCTAAAAAATGATGACCACATTATACTTGTACTGCGCCAACTTCCTTTGCTTCCCATCACTGCCAGAATCCACTTTAAAATCAGCCTTCTCACTCACCAACACACCTACAGCCATGCTCCCTCCTATCTCAAGGAAGGACTCACCCCTCAATCTTCAACTCGTTCTCTGCTCCCCTAAAGAATTGGTTCTGCGGCTGCTCAACTTTGGAATTCACTCCCTGACCATCTCAAAGAACAATGGTGGGGGATTGCATTCGTTTATCTTCTTTTTCCCTGTTATGCTTTTTAAAAAAGTTTTTATTCTTCCCTTTGAGTAGCACTTTGAGATTTTATAATGTAAGTGTGTAATAATATTATCCAGAATCCCTACCAAATAGCCAGAAATAAAAACATATGGAAACCCCAGAAACTCTGATCATCAGGGTCAATGGTCTACTGCACCAGACATGACCCAAGAAGACACCCGTGACAATGTCCAGCACTGTTGGGATGTAGGTGGCTGGAATGGTGTAAAGGAACAGATGTACTGACTGTGGACTGGAGGTCCCATAAAGTGTGAGGCTCCAACTACAGAGCTCAGATCCTGTGGGACTTCCACATCCAGACTGACAAACGGCTGATTGCAACCCAACAGGACATTGTAGTAGTCAACAATGTGCAGAAGAAGTCAGCGGAGATGGATGCAAGGATTCCAAGTGACAGAAACATCATACAGAAGGAACGTGAGAAGCAGGAGAAATACCAATGACAGAATTTGGTAATGGGGAAGTTTCTACTGTTATTTATTCACTGACCGCTATGAGAACAACAAACTAGGCCGTACATAAAAAACAAACAAATATGTGAACAAACACAGGGGAAAAGATAAAAGTATGAAGCAAGTTTCAGAACAGAAGTACATTTAAGATGAGGTTATTATCAGTGTCTCATTGTGGCTCAATGTCAGGGGTCATCCGACCTACCTGGGATTTTTCACCAAAAGCTTTGTGACAAAGTCTTTGGCCATGGCACTAGTAGAGTCAAAGTACTGTCTGTTAAACTCATAACTTAGGGCCAGGATGTTCTTCAGAGTTTCTTCATCAGTATCACCTTGAAATGGAGACAAACCGCTGAGTCTAAGGAGAGAAAACACAGCATGAGATATATTCCCATCAGTCCAATTGTTTGTCTTCATCAATCGCTGAAAATAAAAGCAATCACTAAATATTTTAATGAAACCCAAGAGAAATGAAAGCTTGTATTGCAGCCTGGAAATATCTTAATTATTGTTAGATTTTGTAAGTGATGGATAAAACACCGTGAAACAACATTTCAGTCATCATTTAATGTTTGTTTGTTTTTTTTGGGCAGAAGCAATTCAGTGGTTTGATATAATCTGTATAGCGATTTTTGTTCACGCACAGAAGTTTTAGTAATGCACAACGTCAGGTATAGAAGAAAAAGTGTGGTTAAGCTGTGGCTTGTGATTCCATGCCCAGCTCCTCCAGACAGAAGTCCAAAAACATGTCTGCAGCATGGAAAAAACAAAGCTGCCATGTCTTGTTTCAAGAGTGCAACACAAAAGTAACTAGCTGCTGCAGTCCAATCCACCATCCTCTACGGACGCTCCGATCCAATCACGCGATCGAAAATTGGGCCAGATTACCTGATATTAAAAGGATTGTTATTGGGTGGAAATGATCAATTTAACCTTTTAAAATGATGACTTTTTAAATTCATCCTGAAATTTAGATTTTCAAATGGAATAACAATGGCGTTTTATTTTAACGCGTTATTCTACATCAATACTCACTGTTTCTTGGATGAAAACGACGCCATAATATCACACAATTTACGGCGGTTTGCTAGCAGGTTAAGGCAGAGCTAACTCTTCAGGACAGCGAACATGTCTTCAGTTTGGTGGTATTTTAAACTGGACAACAAAGGCAGAGCAACAGCCACCTGAGATTTGTGCGCCTCAATATGCTGAAAAAGACATAGCTACGTTTCTCTTTCAGGTTTTCCCTTCGGACGTCAAAGCGAATCACTTTTTCCATTAAGTCCCAGTTCACAGCGGCAACTCGGACAAAAACATAGAGCAAACTGAAAGAGAAATATAAGCTAATAAACAAAGAGAAATTGTTTACTTATTTACCACCAAAAGATATTTCTGTTGTCACTCTGACCGTCCCTGTTAAACATCTCTGGAACTTAAAGAGGGACTGCACACCATCAGAAAATGTAACGCCACCCTTGGTCAAGATTTGAAAAATACTATGAAAGTGGGCGTTGCCAGGAGGCACAGAGTGGCATGGCCAAGTGTGGGGAATTTCCTTCCTGGGAGGGAGGGGGAGTGGGAGGAGACTGTACCGATGATGTGAAATCATTCCAGCCCCAGTCAATCACAAGTTTAAAATGCAGTAACCGCTGTTCTGCCACAGGGGGCAGCACTAAGACCTTTTTAGACCTAGATTCTAGATTTAATCAAGTTTACACAAACATGCCAAAAGAATGCACAGAAACTGAAAGATTGCATTTGTAAAGACCCAATTATACAGTTTATAAGCAAAAAAATGTTATTTTGGGATTTAGTTACTCTTTAAGTGAATACGATAAACTGTTTAGGAGGCTGGAAAAACAATCCCACCGCAGGGCATTTTCCACCATCCGATAGTCATACCTGCCACGTTTTGGATTGGAAAATAAGGGAGAGCTGGGGGTGTGGGGATGCCCTGCAGCTCAGGTCCCTGTGATTGAGAGAGGAAGGGGGGATGTCTCTGGGAATTAACATAATAGGACGCCTAAATAGGAAGCCTAGGTCTTGACTTGACAGACTTGGCAGAGCTCGAACCTGCAACCCTCCAGTTATGGGCTGAGCGTTTAACTCCTCTGCTACTGTGAGTGGCTCGTGAATTGTCTGAGGTTACCAGTACCGAGCCATAAATGCTTGCTATTCCCACTTGCAATGGGGGTGTGGCCGAGCTCAAGACTCGGTCACATTTCCAGACCAGACTTCCAGACTATGGGTCCCCGGAAGTAAGACAAAATGAATGCAAGTCATTGGGGCAATAAAAGCGATTGTTTAATCCCGTTTGTTATGTAGCATGGATTTTACATATGATGTCCATGAATTTTAAAGACACATTCTGATGCCAAGAAAGTGCTTATTTTCGAACGGGGCCATTTGTTATTTTAGGTTTGTGTGAAAAGACGTATAGGACTACAAATATTCGTCTCGCTAAATTGATGTAATCAAAACAGACACGGAGGAGATTAGGGAAGATTAGTTTAATGAGCTTCAAAATCCTTCTTCTAGGACAAAAGAAGTATGTGAACCCTTTGGAATTAAATGAATTTCTGCACAAATTGGTCAAAATGTGATCTGATTTTGATCTAAATTACAGCAATCACAGTCTGCTAAAACTAATACCACACAAATCTACTTCTAGGCCCTTTTAGGGTTCTACAACCCCACAAAGTGCTATACAACACAACCAGTCAATCACCCACACACACATTCATATACTGGTGATGATGAGCTACAACGTAGCCACAGCTGCCCTGGAGCGCACTGACAAAAGCAAGGCTGCCATACACTGGTGCCACAGGTCCCTCCTACCACCACCAGCAGACATGGAGGGTGAGGTGTGTTGACCAAAAACACGACTGCGACAGACCTGGCAGAGCTCGAACCTGCAACCCTCCAGTTACGGGCTGAGCATTTAACTCCACTGCCACTGTGAGTGGCTCGTGAATTGCCTGAGGCCACCGGTGTCGAGCCATAAACGCTTGCTATTCCTACGTGCAATGGGGGTGTGACCGAGCACAAGACTCGGCCCCATTTATACCACACAGCGGCAACACAGGTGACATCACACTGTACTGGCTAACATCACAAGGTACCTTTTAGCCAATAGCAGTGGCTGATTCAAATTCAATGTAGTTCAGACTTTTAATATGAAGAAGGTGCAACACAGACTGTTTTAGGCTGAATATTTAAATAAGATGTACTAAAATGTCTAAATTATGTCTACAGGATTATCAGGCTGCTGGAAAAACCACATATGTTGTGCTTTGGAGCTGGTTTAGCTGGTCCTGTATGGTGATCCAGGATGGGGTGCTTGCCCACCAGGTAATCCAGCACCAAAACACAACATATGCTAGTAACCAGCTATGCTGGATTTTTACAGCAGGGTAGACAATTGTTTATACAGTTTATCAGCAGAATAAAAAGCTGACTTGGGGGTAACTTGCTCTTTAATGTGTGCAGATCTCCAAAGATGTTATTTGCTAGCAAAACTAGGTGATGATAGCTTAACATCATCCAGTTGGAGGTTGAACAAGCAAATTTTTAGTTTTTAGATAAAAGTCAGTGAATCTGATATTGTTTAGGTCAGCAGAAAAGGCCTTGCTGGCCCTGACTGCACACCACTCACTCACTCACTCACTCACTCACTCACTCACTCCCATCTTATCCTGTTTGAAACGGAACTGTAGCTGATCAGCTACCATTTGTGTTTGCATTCTCATGAACACATAAAGACTTCTACTCACAGTATGTAGGTAATGACGCCGATGCTCCTGAAAGAACATAGAAAGCAAGATAGTTTAGAAAAAAAGATGATGATGAAGGTTAGGTTTAAACCTCTGTATGTATAACTCTGTATGTTCGTATAAAGTTTGTAATTAACCACTTTTTATGAGTATGCGGGTTGGGGGGCCCTGGCATATCTTGAGGGAAAAAGGTTGGAAACCTCTGATAAAAAAAAAAAAAGAGTTGGTGCAGAAAGCTCACCACATGTCTGCTGCTGGGCTGAGCGGTTCAGAGTTAATCACCTCTGGTGCTAAAAAAGACAACAACAGAGACATCAGTGGGGTGTGGACTCATAAAAACCATACAAAACGTAAACAAATAAACACTGAAATGCCTTGCATGGATTCCTGAGTGGCAGTAAAGGATTGTTCTGGCAGCTTTCTACAGAACCAGGATGTTTACAGCTTTCATATCAGTGAAGAAAATCTGAATGTGAAACAGAGCAACAGCATTAAAAGTTGGACCCAGCCTTTCTTTCTTCGGGTTTTATCAAAACTGCTGCAGGGGAACATTCTAGATGTTAGCCTGCAAGTTCCTACTTGTGCCCGACAGCAGCTGAGGTGTGATGGGACTTCACACAGATGTGGTTTTCTGTTGTAAAATGATCCTGCAGTATTTCAGACTAATGCAGTTCAAATGTGAGCTGGATGCAAAATCATGTGCTGGAGTTTCCTGCTGACACCATTTTATTCTTCTTAACACTTTTTTCACTTGATTCTTGTTTTTAATTTAGATGCCTGCAGAGCAGACGGTCGTTTCTGTGGACAACTGTTTCAACTTTCCTTTAGGCCTGTTGCATTTCTGTTAAACTGGTTTGACAAAAAGTTAAAAGCATTTTGTCAAGACTTTACTGAACCTCACCAATGTACTGGGGAGTTCCACTAGTGCTCCTGTACTCCTCCCCAGGAGAGAAGTGGTGAGCCAGGCCAAAGTCGATAAGTTTGATGTTGGGGTGTGGCGACATGTTGTCTGACAGCATGATGTTTTCTGGCTGAATTTAAAACAAGGTCAATAAAAGTTGTGTTTTGACAGGCAGGAAGTGGGCTTTGGGTTACCTTCAGGTCAAAGTGAGCGATGTTCCTACTGTGGATGAACTTCAGTCCCTCCAGGATCTGCTTTAGGAACTCAATGGCTTCGATCTCCAACAGGTTCTCCTTCGCAGCAATGAAGTCAAACAACTCCCCTCCACTGACTCTAAGATGTCCATCAGAGAAGATTTAGAAACACTTGGTCCGGCCCGCATCAAGAAGCTAACAGTTAGCTAGTATCTAAAAACAGCACTGTCTTTCAAGGCCCAGATTATCTTTTATAGTTCATATTTATCTCTTATGATCTAGCTGAGAGTATTAAATTATACAGACCTTTAACAGATCAGACTAAACATACTATATATCTATAATCTGGCTCAGATGTTTAAAGGACAGAGGCTAAGCTAGCCACAACTTCTTACTCAAATCTTCATGTTTTAGCAACACTGATCAGAAGAACCTGACCCAGAGACCTACAGCTCTATGATGAGGACCACCTCTGATCGGCTCTCAAACACGTCTTTGAGGGCCACGATGTTTGGGTGTTGTACTGCCTGGAGGATCTCCACCTCTCGCTCCACACTGACTCGGTCCAGTCCCATGCGGCTGCAGGCATTTTTACGGATCTTTAGGAACTTTCCTGCCCAACAGGTCCCGGATGTCCTCTCGCGCACCCTTCGGACCTGACCAAAGTGTCCACTGGACAGAACAAGGACACACTTGAAGATAAAACTTTGTTTAGATACACAAAGTTTCCTGTTTTAATGTAAAGGAAGCTGCTATAAAAGTTTCATTTTTAATCTTGGTTTTAATGTTGGTTTTTCTCATCTGACAAGGGTCCTTCTCCATCCAGAAGACATCTCTACTTTTACAGAGTGTCTCTGATTCTTCAGTTCTTTGTGGACTACAGAGAGCAGCAACATTAGAGAGGTGTAGTCATGGGTGAGGACCATCACTGGCTACAACAGCAGCAGGTTATGTAAACATGGCCAATGACGTCAACCAGTTTTACAGCAGTAATCAGTACCTCACCAATCTCCCTTCCCATAAAGCATGCCACAGCTATTGTTACATTAAGTTATTGTTCCACTGCATCCCCCCCCCCCCCACACCCAACCTTGTAGAGGACTCAGTAACTGTCTCCTTGTATGTTCAGTGATACAAGATACAAGAAGCTATATTTGTCATAGCACCAGCGTCCCAGTACAATGTGATGACAACAAGATTGCTCCTCCTCAAACCCCCATTGCACCCTCGGCACCATCCCACTCCCTCTCAGGAGATGTAAGGACTCCCCCCTTCGACTTTCCAAAGGAGGAGGTGGAAATAGAGATGAAGATGCTTTGTACTGGGAAAGCTGTGGGCTTGGATGGTGTGTCTAAAGCCTGATTTATACTTCTCCATCTGCATGAGTGTGGCGACATGCAACGCCATGATGCCCTGACACAATGGCTCTGAGGATGACGGAGAACACAATGCAATTGGTCACAAAGCCATTTCCTTTGCAGAATATTCAGGTGTCCAGTGAATCGAGAGTGCCTCTTTCAATATTGGGCCTTTGTATTGCTGACCAGTCCGCGGAAGAAGTCCAACGATACAAACATTGTTACAATCGTGACACACGGAGTACAAAGATACGCATAAAATTTTTAACTCGTGGAAGGAAATTACGGGAGACATGGGTTTGGAGGTGGCAACTGAATGAAGAGGTAGAGGAGAATGAGGGAAAAATGTGTCCATGCTAAAAGGTCTCTGAAATCCATAAACACCATCCATCCATTTTCACTGGCTTATCCGGGTCATGTCGCGGGGGCAGCAGCCTAAACTGAAAGGCCCAGACAGGCGACGGTGGCACAGGAGTTAAGTGCTCGCCCCGTAATCGGAAGGTTGCAGGTTCGAGCCCCGCTCAGTCTGTCGCTGTCGTTGTGTCCTTGGGCAAGACACTTAACCCACGTTGCCTGCTGGTGGTGGTCGGAGGGACTGGTGGCACCAGTGCTCGGCAGCCTCGCCTCTGTCAGTGCGCCCCAGGGCAGCTGTGGCTACATTGTAGCTCATCCCCACCAGTGTGTGAATGTGTGTGTGAATGGGTGAATGACTGATTGTGTTGAAAAGCGCCTTGAGGGGTTTCAAGAACTCTAGAAGGCGCTATATCAAATACAGGCCATTTACCATTTCCCTTTCCACAGCCACTTGGGCCAGTGCCCCCGGGGGAATCCTAAGGCATTCACTGGCCAGCTGTGAGACATAGTCCCTCCAGAGTGTCCTGGGTCTTCCTTTAGGTCTCCTCCCAGTTGGACGTGCCTGGAAAACCTCACCAGGGAGGCGTCCAGGAGGCATCCTAACTAGAAGAAGAAGAAGAAAATATAATTTCTATAGCGCCTCTCAAGATAAAAATCATGAGGCGCGTCACAAAAACAAAAATTTTTTAAAATATTTTAAAAAATTAGGAAAATGGTTAAAAATATATTTAAAATGAGCAAAAATAGACAGTTGTGATTAAAAAATGTTAAGAAAGAAAGAGCATGAATAAGAAAGAGGGAAATCAGTGGATCCTGAGGAAGGTGGAATAGGTGGGGAGAGCAGAATAAAGAGAGAGTGGTGAAGAAGGTCATACAAAAGCCAGCTTGAACAAGTGAGTTTTCAGCTGCTTTTTAAAGGAGACCACTGAGTCCACTGATCTCAGGCTCAGGGGGATGGGCCACAGCAGCAAATGATCTGTCACCTTTGGTCTTTAACCTGGTGCTGCACAACCAGTAGGCTTTGATCACTGGACCTCAGGGACCTGCTGGGGGTGTAGGGACTAAGAAGATCACCGATGTAAGATGGTGCTTGTCCATGTCAGGCCCTATAGACCAGAACCAGGATCTTGAAATGAACCCTGAAGTTGACTGGCAGCCAATGAAGCTGGAGGAGAAGCGGGGTGATGTGGGTGTGTTTGGAGGACTTGGTCAGAAGCCGAGCACAGGCTAGATGCTCGAGCCAACTTAACTGGATCATCCCAACATCCATCAGTACATAAACACAATTTAAAAAATACACAATAGTAAAAACACTATCGTGGACCAGAGACCCCCCAGGAAAGCACCACCGGTTCTACTGAAGACATCATGCCTAGTTCCGTTACTGTTTCTCCACTGAAAAAACATTTTTACTGAAAGAAAAAGTAGTCCAGATTTCTTTTTCCTACACCTGAACCTCCCTTAAACTTGAGTCCTCTTTACATGCAAATGTTTGCTAAGCTTACCCTGATTTGCCTGCTGCTGTATCACTGTTGACCAGAGCCTTCTGTTTGAGTGTTTAATTTGCCCAGCAGCAGCAGTACACACTGACAATAGGCCCCTTTCCACTTGCAGAACTTCATGGTAACTTGACCAGACCTTTGCGTCATGGATGTGTCTCCATTTTACCAGGCGTCCCCAAAAGGACTATTTCCAAGGACATTTCAGGAACCAAAAATTATCCAAACTGGGATATGTATGCGGAAAAGCCCTGTGGAGACACTGGAAGTGGACCTGTGGTTAACTCGGGCTGACTGGTCGTAACTCAGATATTGACAGACGTCGCCAAACAACCTGCATTTGTGAAAATGGAAGAGTTGCTAGTGAAACAGAATCAGCGGCATTGACGCTGCTTTAAAATCCCCATTTCTAACTTTCCAACATCAAAAAATGTGGCAGATATTCCTCTACAACGCCATAATCCACGGCGCTTTGGTCTCCCACTGAGGGCTGTACAGTTATTTTCTTTTGGTCATTTCATACTGCTTTTACATCAGACAGCCACTCTCCATTAAATTACAGCATGTTTGACAGAATAAAACATGTTATTACTGTTCACTGGCGCCTTTTGGCACTAATCATTGACATCACTCTCTGCCGAAACACTCGCAATATCCTAATGTCTTAGCAAAGGCCTGAAAGGGCCGATTTTGAATAGATACACAACAGTTGAGAAGACCGAGCCATCGTTGTTTCCCTGTAACCATTTCCCCCTCCCAGAAATTTCCCACAGCTCCTATAGTGGATGGCTATCACCGTTCTCCACTAGACAAGCTGTTTCATTAACTGATGGAAGACAGAACTTCATTATACGTGGAAACATGTTCAGTTACTGTTCATAGGACAATAAACTGCAAACTTGAACATTTTTACAATCAGTAAATCTTCTGTAATAAATAAAATCTGATCTCAAATGCTGTCATTAAGTTCCACAAAAGCCTGGTCACAAGCCATATTCCGGAACTGCGCTGCTCTGGGTGGCTGCATGTTGGAGTAGCTCTGTTGACTATATGTAAGTTTTGCCTTTTCTTGGACATTTTTTTTCTTCTGGTTTCTCGAGAGGAACGGTATTTTTTTTGACATTTTACTTTTCTGTTTCTGGTGCTGTGAAGCTTGGATGATTTTTACTGCTATTTTTTCACTTTTTGAGCATTTGTTATGATGTGTAACCATGGCAACAAGCTGGTTTACAATCGGGAGCAGCTGATTAACATTGGGAAGGCTGAAATAATACCTCAACTGAAGCCACAAATCCCAAATGAGCTAAAACGCAAGAAGCGTGGGTGCAGAGCGGGAGCAAAACGGAGACAGAGAAAGAGGAAATTCAAACCATCTCTTCCATCGATCATAATGGGCAATGTGAGATCACTGGCCAACAAGATGGATGAACTCCAAGTCATTTCAAGGACTCAGCCAGAGTATCGGCAGTGTAGTGTTATGTGTTTCAGTGAGACGTGGCTGCAGGACCATATCCCCGATTCCAGCATCTCTCTGCCAGGATTCCTGACTGTATGAGCAGACAGAGATCTGAAGAGGAGCGGGAAAAGAAAAGGAGGTGGAGTGGCAGTGCTTGTCAACAACAGATGGTGCCATCCAGGTCATGTTTCAGTGAAATGTCATCTCTGCAGCCCAGATGTTGAACTCTTGGCAGTAAGTTGTCACCCATATTATTTGCCAAGAGAGTTCACCAGTGTTGTCTTGGGAACCATTTATATTCCACCTTCAGCCATTGCTGAAAATGCATGTGATGCCATCAGTTCCGTTGTCGCTAAGCTACAAACCCAGCACCCCAATGCATTTGTGGCTATATCTGGTGATTCTAATCATACCTTGCTCTCTGCTACACTTCCAACATTTCAACAGTTTTTTAGCTGCTCCACCAGAGAAAACAAGACATTGGATTTGTGTTATGCAAATGTAAAGAATGCATACATGTCCAAAACAAGACCTCCTCTGGGACAATCAGATCACAATCTTGTTTTTCTCTGCTCAGAATACAAACCACTTGTTCAGAGGCAACCTGTGACAAGAAGAACTGTGAGAAAATGGTCACAGGACGCTGAAGAAGCCCTGCAGAGTTGTTTTGAGACCACAGATGGATGACTCTCTGCCAAGGATATGAAGAGGACATCAATGACATGACTGGATGTGTCACTGACTATATAAACTTCTGTGTGGAGAAAATCATACCCACCAGAACAGTGAGATGCTTTGCTAATAACAAACCCTGGATCACCAGTGAACTGAAGAATCTGCTAAATGAGGAAAAAAAGAGCCTTCAAGGAGGGAGACTCGCCCATCAGTCAATGTCGACTACAGACCGGTTGCCCTGACATCCCACATCATGAAGGTCCTGGAGAGACTCCTGTTGGTCCACCTGAATAAGCAAACTAGAACATATCAGGACCCGCTGCAGTTTGCTTATCGCCATGGAGTTGGAGTTGAGGATGCCATCATCCAGCTGCTTCAACCAATCCACTGTCATCTGGACAAAGCAGGCAGCACTGTCAGGGTCATGTTCTTTGATTTCTCCAGTGCATTTAACACAATCCAGCCTGATGTACTTTGCCAGAAACTCCAGAAGACACAGTTGGGGGCCTCAACTATCGCCTGGATTAAAGACTGCCTGACAGACCACAGTTTGTGAGGCTGAAGAACTGCACATCAAACCAGACGATCAGTAACATTGGAGCACCACAGGGGACTGTACTCTCACAATTCCTTTTCACCCTGTACACCTCAGACTTCCAGTACAAATCAGAGACCTGTCATCTACAGAAATACTCAGATGACTCTGCAATTGTCGGGTGTATCAGAGATGGACAGGAAGCTGAGTACAGAGAGCTGGTGGAGCGCTTTGTGGCATGGTGTGGAAAGGAGATGATTTTAGACTTCAGAAGAAACAGGGTGGAGTCAAACACTGTTTCCATCATGGGAGAATAAGTGGAGGTGGTTGAGGAATACAAATACCTTGGAGTTCACTTGGAAAACAGACTGGACTGGAGAAAGAACAGTGAAGCCGTTTACAAGAAGGGGCACAGCAGACTGCACTTCTTGAGGACGCTTAGGTCCTTCAATGTCTGTAGCAAGATGCTGCAGATCTTCTACAAGTCTGTTTTTGAGAGTGTAATCTCTTCAGCCATCGTCTGTTGGGGCAGTAGCATCAGAAGCAGGGACCTGAAAAGGCTCAACAGCCTAATAAAAAAGGCTGGTTCTGTTCTGGAGACGACTGTGGAACCACTGGAGGAGATAATGCAAAGAAGGATTCTCCAGAGAATCAAGAAAATGATGGACAACCCTGAGCATTCTCTTCACAAGACTGTCCGACAACAGAGGAGTGTCTTCAGTCAGAGGCTTCTTCAGTATCGCTGCAACACTGACCGCTACTGGAGATCCTTCCTGCCAACAGCCATTGTAATATACAACAACTCTTTGATGACTTGACTATTGTTATTATTCTGAGCTACTACAGCAATCAGTTTCCCTCCGGGATTAATAAAGTATTTTTGAATTTGAATTTGAATAAGATTAGACTAATGGGGTTAGGGCTTGTGTGTGTGCTTAGCTCATTTTTATAAAACTGGATCAATAAAGTTTCAGAACTCTCTGTATTTTGTAATCTGTGAATTCAAACAGTTAGAGCAGGAATACCTTCCCAGAACATCTTCGATCTCATAGAAGTCCTCCACATTTTCTGGCTTGAAGACAGCCATGGTTTCTCAAACGAGTCTCTTTGGTTCTTCTGCTAGTAGTTTAGCAGTCTGTCCTGGGTTCTGAAGGATTGTCCCACCACAACCAGCAAAGCTGGACCTACAAACAGTTAAACAAAACATACATAAATATTATGACCTCTGTCTGCTGCATCCATCTGGTGCCACAAGGGGTTCAGTTGATCAACCTTCTTAGGAGAAATTATTGTCACCTCTACCGGCAGCTGCACCAAATCCTGGATCTAAGGCAGTGGCTCCCAACATGGGATCCGTGACCTCCCCGAGAGGGTCCCCACAATTATATCTGTGCTGGGTTTACCAACATAAAAATGTTTTAAATCCAGATAACACACTCAACAGTACAACCAAGGCTGTGTAAGAGGCATGACTCTGTATATCTGTATGAAGTTTTTAACTATTCACATTTATTTATGTGCCTTTGGGCAGGAGTTGGGGGCCCTGGCTTGTCTTGGATACTGGAAAGGGGTCCCCATGAAAAAGGGTTGGAAACCACTGATCTAAGGCATATTCACGATACTAAACAATGTGTCAGAAAAGTTCCATTTTCCAACACAAACTGATTTACCATTTTTTTATACATCGGCATCGGCTGATATACAGACGTGGACAAAAGTGTTGGTACCCTTCAATCAATGAAAGAAAACCCACAATGTTCACAGAAATAACTTGAATCTGACAAAAGTAATAATACATTAAAATTCTATCAAATTTAACCAATGAAAGTCAGACAATGCTTTTCAACCATGCATCAATGGGATTTTTTTATAAAAAGAAACTAATGAAAGAGGTCTGTACAAAAAAATTGATGGTACCTCCAGAAAAGACTGAAATAATGTGACCAAAGGGATATGTTAATTCAAGATGTGTCCGCTAATTAGCATCACAGGTGTCTACAATATTATAATCAGTCAGTGGGGTTATATATAGGGCTCCAGGTAGTCACTGTGCTGTTTGGTGAGATGGTGTGTACCACACTCAACATGGACCAGAGGAAGAGAAGGAAAGAGTTGTCTCAGAAGATTAGAAATAAAATTATAGACAAGCATGGTAAAGATTAGATGTAAAGCTGATCTAAGGCATATTCCACATCACCCCAGTTCTTCAGCTGCTCCACTGGCTTCCAGTTAAATTTAGGACTCCACACCTTCGAAGCAATATATAATCTTTCTCCTCCCTACTTAACAGACCTCATTAATATTGCCACCCCATCATGCTCACTCATATCTTCTTCCTCTCTCCACCTTGTTGCTCCTTCTGCATGCCTCACTACCATGAGGGACAGAACTTTCAGCCGTTCTGCTGCCCGTCTTTGGAACTCACTTTCCCCAGACATCAGAAACATGGGCTGACTCACCCTTTTCAAATCTAGACTCAAGACTCATCTGTTCAAAGCTGCTTATGACTTGTTTGATTTGTTTTATTCTTGGTATTTTACAGTATGTTATTGAGTTTATCTTATGAAGGGGCTTTGGGTGTTTTGAAAGGCGATTTTAAATCAAATGTATTATTATTAATATTAAGGCATTTAGATGTTTCTTTAACTACAGTTGTACATATTATTAAAAAATTTCAGATCCATGGGACTGTAGCCGGCTGCACAGTGGCGCAGTGGTTTGAGCTGTTGCCTTGCAGCAAGAAGGTCCTGGGTTTGCTTCCCAGCCTGGGATCTTTCGGCATGGAGTTTGCATGTTCTCCCTGTGCATGCGTGGGTTCTCTCTGGGTACTCCTGCTTCCTCCCACAGTCCAAAAACATGACTGTTAGGTTAACTGGTCTGTCTAAATTGTCCTTAGGTGTGAGTGTGTGTGTGTGTGATTGTTTGTCCAGTGTGTCTCTGTGTTGCCCTGCGATGGACTGGCTCTCTGTCCAGGGTGTACTCTGCCTGATTGCCCATTGACCGCTGGAGATAGGCACCAGCCCCCCCGCGACCCTACGTGGACAAGCGGGTTCAGATTGCCCATTGACCGCTGGAGAGAGGCACCAGCCCACCCGCAACCCTACGTGGACAAGCGGGTTCAGACAATGGATGGATGTGGACTGGCTCTCTGTCCAGGGTGTACCCTGCCTGATTGCCCATTGACCGCTGGAGATAGGCACCAGCCCCCCCCCCACGACCCTACGTGGACAAGCGGGTTCAGATTGCCCATTGACCGCTGGAGATAGGCACCAGCCCCCCCGCGACCCTACGTGGACAAGCGGGTTCAGACGATGGATGGATGGATGGACGGATGGATGGATGGACGGACGGACGGACGGATGGATGGGACTGTAGTCAATGTCCTTGGATGTGGCTGCAGGAGAAACATTGATGACAAATCAAAGAGATGGAAAATTCGAATGGTAACAAGAGCCCAGACAACCTTCTAAAAAGATCCAAGGCAAACTTGAAGCTCAAGGCACATACAATCAGTGTCAGATCGCACCATGATTTGTTGTTTGAGCCAAAGTAGACTACATGGGAGATGACCAAGAAGGACACCGTTGTTGAAAACAAATCATAAAGTAGCCAGAATGGAATATGCCAAAACTACATGTTGACAAGCCACAAAGCTTCTGGGGAAATGTCCTATGGACAGATCAGACTAAAATTGAACTTTTTGCCAAGACACATCAGCTCTATGTTCACAGACGCAAAAATGGAGCATATCAAGAAAAGAACACTGTCCCAACTGTGAAACATGGAGGCTCTGTTGTGTTCCGGGCTGCTTTGCTGCATCTGGCACAGAGTGTCCTGAATCTATGTAGGGTACAATGAAATCTCAAGACTATCAAGGGTTTCTAGAGAGAAATGTGCTGGCCAGTGTCAGAAAACTTGGTCTCAGTCACAGGTCATGGGTCTTACAACAGGACAATGACCCAAAACACAGCTAGAACACCCAAGAATAGCTAAGAGGAAAACATTGGACTATTCTAAAGTGGCTTTCTATGAGCCCTGACCTCAGTCCTATTGAGCATCTTTGGAAGGAGCTGAAACATGCCGTCTGAAAAATGTGCCCTTCAAACCTGAGACAACTGGAGCTTATGAGTGGGCCAAAATACCTGCTGAGAGGTGCTGAAGTCTCATTGACAGTTATAGGAATCATTTGATTGCAGGACCTATACCCGAGTGCTGTCTTCAAAAAGGAAAGAGTTGAAATTTCATATAACTAATCACAACACACCTGAATTCCAATAATTCTTGTCTAGGGCTCCGAACCAGACCCCGTCATCATCTAAAGATGCAAACAAATGCTGCCATAGGAAGAGAACTGGACCATCTTCTGTTTTTACTGGCTAGGACCCAAGAAGTCAGAACTTCTATCTTGGTCTAAAGAAAGAAAAGCTGTTCAAAACTAACATCTGACAATCTTTATTACCAAAAGCTATTCAAATTAACTGGGGACATACATATTTACAAAACAAAAAGGTAGATCTCAACTTTGCTATTACTGTTCAACTTTTTGGCAGAGGTGTGACCAAGTCACTGCTTTGCAAGTCAGTCACAAGTCTTTCCAATCAAGTCTCATGTCAAGTCCAAGTCAAAGACAACCAAGTCCAAGTTGAGTCCAAAGTCAATGATCTGGAAGTCCAAGTCTAGTCCAAGTCCTTAACTTAGAATTTTCAAGTCATAATCAAGTCATAATAATAATAATACATTTTATTTCAACAGCACCTTTCTAAACACTCGACACTTTACAGACAGAGATAAAATACACAACAATAAAAGACAGAACAGCATAAAACAAACAGACAGATTGGAGCAAAGAGAGTAACTATTGGAATGCTAGACGGAACAGGTGGGTTTGGAGTCTGGTTTTAAAGAGAGTGAGGGAGTCAATGTTACAGAGGTCAGGAGGGAGTGAGTTCCAGAGCTGGGGAGCAGAGCGACTGAAGGCCCTGATCCCCATAGTGACCAGACGAAAAGGTGGGACAGAGAGGTGGATGGAGGAGGAGGACCTGAGGGAACGGGTGGAGGTTGAAGGATGAAGGAGGTCTGAGAGGTACGGGGGAGCTAGGTTATGGATGGCTTTGAATGTATATAGCAGAATTTTGAATTGGATTCTGGAAGTGACTGGGAGCCAGTGGAGCTGCTGAAGAACAGGGGTGATGTGGTGGAAGGAGGGAGTTCTGGAAATGATGCGGGCTGCCGAGTTCTGGAGAAGTTGGAGTTTATGGAGGGATTTGTGAGGAAGACCGAAGAGAAGAGAGTTGCTGTAGTCAATACGGGAAGTGATGAGGCTGTGGACAAGGTTGGCGACCGAGTGAGTAGTGAGGGAGGGGTGTAGGCAGTTAATGTTACGTAGATGGAAGTAGAAAGACCGGGTATTATTGTTTATGTGGGACTGGAAGGATAGTGACGAGTTGAGGATGACACCCAGACTCTTGACCAGAGGGGAGGGGGAAACTAAGGAGTTGTCGACAGGAAGTGTAAAGCTGTGGATTTTGTACAGTAAAGATTTAGTGCCGACAAGTAACATTTCTGTTTTATCACTGTTAATTTTGAGAAAGTTTGATGTGAACCGGTCTTTGATTTCAGATAAACAATTGGTGAGGGAGGAAGGAGGGAGTGAAGAGGAGGGTTTGGATGATACATAGAGCTGGGTGTCATCCGCGTAACAATGAAAATGGATGTCAAATTTACGGAAAATATTTCCCAGGGGAAGAAGGAAAGTGATGAAAAGGAGTGGACCGAGAACAGAGCCTTGGGGGATGCCAGCAGTGACAGGGAATGGACGGGAAGTGAAGGATTTGAGTTGAATGAACAGTACGGCCAGAGAGATATGAACGGAACCAATCAAGCGGGGTATGAGAAATGCCAAGGGAAGACAATCTATGGAGGAGGATGGTGTGAGAGATGGTATCGAAGGCTGAACTCAAGTCGAGGAGGATGAGAATGGAGAGCAGTCCAGTATCGGCAGCAGTAAGGAGGTCGTTAGTGATTTTTATGAGTGCAGTTTCTGTGCTGTGGCAAGGTCAAAAACCAGACTGGAAGGGCTCATAGTCATCTGTCCATCTTCAATTTAATGACAATGATAATAAATAAATTCCAGAAATAAAGCTTCTTAAAGCTTCATTTATTTACTCAAACAAGCAGGAAGTGCAACTGAAATGGATTCTAAACAAAGAGCTGCTGCATTTAGAACAAGATCAAACCCAGAACAAAGAATGATTTATGATTTTTGTCCATGTAGTGGCACTTTTGTGCTAAAATATCAAATATGCTCAAGTCGTCATCAAGTCAACAGATGCAAGTCGATTCAAGTCGCAAGTCATTGACGTTCAAGTTTGAGTCAAGTTGCAAGTCTTAATAGATTTTATTAAGTCAAGTCAGAAGTCATTAAAATAATGACTCAAATCTGACTCGAGTCCCAGTCATGTGACTCGAGTCCACACCTCTGCTTATGTATTTGAATCCTCCCTTTCCTGCCTGCAGACTGCCAAGTGACCAATGTTCCATACAAGGCTGCATGGTGGATCAGCTGGTAGCACTGTTGCCTCTCAGCTTGTAGGTTCGAATTCTGCTTGCAGATTTCATTGTTCCCCTCATGCACGAGAAGAAAGATAACATGCATGGGCTTTGTCCAGTATTTTCCTCCTACGGACCACAAACATGAATGTCTGGTTAACTCTAAACGGTCTTAGTGTGATACTGGTTATGTGTCTGTGATGGACTGGAGACTTGTCCCCAACTGACCATGGTGAGGATGAAGCAGTTTAGAATACGAGCGAATGTGTTTTAGAAGTGGATTTTAAATTAATTTATTTGTCAATTAAATGTTTTTCTACATTAGTTGTTTCTTAAGGGATGAAGCATTTGATAGGCATGAAGAGTGATTAAACTTACTGACAGTTTTATAGCAAGAGTTTTGTGTTTTCTTAAATTCTTCATTGTCAGTAAATCAAATACTTTGTCAATAAGGAATCTCTGAGTGTGCCGAACTGAACCAGGACCAGAAAAAAGAACTGAGTCAGGCTGTGACAGCAGACCCTAACCCTAATCATCAGAACCTCATTCATAAAGCTTGCTGAAGAAATTAGGTCTGAAAATCTCCCGAGATAATTTACACAAACTTTGTGATTTATAAGAAAATTTTGACCGTGGTGTCAGCACACGTTGGAGACGAGAAACTGGCAAAATGGCTGGTTAGATGGTGACGTGACACACACACACACACACACACACACATAAACCCTGACCCATTTCTGAACTGAGAATAAAAATGAGAGACAGAATGAAAATATGATGCATTTAAGGTGATCACGCAACATTCATACATTCATCTGTAGATTACTTATTGGTACACTGACTCTGATGCGCAACAACGCAGCTGGTGTTAACAAAACTATAAGACTCCTAAATCAGCTCATTTAAATGGTGGAGGCACACAACACTGCATTCTTGGGTTTCTTGCAACTGGCTCGTTCCAGTGGGAATTGGCCAACAGGCGGGTTGATATTTCTTTTATTTGATGAACAACATATGTCATTTCCTGCCTAAAGCCGCTTTGGGTTACATTAAAGGAGTGCAACACTGAAAAACAATTTTAAAAGTTTTTTTTCCAATTATAATGTGTTACTCTGAGTTTTCCATGCAGGCTGAACTTGAAATAGTCTCCTTTACCCATCTCTTGCATTAGCTTCTGATTGAAAATAGATGGTGAAACTCTAGGATTTGAAAAACTGTATTTGAGCTTGTCCAAAATGCTGCAGCTAGAGTTCTGATGAGAATTAAAAAGAGATATTAGCCTGCAATATCTCTCCTGTCTTAACTTCCCTACATTGGCTGCCAGTTAAATTCAGAATAGATTATAAGATCCTCCTTCTCACATATAAAGCTCTTAATAATCAGCTCAATCATACATCAGTGATCTGATTGTTCCATATGTTCCCAACAGAGCACTTTGCTCTCAGGACTGCAGGTTTACTGGTGGTATCTTATAATAGGATGGGGGGCAGATCTTTTAGCTATCAGGCTCCTCACTTGATTTCAGTCTCAGTGAAACTGCTATGGTTACCTGTGAAATGCCACAGATCAGCTGGTTTATGAATATGCAGCGTTTATATGGTCGTATGGCAGAAAGTGGGGGTGGAACATAACCAAATAACACTTTGACCAAGTAATTTAGCTTAAGTAGAGTTTTAGTAAAGATTCCACACAAATGTCATAAATGTGGCCCCAGAATATGTTTTATGATGCAGTAGGTGGAGCCAGGAAACAGAACCAAACAAGACCAGTTGAAGCTTCTGGCTGGTGTTCTACTGAAAACAGAACCATGAAATAATCCAGATATTTATGGTGCTGTTAGTGGACAAAAAGGGGGAAACATGTTCATTCATCATAACAATAACAGAAGCAGCCATTTAAAAATCCACTCTATTCAGGCAGGTTCACTTAATCATGAAATAAAGTTCCCTGCAATTAATCATTTGATGCATGAATTTTGAAATCTCCAGCCATGATTTTTTTAAACATTTTTTTCATTCATCTTTAGGTGTGAATGAAACAAATTTCAACAAATATTTTTTGTAACATTTAATAATTTACAAATAATTTATTACATGTTCACCTAGTGGACAGCATGCATTCTGAACATGAAATATGTTTGCTTGACTTACTGAAGTCCAAATGGAGGGGCTCAAATCCAATAAAGTCATCAACAGCTATGCTTAAAGAGCAAGTCACCCCCTACCAGATCCATACTCAACTCCCACTTCCTGTTTGAAAAATGCAACAAATGCTGTTGCCTAACAGACCGAGAGGGTGGAGCCGCTAACAAATACACACACTCACGACATTGTGACATCATAATGTACCATCTAACATAGTGTACCTCTTAGCCAATAGCGACGGCAGATTTAAATTCAAATGCAGTGCTGAGTTTTTACCGGACGACGGTGCAACACTGACAGTTTTAGGCAGAATATTTAAATTTTAACTTATATGCACTAAAGTGCCGAATTATTGACTACACGTGTCTGCAGCACGATCAGACACTCATTTATATAGTTTATCAGCAAAAAAAAAATGTTGATTTGGAGTGACTTGCTCTTTAAAAGCAAAATAAAAAACTAAAAAAAAAAAACTAAAAATTTGAGTATTTGTCCACTGTAGTGACTGTTATGAATCAAAGCGTTACATGAAAACATGATTAAAATGTGCGAATTTAAAAAATGCAATAAAATCACCCGTCATTCTGATCAAAACTAATCTTGAGATTCTTTTCAGGGCCAAATTAATATAGGGCCCTATGAGTACATACTTGGTGTTTTGTAGTAGTTTTTAACCATTTATACCTTCTCAAGGGTTTTAATAACATATACAACAATGAGAACTCTAATGTGTAAAGTTTATAGTATATATTTACTATTTATGCTTTATTCAAGAGGATGCTGCGTTCAGGAAACCTCTGAAACACCAGAACAATTCCGTGTGGCAGGGACGCTGCCCTTTCTCAGGTGAATCTGCCTGGATGTGAAGAACCGGACCCAAACGGTTCGAGTGAACAACGTCAGAACAAACTAAGCTTGTGTTAATAAACTTTTTATGAACCTATCGTGTTTATTTCTCCAGGTGAGTATTCATAACTGAACCAACTCGAGGTCGGAACTTCAAACCTTTCCAGATCCTCTTTTTGTCCGCGCGCACTCCCGACTCCGTTACTGATGTTTCGTTGGCACGAACATCGACAACCGGTCCGTTTATGTGGGGAACGGGGTTATCCGGTGCTTTAGGGTCCTGGGTGGTACTGGTTATTAACTCTCCTCCTCGGTCCGAAACCTGGACCAGTTCCTCCCTCGTACAAACACCAACCCCGTTAGGTAACCGAACCTCCTCCCGCTGGACCCAAATGGTGTTTGACCACTCACCGTGATCAGTGAGATCCTACGGTGAGATTCGGTGTTCCGAGGTTCTTCGGAACCGTCAGCTTTCCGTCCGCGAGCGTGTGTGACTGTGCGCATGAAGCAGAAGGGAGAAGCAAGAATGCGGAAAACGCGTTTGTTTTACGAGCTGCGTCCTGGTGCGTCAGGGGCCGGAACCAGCGGGTCTGGTTCTACAGGTCTGGTGTTACAGGAGCCAATATCAGCAGGTCTGGTACCAGCAGGTCTGGTTCTACAGGGACTAGAACCATCAGGTAAGTCTACAGTATCAGAAGGTCTGGTACAAGCGAGTCTGGTTCTACAGGGACCAGGACCAGCAGATCTGGGTCTACAGGGACCAGAACCAGCAGATCTGGGTCTACAGGACCAGAACCAGCAGATCTGGGTCTACAGGTCTACAGGGGCTGGAACCGGCGGGTCTGGTTCTACAGGTATGGGTCTACGGGGGCCAGTATCAGCAGGTCTTGTACCAGCGGGTCAGTGTCTACAGCAGAGGTGTCAAACTCATTTTAGCTCAGGGGCCACATTGAGGGAAATCTAGTCCCAGGTGGGCCGGACCGGTAAATAAAAAAAAACTTCAGATTGTTTTCTTTGTTTTAATTCAATCAATATAATACAAGGCTGGAGCTTGAGGACAGTGTAGTACAAGTACAACACCTGAAGTGTACTTGAAAATTTGAAAAAAAAAAAAAAAAATCGTAAATGGCCTTTATTTGATATAGCGCCTTCTAGAGTGCTGGAACCCCCCAAGGCGCTTTACAACACAACCAGTCATTCACCCATTCACACACACATTCATACACTGGTGGAGATGAGTTATAATGTAGCCACAGCTGCCCTGAGGCTCACTGACAGAGGCGAGGCTGCCGAGCACTGGGGCCTCCGACCACCACCAGCAGGCAACGTGGGTTATGTGTCTTGCCCAAGGACACAACGACAGTGACAGACTGAGCGGGGCTCGAACCTGCAACCTTCTGATTACGGGGCGAGCGCTTAACTCCTGTGCCACCGTCGCCCCCAAAAAAATCAATAAATGAAAAAACATTCCTTAGTGATTCAAAGAGCTTACAGATCGCATGGCTATATCAGTTTCATGCAGCAGTTAAAGTATATTTGACTCATTTTACTTTACATCTTTTAGCTTTCACCAGCACATCAATATCAGAAGTCACATCCTGAGTGGCGGCCAACTTCAGGATGGGATTCAAGTTCTTGTGTGAGCCTTGAGCGCAGCTTTGTTTTATTTATACTCATTACAGAGAAAACTTGCTCACAAAGATACGTTTATTTTCACTCTACATTGTAAAGTATGAAAATAAAGTTTTCACAACCATCTCGCCGGATCCGGCCCGCATCTTTGACACCCCTGGTCTACAGGGGCCAGTACCAGCAGATCTGGTTCTCCAGGTACCAGGACCAGCAGGTATGAGTCTGCAGGTCTAATGGGCCATTCCCATCTGTACCGGGTCGGCCCGGGCCGGGTAGCGTAGGTTGTTTACATATCTGGGTGGCCTGGTATTTTTCTGGGCCAACCAAGGCTCATTCTCAGCCCTCTTCTCGAGGGGGTCTGCTTCAGGCCGACCAGGGCCAACACACCCACTGCTGACAGCAAATTCACACCTTCCATTAGAGCAAGCCTCTGATTGGTGGGTAGAATCAGCCCACATGGGCTTTAGGCAAGGATGTGTGGAATCAACCGGGCCAGGCTGGGGCTGACTGGGGCTACCCGGCCCGGGCTGACCCGGTACAGATGGGAATGGCCCATAAGTATGTAGGGGCCGGTACCAGCGGGTCTGGGTCTACAGGGACCAGAACCTGCAGGTATGAGTGTACAGTATTAGAAGGTTTGGTACCTGCGAGTCTGGGCCTACAGGGACTAGAACCAGCTGGTACTAGTCTACAGGTCTAAGTCGACAGGTCTGGGTCTACATGGGCCACTATCAGCAGATCTGGTACCAGCGAGTCTGTCTACAGGGGCCAGTACCAGTAGGTCTGGTACCAGCGGGTATGGGTCTGGAACAGAACAGGATCAAAGACAAGACAAAGTTAATTAACCTGCAATACAGGTTCTGATAGGTTCGGTAGATCTTTAGAACTCCTGCTAGAATCAATCCCAGCTCAGGTTCTGGGTGTTGGTCTGACGGGTACGGCCTTTACTGGTTCTGATGGTCCTTAGGCTGTTCTGTAGAAACTTTATGAACTTGTTTCTGGGTCGGTCAGAACTTATGCTGCCCAGAGAGACACAGTCCCTGCTCACACCTCCCCCCACATCCTGCTTCCAGTCTGGGAACTGGACCGTTGCTTGTGAAGAGGACTCAGAAGCTCAGGTTCTATGGTCTCAGACTTAGAGGTCTTGGTTTGGACCCACAAAACCAGCAGAACCCACCTCACCTGAAACACTTGCTGCCACCACATCAGAGGAATAATTTAACAACGATTAAATCAGTTTTGTTAAAAATAGCTTTATTAATGAAACTGGTTTTAATGGTCCACCCAGTCTGGTCCATGATGGACCAGCAGAACCAGGTAGAAGGAATGATGATATTTCCACAGCAGTTCCTCCCCCAGTCTCCAGGAGGTACATACTAGTTTGTTCCAGACTAGTTTCTCCGAGCTCCTTTACTCCGAACACGGGTCGGGTTAGCCCCCCCCCCCTCCAGGGTTTCCTGAAGGTTTCCTTCCTTTCCCAAGTTTCAACCCCGAGTGGCTCCTTAGTTCTTCTTGGCTTTAGGAGAGTCGTATTTCCTCTTGCTGGAATACCAGAGGAGGAGCGGGATTCCGATGGAGGGCAGAGTCATCACACCAAACGCAGCCCAGTCCAACTGGAGGGTCAGGGCCATGGGGTCAAAAGTCAGAACAAGGAAAACAGTTAGAGAAGGCAAGTAGTAGTTTCCAGTCTGCCTCAATATGACACACACACACTCACTCACTCACTCACTCACTCACTCACTCACTCACTCTTCTCATTTAGCAGAATTCCACCAGAACGCTTAATTCCAATAAGAAAACATGAACAAAGTACTTAAAAAAAAGAATTAAAAAAAAAAAGAAAACGAAAGAAATAAAGTATGGCTGAAGCATTTATTCCCGATTTTGAAAATATGGGTGAAAATGAAATTATTGCACAAATCAGGCACCATCTAGACCAGGGGTCAGCAACCTCTTCCTGCCGAAGAGCCATTATTACCAGTTTCCCACAGTAACGAAAACACTGGGAGCCACAGCAGCCGCGGAGTTATGGGTGGGCCTACCGGGCCCGAGCAGGTGCCACTTTTGGACTCGTCACACAACGTGTCTCCTTTTAAAACATGTTTAAACTGTTCAGAATACAAATCCAGACTTTCTCGATGGATTGTTGTAATTAAACTTTGTACTGAACTAAACTTTACATTAAACAATGTTGAAAAGGTAAGAAAAGGATCCGATCAGCTTGTTTTCCCCCATAATTTACAGCGATGGAGATAATGGCAAAGTGCGCACGGTAGGGCTGAACGATTTTAGGAAAAGGTTGAATTGCAATTTTTCCAGTAGAAATTGCGATTTCGGTTCAATTAACGATTTTCTGCAAACAAAGGTCCAACACTAGCCTGCCAAGCCATCCTGTAGACCAGGGGTGTCAAACTCAAATTCACACGGGGCCGAAATGAACGTCTGGGACGAAGTCGCGGGCCAAACTTTATATTTTTTGAAAAAGGGACGGCAAATTTGCACATTTTCTTTAACATATATGCAATTTTGAACTTTTTAATTTGGAAACAAACTTATTTTTGCATTAACACTGAATGTGGAATAGTCGAGGAAATATATAAGATGGAAAAACTGACAGCCTTTTTGAACCTTAAATTAGATCTTTTTCATAAGAATTGGGAGAAATGGGAGAGATTTACTAACAGCAATACCGCGCAATGATGGAGGGCAGGTTGTATAACTAAGGTTTAGCCTACTACCATATGTTTACTGGAAGTGGAAGAGCCGGTTGTGGATACGAACACTTTATAATGGACTGGAAACACCCCTTCAGAACATCATCAGAGGCGGAACATTAAGGGCTACATGGACCCCGATATATGGACAAAACAAGAGGTCATGGGACTCTGAAGAGAAGGGAGGATGGCTCTCCCGGAACAGGGCGGACCCAACGGTTCCACTGTGCCAATAGTTGTATGTTTTATGTACCTTAACAAAACTTTTGATAAAAGAAATATAAAAAAATAAATAAAACAAAAACACTGAATGTGGAATAATCAAATTGCACACGAGCAAGTCAGTTTTAAATAAAAGGCATCAGTGGTATTCATTACTTGTGGTATATTCAGCATTTTTAAAATCTATTCAGGATTTATGTTTTCTTGTTTATTCATTTTTATTTTTTATTCTCCTTTTTTTCTCCTGTAATACGTGTCATCGCTGCTATGACGTCTAGCTTTCCCCACTGAGGAACAATAAAGGGATTTTCTATTCTATTCATCTATCTGCAGCCTTTCCACTTCCTGTTTACTGTAGGTTAAATCTTTTCTCACGGGCCAACAACAAAATAAAAACATCATTTTATCTTAAATGAAAATGCAACATCTCACCTGTTAACTTTCATGTTTTGGAGCAGAAAAAGAGCATAAAACCTAAATATTTAAAGCTCAGTTTGCTCCACTGGTTTACTGTGATGCTCACCTGTTCCAGCCAGATACCTGCATCATGGGGTTGAGCTCCCGTTTTGTTCATCATCATAATAATGACAATATTAGACGACAACAGGTGCTCACATAGGTTTGTGCTGGTGAACATGGAGTGTCTGAGCAGCTTGACCACGTTGTTGTGTGTCGGGGAGGAAAAATAAAAACTACAGCAGCCACAGAGCCGTGCTAGTTTGAGCGTGTCGCTGCTCGCTGGAGTTATATCAGCTCTGCCTGGAAGTTAGTTGGAAAACTTTCTCCTTCAGTCGTGAACACGTTACTGAGCAGTTAAAATCTCAGTTTCTGGGGTTCAACGTCGGCAATAGCCGAGTAAAGTCGGCGCTGAGAGAGAGGTGTTTAGTTTGTCCGAGACAGCGGAGCTGCAGACACCGGCAGCAGACGCTGAAAAAAAAAACCACAAAGGAGGGGGCGCTTCAGCTCCACGCTAACGCCGCAAAGCATCATGGGAGTTACAGTCTTAGTGGTAAAATCGACCAGCGGGTCAGTTTTAATATATTTTTGATATTTATCTCTTGGGCCACAAAAATGCTCAGCGGGCCACATCTGGCCCGCGGGCCTTGTGTCTGACACGTGTTGTAGATGAAGTGAAAAGATGGTCTAGATTCTAATCTAGTACAACAAATCATTCACATTAATATTTACTACTTAAACATACAATAAAAACAGTTAAAGCTATTAATATTTTCTGCCATTATTATTTTATTTTTTATTTTTTAATGCGTTTGTGAAGCAACTTGTGTTTGTGATTTTTATCTAGAGAGGAGCTTTATAAAAACATGTTCTACTCCAAAAATGCATGGAAGAAATCTGTAGGTAGAAATAGCTTTTAAATGTATTAAATATAAAATGCACAGTTGTCCCTGCAATACCAAGGCAGGCTGGCTGCACGTTTTCGAAGCCGTCTGATAGTTTTTCCTCACTAACGTCAGTTCCGTGAGAGACGCACGCATTCTGACACCTTAGCTTGTTTGAACTAACGTGTGCCATCAGAAACATTCAAACCATTTTTTAAAGAGAAGTTGAGCTTTCAAGTCAACTTAAGTGCACGACTCCGCACTCTCGCTGATGAAGCATAAACCAAGCTTTAGAAACCAGCCTGAACCTGCTCAGATGTGGGAGGAGTCTCTCTCCCTTACTCGACTACGTTCTCTCTCTCCATCCCGGGCTCACCTACGGTGCATTATTATCGGCTCTAGCAGCGCTGTGTGTGGGGACATAAAACAGGGAAAATAACCTGAACATGCAGCTCTGCCAGCTGTGGAGTTGGGCTCGGCTCTGGACGGTAACCCCCCCACCCCCTCCCCCACGCTGGCTTTTGTTGCCGCTGAAACACCCCGCTAAAACCCCGTATGTAAAAAAAAGTTACACAACTGATCCTGGACCAGTCAAAAACGCTCAAACCGCAGCTTTGACGGTCACGTGATCGTGCAGTTTGAAATCGCAATTTTGGTCCAAAAATGATAGATCGTTCAGCCCTAGCGCACGGCTGGTGTTAAGCAAGTTTAATGTTTCTCTCTGCAACAATCTCCACAAGAAGATTAAAGAGGGACTGCACACCATCATCAATGTAACTCCACCCCTAGTCAAGATTTGAAAAAATGCTATAAAAGTGGGCATTGCCAGGAGGCAGGGAGTGGCATGGCCAAGGGTGAGGAATTTCCATTCGGGAGGGGGGGGGGGGGGGGAAGAGTGGGAGGAGACTGTACCAATGGTTCCAGCCCCAGTCAATCACAAGTTTAAAATGCAGTAGCCACTGTTCTGCCACAGGGGGGCAGCACTAACACGTTTTTAGACCTAGATTCTAGATTTAATCAAGTTTACACAAACATGTCAGAAATGCACAGAAACAGAAAGACTGCATTTGTAAAGACCCAATTATACAGTTTATGAGCAAAAACACGTTATTTTGGGATTTAGTTACTCTTTAAGTGGCAGGTTTCACACTGACCGAACGAATATCGTTTATTTTGACTAAGAAACCTCAAGGCTGTTGGTTGTTTTGAACGCTGACGCATGCAGACGTGCCGACATCTTAATAATTACGCACATCGCGGAGGTAGCTAAAAATCAAGAAAAGATTCCCATCGGAACGTTCGAGCATTAAACTGGACACTGCTCAGCGCAGCGCGCCGTCAGCGCAAACGTAAGGCGGACAGCGAGCTGAAGATGTGGAGAGGGGCTTGGAGCGCTCGGTCACAGGCAGCAGCAGAACCAGAGCCGTGCAGGAAGATTCCGCTCACTGAAGCGATTGTTTTCCAAACCCCGTCTCAGAGAGACAAGTCGCTTAGAAAATGTTCCCTGATTATGAAACTTTGGCTGAATGGGGCTTGTTCCTGTCTCCAATGTGGCGACGCATCCATGAACCTGTCTGAGGCAAAAGTCCAGAATCTCACATCCTGTTCAGCTCAGAAAGCACCTATAGAGACATCTGATTACGCACAAGCAGGCGACAAGTTATTTCAGGTCTTCATCATTTTTGTTTAGATTTTAAAAGATGACAATATTTACATTTAGAATTTGCATACAGATAAAAAAATTTATGCAGTAAAATAAAATACATTTTAATTAAATATTCATTCATTGTTTTACAAGCACAGAGAGCTGCATCAGATGGATGAAAGAGCCGTGGGTTGCCGACCCCTGATCTAGAACCTTTGGAAGTAGGACCGTTCTCATCAAGTCTCAATTTCTAATTCAGATTTAATGAGGCAATGGGTATTTCTGAAAATATCCATCAAAATATGGTAGAAAATATACTAAATGATGTCCAGTGGATGAAAATTATTGGTGGTTTTGTACCATAACCATAAAACAATAAAAAGAATCAGGTCTTTGGGGGAAGCCATATTAGACACCATGTATCCTTCTGGCCAGCTTGGGCTCCTATGCCTGTCGATGATGTCACACTACAGGATTGGCTGGATATACGACTTGACGTTACCACGTTCAAACATATTTATGTAGTAAGAAAAACTAATTTAATAACAAAGCTGCTAAACTCTTTCCAAAACCTACGTTAAAGAACAGAATCGAAAAAAGAGATGCAATATATTTTGACCGAGTGGTATTGCTGTAGTATGATGATGTCATTGGCAGGCACAGGACTCCAATCACATCCAGAAACTACAGCGCCAGACAGCTAGCACTAGCATTACATCCTCTCAATGGAAATAGCTGATGGACCATCAAAGACTGAGGAGTCACGCCAAGGCTGCTTGCTTTCTGCTCCACGGGCAACAACATTTACATTTATGCTATTTGTAACTAGCAATATGCTGCAAAACTACTCTGAAAAGTATGTACTGCCCCCTAGAGGCAGTTCCTCACTTTAAAGAGGAACTTTCCTAGAGACACCTAAACAGGTGTGTGTGTGTGTGTGTGTGTGTGTGTGTGTGTGTGTGTGTGTGTGTGTGTGTGTGTGTGTGTGTGTGTGTGTGTGTGTGCGTGTGTGCGTGTGTGTGTCAAACAAGTAGGTGACTCACGTAGTGGGGGGAAAAGCGCCGGTCGAACTCCCTCTGAGCCAGGATGCCTCCCTGCCCAGGAGCACTGGTGTAGCCCACCTCCAAAGACGAAAACAAGAGCTTAGACATGTGACACACACGCTTGCATTTATGTTTGCATGGACCTCCAGTGACTTCCATTAATTCCTAAATCCTTTAAAAAGCACCTCAAACTAAAGGTTCCCAGACATGTTTGCATCTTTAGTTATTCTTATTTTTTGTTTGTCTATTTTAATGGAATGTTTATATCTGACTGTTTGAATTGTATAGTGTTACTTGTTTTACTTCGTTATCTTGTTGACGGACTACAGATGCAAATTAGAAACCATGCTATAATCTGGCCCATTTACGATCGATACAATGTATTTGATTGTTTATTAATGTGCATTGTCCTGAATAAAGAATTGAAAAAAAAAATTTACTGACTCCACTATGCCTAACCCATACAGCAACACCACCCTTAACTAAAAGTTAATTCACACCATACCTCTAAAAACAAGTTTTTGGGTGCTTAGCGTTGTGTGGACCACCAAAATGTGCCCACATTGTGGAAATGTCCACAAGTTACAGGTGAAAGTTAAAATTTGTACCCTTAAACATATAAACACACACAGCTGATCTTACCACAACTGGTCCGCCCTCCTGAGCCACGTAGCTGACAGATGCTGAGGTGAAGTTGAAGTACCCGGCCTTCAGGGGGCGCAGCACCACAGTGTGGGACACGTTACTTGCTCTGAATTCTCAGTTAAACTCATAACGTGAAAACAACCCAAAACACAAACCAAGACCAGCTGGGTGGATTTATCCTGAACCCGTTCTTACCAGAACTACTCCTCTTGCCTAATTTCTGTCGCAATCTGGTCTCCAACTCATCCCACAGCCCCCTCACATTTCTGACTACAAGGAGGGGATCCAGACAGGATCAACCACTAACCCTACTCCACAGCGAGACCCTGAGGCTCAGGAGAGGAACCGGAGGCACACTATGAAGCTGTCCAGTTAGCCCAGTGAAATTCTGACCAAGTGGGACTGAGGATGCAGGTCAAGATCCAGTGGAACCAGTCAATCAGACATGGGACCAATCAGTCTTCAAAAACATGGAGTAGTGTCAGTAAATCCTACCAAGTACAGAATCGAGGGTCTACTCACACTAAATCTAAATGCTGGATAAAACTAAAGCGGGCTAGTTTGAGACCTACTGAGCAGAATCCTACTTTTGCTTAAAGGATACGGTGCAATTCTGTCCCATTTCACATTCAACATTCCTGAAACTATTCCAAAGTCTTCTGGAGGGAATGAATCGTCTGAGAGTTCCACCTCCAGGGCAGCACTGTAGAGACGAGACAGGATTTATCTCACATGCTGTCATAACTGTGTGTGTGTGTGTGTGTGTGTGTGTGTGTGTGTGTGTGTGTGTGTGTGTGTGTGTGTGTGTGTGTAAAGGATTAAGGGTAAACACACCTGGAGCCCACGTTGTAGATGTTGTACTGCAGGGTCAGATCTCGGCCCTCCACAGCATAGCGGTTCAGCAGGGACTTGGAGGCCAGGAGCCGGGCTCCCTCCTCTCCCCTGGTCCCCAAAACCAGGACGGACAGCAGTACGCAGGCGCGAAAGAGCAGGGTCATCTAAAATAAGAACACATAGTTTCACTAAACACCTAATAAACGAACTAATCTTGTAACTTTTCACACTGCGGCAGTTCAGGTTGGAAATGTGACCCAAATGACTCAACCGGCCGGGGAAGCTAGCAGCTACAACCCGCGTGTTTTCCAGACTGCCGGTGAGAGTTTGGTCCTGACTGCACTCATTTAGACTGTAAGCAGGTTTAAACGCCTACGTGGACGAACCGAGCCTAGGCGGCAGTTCAGAAACACCTCCGGGAGTCCCAGAGACACTCGCTGTGTTCATATGACAGCAGAACCGCTCGGTAAGGTTGTTGTTACCAAATGAATACATTAATAATTCATTCATGATGATAGAATCAGAACCGTAGACCGTTTCTTACCGTGTTTCCTCTTTTGTTCCTGCAGTAGAAAAGAGAGTAGTGCGCATGTGCACAGCCTTATGTTACGTGTACCTGTCATCCAATAGAAAGGAGTCTTCTTCTTCTGTTGTTTTTCGGTGGTTGATGATCTGGTTGAGAACGCCTCCCAGCGGAATGGAGTGGGCGGAGCAGTAAAGTGCTGAACTATTCAGGTGACGTTTTTCCAGAGCATTTTAGCCACTTTGCCATGTATAAAAACTCACTGGGTAATTCATTATGAGCATAACATACGTGAAGAAATTGATGAAATGTTCCATTCATCCATTTTCCTCTGCTTATCCGGGGTTGGGTCGCAGGAGCAGTAGCCTACAACGATGTGGCGGTGTGAGTGTCCTCCTGTCACAGTGTCCCGATAAATCATGCGCCCTGGCTATTTGGCCAAGGGGATGTCCCTCTGGCTGACTGGTTAGAGCGTATGACTCTCACCCGGGAGTCTGGGGATCGAATCCCGCCCGGGCCCTCGTTTATCCACCTTGCCACAACAAACTTCCTTCTACCCAGCCACTTGGGTCAGCTCCTCTGGGGGAATCCTAAGGCATTCCCTGGCCAGCCAAGTGACATAGTCCCTCCAGCGTGTCCTGGGTCTTCCTTTAGGTCTCCTCCCGGTTGAGCGTGCCCAGAAAACCTCACAAGGGAGGCATCCAGTAGGCATCCTAAGCAGATGCCCGAGCCACCTCAACTGGACCTTCTCAGTGTGGAGGAGCAGTGGGTCTACTCCAAGCCCCCTCAACCTACCTAAGGGGGAGCCCAGACACTCTGTGAAGAAAACTCATTTTGGCCACTTGTATTTACAGTCTCGTTCTTTTGGTCACTACCCAAAGCTTGTGATAGGTTGAGTCTAGGAAAGTAGATCAAATGGCAAATCTTCACCACAACAGACTGGTACAATGCCCACATCACTGCAGACGCAGCACCAATTTGCCTATCGAACTCGCAATCCGTCTTTCCCTCACTCGTGAAAAAGACGCCAAGGTTCTTAAACTCCTCCACTCAAGGCAGGACCTCATAACCTGAAAAAGGCATTGTACCCTTTTCCAATTCTTGGGTTTAGAGGAGCTGATTCTCATTGGATCATAACCATATAATATAGACACAGCCTCTGTGATAAGTTTCAGAAGAATTGAACTGAAGCCCAGTGGGTGCTTCCCACCACCATCTTGGCTGGGTCACCTCTCGTCACTGAGAGTGTGGCTGTGAGGGTGGGGGAAGATGATTGACACACATCAAAGCATCCAGCTAACTGAGCTAAAAAGGACATGTCCATAATAATTTACAATATCAAGCTTTAATTACATCTGATTTTGATGCTAACAATAAAACAAAAACCAAAAAAACTGTTTACATTTTCACTATAAACCACCCACTTTATCAGCTAGCTTACTAAACTATTACACAGTTTTGAATTATGGCAGACAAGATGCAAAATATGGTCCAAAAGCTAAGATAACGTTATGTTTTTGATGTTCCTTGACTAGATCTTTTGCATCTGGTGTTATACTATTTTCTGTGACCATCAGATTCTGTGACTGGAGCCTTAGAACTGTTGTTTTTTTAATGTAGCTTGCTTGAATGGCTTTTTCTAAGAAATTGTGTTCTACCTTTAGATATAATTATTATTTTTATTAGATTTTCAAACTAAATTCAACTCCTTTTTTACTCCCAAAGAAAGATAGTTATAGCAGTAAACAATGACGCCCCCAAGGGGTGACCAGGGGTGGCCATGGCCACCCCAAGAAAATTGCTGGCCCCCTAGCAAAAGCCAGTATTAATAAATCATGTTAATATTAATGTTCACTCAAACCATAAATCGATCTTATTTATTCAAGACATAATTGTAAAACAAAATAAAAATAGTACAACTAATGAGTAAAGAAATAATCAGAATAAAAAATACACGTTTCTGCTGCTCACCATTTAAAAAAAGTTTTTTGTTTTATCTCCGTAGCTTTTTATGAACACAGCAACAGGTGAATTATACTAAAAAAATACATTTTAAAACAAAATTTGGAATAACATTTTAAATAACTGAAATTATTTTTTTCTGAAATGTTTGTGTTTGTAAAATTTAAATGAAATGTTTTTGATACATACTGTTTTAAAAAAATAAAAACAAACAAAGGAGCAACGCAATACATCGCCACAGGCTAAACTCTCTCAGAGCTACTACAAGGACCAGTTTGGTGTGCCACCCCAAAGATTTATCTGGCCCTGTCTGGCCACCCCTATCAAAATTTTCTGGATACGCCCCTGGCAGTAAATCTTATTCAGGTTACTTCAAAGAGTCAATGTAAAGTTCTTGCAGTGGGCAGGAAGGATCTTCTGTTGCCTGCAGAGCCAATAAACTCTCCTTTTAATGTATAATTAGCTTAAATGCATTTGTTTAGCATGTCTGTCTGTCTGTCTACCTACCTACCTACCTACCTATCTATCTATCTATCTATCTATCTATCTATCTATCTATCTATCTATCTATCTATCTATCTATCTATCTATCTATCTATCTATCTATCTATCTATCTATCTATCTATCTGTCTGTCTGTCTGTCTGTCTGTCTGTCTGTCTGTCTGTCTGTCTGTCTGTCTGTCTGTCTGTCTGTCTGTCTGTCTGTGCACCTCACCACCAGTACCACACGCACTCGTTTCCGTCAGACTTACTCACCCACGTAAGCCCCGCCTCATCTCATAACAGTGTGTTAGGGACCACAGCAGTGAGTTAGTGGTCTGTCAGGTGTGATCTAGCCAGGTGTGGTACTTCCAGGTGTGATCATGCTCCGTCTGGTCAGGGCACTTCAGCTTCTGATGCTTCTGATGCTGCGTGAGAGCAGCTCAGCCTTTCACAACAATGCCACGGAGACGGGCAGTCTGCAGCTGGTCCCGGACGAGCCGGATCAGACAGAAGAAGAAAACATCAATCAGGCGAGTCGCGGCAGGAGACGGCCGGCTGAAGCCGTGAGCACTGGTGAGTCCAAATAGAACCAGGCTGACTTCAAACATCTGTCTAAAAACTTCACAGAATACAGCTCTTCTTAAAGTATTCACTGAATATTCATGATTACTTAACTGGACTTTTGTGTGTCAGACCTAGACCAGAACCAGGTGCAATGCAGGGAGCTCAGGTCCACAAAGTTAATTTCTGATGGTAAGTGCACCAGCGTCACTCCCATCAAGGAGTTGGTGTGTGCTGGGGAGTGCCTGCCAGCTCACCTGGGACCCAACTGGATCTCAGGTGGAAAAAGGTACTGGAGCCGCCATGAGACCCAGGACTGGCGCTGTGTCACAGACCGGTCCAGAACCCAGCGGATCCAGCTACAGTGTCACAACGGCAGCTCCAGGACCTACAAGATCACTGTGGTGACCTCCTGCAAGTGCAAGCGCTTCACTAGGCAGCAGAACAACTCAGAACACAAAGACACGTCAGCCCAGAGCCAGAAGCCCAAGAAGACCCAGGACAGGTCTGATCCTCCAGAGGGGTTTGCTGAAAACTAAAACCCACCATGGTCTTGTGTTCTCCTGCAGTCATCATCAAGGTTCTGTTCCATGTAACCTGGACTTGAGGAGGGAGACCAGGCTCATTGCTTTGTGACTTGTCTGCTGGACCTCAAACATGTGACTGTGAGGAGCATTTACCCAGCAGACTCTGTTCCAGGACAGACTCTGGTCATTCACCAATAACCGTGAGAACAGGAGCAACCTAAGAAACAAAACCAGACCTTCAAACCGCATCAATTGGACTTCTGCTGCAGACTTTTATTACAAATAAACTCATTACATCATCAAGTGTTCATTGGGGTGTTATGCTGATGGGTCTGATTGCTCGTTAGGGTCAGTACTACCCGTCATTGTGGTTATTTCTCACAAGCAGCTGAATCTGCACCGTTGGAGGACTTTGTGGTGGCTGTAGGATGTGGGGCGTGTCTGTCAGCGATGCTCCTCACACATGTAGATAACTAACCAGAATAGAGACATGCATAGAGGTCTTCGTTTTTGATGTGATTGTATTTTTTTTAACCGGGAAGTTGCTTTTGTCACAAAGATCTAAGTAAACACTGCTGATGTTCTGCCGCGAGGCTGCTGGCGTGTCCGGCATCAAAGTGAACAGGAAGTCCCTCACAAAGACCTCCATCGACAGCGTCCTACTTGGTTTTGTTGTAAACGTAGGAGATCCCTTCAGCTCCAGGCAGATTGTACTCACACTAGCTCGCTAAAAGATTTGATTCTATCGGTTCTTTGTTTTCTTTGACAGCTGTGGGTAGGGGGTAAAAAGAATCACCTGCACTGGAGGACAACAGGATGTTTAACTTGTGTTAGAGGGAAAAGGGCAGACTTGTCTTTTATCCTTTATATCCTGTAGAGAAGAAACTTTACAGGAGGTTGAAGTGCTGATTGGCAGGTAGAGATTTTATTGACGCTGTGTTTTCCCACGTTTGTATCAGAAACCAAGAGAATAAATCATTAAATCATGTTCTTTGGACTGTGTGATTTTCCTGATCCTGAACACACAAATCCCCTGCTGTAGACGAGTCTCTATGACTCTAGTGACATGTGACTAGAGGTCAACCGATATTGGTTTTTCTATTGCCGATACCGTTGCTGATATGTACGAGACATAAGCTTCTTTTAGAAAACAATGCTGCCAATTGCAAGGCAGAGCCAACGTCAGGGAGCCTTAGGTCGTTTACTTGCTTTCTATTGAGATTGAAGCCGCGCTCATTAAGTTTTTTTAACAAGGCACTCCTGAATGTGTCTGTCCTCCACAGTCCCTGTGCAACCTCTGGTGATCTGACCTCCAGCTCTAATGAGGAGAAGCTCCTGGAGCCATGGACGTAATTTTCACTTTAGAAGCGGAGGGGACACGGGGGGGGGGGGGGGGGGGGGTTGTATCTATACAGTATGTTCTAATGGGAAACAGACTTCAACACAAACGGTTGTTTTCCACTTGGTCCAAGAGCTCAACCAGTGTCAATTTAATATAGCGTAATATTGTTTTTGGATGGTAAAAAGTGCAGGGGTCATAACTTGACTTTGTCCCCCCACCCCAAAATTACGTCCATGCCTGGAGCGCTGCATCGCCCCAGTTTATGATCGCAGCTGCTGCTGTTTACAAGAACAAAACTTACGACCCGTGTTTACTTTCACGTTCATTAAAGTTGCCGGCCAGAGCTCAGCAGTAACTCCCCACGTGATCACGACACCTCCCTCTGTTGAGCCAAGGCGTAATATGCATTCACAAGTCCAGCATTGCCGTAACATTACTACCAGCCAAGGCAGCACAAATGCAGCAAAATTCCTGCAACTCCATGTTGCCACACCGTGGCTGCAGCATTACGCTGATTTTCTGGCAGGGTGTGTGCCGATGGCCGATTTGTACTGATGATTTTAGTGGCCGATATCTAGAAGTTTTCCACCTTATTTTTATGTTAAAATGTCACTAATAACATCGGTTGATGCACAAAATTTCTAAAGCTGAATCAGAGTTTGTATTCTGAAGTTTTATCTATCTATCTATCTATCTATCTATCTATCTATATATATATATATATATATATATATATATATGTATATATATATATATATACACATATATATATATATATATATATATATATATATATATAAATATATATATATGTATATATATATATATACATATATATATATATACATATATATATATATATATATATATATATATATATATATATATATATATATATATATATATATATATATATACATACATATTTATATATATACACATATATAAAATCTGTTTGCAAAAGAGGCAAACTTTATCAGTTCCACATTGACTGAACAACCTTGACTTTTTATGGTTCTTTTATTGAGTCTGTTTTATATTTTTGTTTGGTGGCATGGTTTGGTCAGACCTCCGCCAAAGAGAAAGCTCACCGAATCAGATACTGAGATGGTACCATCATCGGATAGGTGAGTAAGAGGCCTGTCGAGCATCCCTGTACTCCAAAAGGTGCAGTAGATAGCTTTATTAGTTCTTAAAAATGGCTTCCATGCTCTACGAGGTGAACTTCCAACCTCTGGATGGATGGTTTCAGTCCCAAGGTGTAGGACAAAGCATTGTCCCTGGTGCTCGTGTACAATATGTTCAACCAAGCCTGCATGTTTGGAACTGAGGGAGGAAACAGAATGATCCATCTGACATTCAAATCTTTAACCTTTTGACCATCTGCATCACCATGCTGAGTCTTTTTTTACTCTACATCAAAGAGGGAGGTGCCACATCAAAATGAGAAGTAATTCATCTTCTGCAAACATCTGATCTAAAACAAGCAAACAGAACCCAACAAAGATCCATTCTGCCGAGTATCCTGAGGGCTGGAACTGCGGTGGAGATGCTGAATGGGTTTTACAGATACTTCAAAGCATCAAATCCTCAAAGAGAGTTTTACCTGTGAGCTGCAGACACGACTGCTTTCCACTCAAATAGGATGTTAGCTGAAGATACCAAGGCCCTCATTCATAAAAGTTTTCATAGAATCTTTACTGAAACCCTGCTTAAGCTCATCAAAACAAAATACGCAAAATAATATTTATACTCATAAACACTGCATACGCACAGCTACTCCCAACTCCTACTTATAAATCACATCTTTCCTAGAAATGTGCTCTGGTGTTTTTGGATCATAAGCTGCCTCCTACACACCCGCTTTCTGCCATAAATAGTCAATCCAAATGAATATTCTGCATATTCATGAGCTGACTATCTCTTTTAATGGAAGCTTTTCAACTAAAAAAGCTGTAAATTGTTAGCCTGGAAAAATAATTTTGCTTCGGCAAATGACAGTTTGGATTCTGGGTTAATTTATTGTGACATACCCCAGGAAAGTCGCCTGGGACCCCTCCTGTTTTCTATATATACAAATGATTTACCAATGGCTTTAAATAAGGCAAAAATTGTGATGTACGTAGCCTGGCAAGCCAGACTACACAAACACATTATGTAATTTGGCTTGACAGGGTAAGTTTAGATTAAGCAAATTTTTTGATAACTTTGAAACTGAATCAAAACAAATCTAACACAGACGAGGTTCTACAGTTACCTCTGATACTACTTCACTTACTGAGGAAGAAGGAATTGCATTAGGGAGGATGCTAATGATTTAGTTTCTAATAGAACTGAAAACGTTGCCATCTGCCAAGTTCCTCTAAGATTAGCCTCTGTTAGTGTGCCCCAGGGCAGCTGTGGCTACAGTGTAGCTCATCACCATCAGCGTGTGAATGTGTGAATACACTATACTGTATCCTGTAAAGTCATTCTTGCTGAAGGGAACAGATGGCGCTTTGGAGTCCTGTCACACTGAAAGGCGTCATAAAAATGCAGGTTATTTATCATACCAAAGACAGTGAAGAACAGTTGCTTTAAAATTTGCTACAGCATTGTCACAGAAAGATTGGCTATTGTGAATTTTACTTTCATGTCTGGAGAACTCAGTTATAATAAATTCAAAAGTTATACATAAAAAAAAGGTCAGACAAGAATCACAATCAGAAGGGTTTTATTTCCATATATGCAAGAATCACAACATTAGGAAATTATTGTGGTACTTAATGCAAGAAAAAATAAATGATAAACAAAAATTAGAATTAAGAAATAAACACAAATAAATGATAATATAGGGAGGCAATAAGTACAGAAGCAGCTAATGTACACAGGTCAGTGTAGGTACTGGTCAGAGCGGGTCAGTTCAGGTGCAAACACAAAACTGGAGTAGGCAGTTCTACGACTGATGACCCTTTCCTGACACACGTGTCCTTAATCATCTGTAAAAAAGGCAACACAAGGAATATGTCACAGAAATCACCCATCCAAGACATTTCTGTCTCCTGTGCTGCGAGGGTTTTTTCTCTGGGAGCTTCGGTTCACTCCCCACCAACATCCTGAAGCATTTGAGTCACGTCAGTTGGTGAATCTAAACCAGATCTAGCCATCAATGTAGCTGTTGCAGTAAAATATGTTGTGAACGTTTAAAAAATGATATCTACCTCATTTTCTAAGTCATGTTAGCGCCACCTACTGGTTGAGCTGAGTATTCTGCTTTGAGCTGCACGGCTTTTAGCAGGTGAATGACACACAGGCTGCTGGAGACTGAAAACTCCAGCTGGAAAACAAACTATAGACAAGAAAAATTGTAAATAAAAACAAAAATGGAAATTATGAGCTGCAGTTGCGCTCAAAGGCCCCCACAGGTGGTAAAGGTGTCAGAGGGCTCACATTAAAAGAAACAATACTCCCATGGAAGTAACATACATTAAGCATGCTATCATGGTCGTTGTAATAAAAATACAAATAAGCAGATTACATGATTACTGAGGTTGTTCTTTATTCATGTTTAAACCAGTTTATTCTTTTGACAAGCCAATGCAGAAACCTGGAAGTGTTTCTGTTCCAGTAAATGCTTTAAATGCATCCTCCAATCAAAGGCTGATGGGTCAAAGGTCACTGAAACAAACGCACATCAGGAGTGTAGTGCGCTGATCTGTGCTGAATGAAAATGTGTTGCTGCGTAGAGCACGAACAGCCCAGAAGAGTTCAGGTCTACATTTCCTCTCATTGTGAAAAGAATGTCGTACAAATAAAAGTCTGCACTTATTGTTGTTATATAATTTACTGTAAATAAATATTATAGTAATGGCAACCAAGGAGGTTTAGGCTTTCAAGTTTTCTGAGCTATAATGTTAATGTACAGAAAACTCGTGTATAGTCAGACATTTATTCAATACATGTACAAAAAAATTCAGTTATAAACTAATCAGTATGAATGTGTACTGTGTTCATACAAACATCTGATATCGACAAAACCAAACACAGGTTCGAGAGGTTCGGCGTTCCAGACTGTAAAAAACTGCAGGTGGAGAAAGCAACAATAAACGTACATTCTGAGTCTCACAAGAGACAAAAAAGAAGAGTTTTCACAGAAAACACCGCTTGTAGAAGAAACACAGAGGTACTCGTTGTCCCCAACACTGATTACATAACGTCCAGGCAGGATCTGAGAGAGACGGGGACCTCTCTGTCCCGATTGTCACGTTGAAGCCAGCTGATGTCCTGAGCCCAACGTACTGAGAGGAGCTCTGTCCTCAGGTCCACATGGTCCAGTGCTCAGAGCAGGTCAGAACCATGACTACATTCTGGGCCTCATCTTCTAAGGTGCTTCTTGAACTTTGTTTCACCCCCCTCGATACGCATGGAGGAAGACGCTGTCCCTCACAGTCTTCTGTACACATCATACCAAACAGGACGTTACAGCTGGAGGCAAGTCTGAAGCGGCATTATGTTTGGCACAAAATAAACAGCCAGAGACAGGAAGTCCCGTTCTTCAGAGGACAACACCTAATGTATTTGGGTGGACAGCAGCAGCCGATCGGCAGGTAGCTGCTTCAGGTTGGTCTCACCTTTAACACTGAACAGAGTAAAAAAATGCACGAGTCCCACCGCGGACCAGCCTTTAGGGTTCTGATCTGAGGAGCAAACCTGGTTAATGTCCATATTCTGTCCTCACTGCGAGCTGCTGTCTCAACTGCGGTCCCAGGACTCAGAGCAAGGCATTTGCAGCGCCACCTAGTGGCCGTGCTGTTGATGTTGGTTAGCCGGGTGGTTTGGGGGTAGCGGGGGTCCATTCATGCCCGGGTGGTAAAAGGCACAGTTGCTCTCGTACCTGCAGTTTCCCTTCATGATGAAGTGGCGACAGACGGGCCTCTTGGACATGTCTGTGTAGAGAAGACGGGTACAATGAAGAAGGGGTCAGAGGTCAAAGCGGATAAAAACCCTTCACTTACCGTTCATGTTGTTGTGTCCTCCTCTGGGGCCCCCACGTCCTCTGCCCCTGAAGCCTGGCTCTCCTCCCCGACCCCGGCTTCCTCTGTGGTAATTACCTCCTCTGTGGCCCCCGCCTCTCATATAATCGTCTCCCCAGTAGTTTTCCCCTCTACCCTGTCCTGGTGGGGGTCCCATCATACGGGGGCTCCCACCGGCATTGAAAGGTGGCCCGTGGTTGTGAGGAGGTGGGGGGTGGTTAAAACGGGGCCCCCCAGGAGAAGCATTGTGGGGGTAACCGACATTCATGGGCATCTGCATCGGCATGTTGTTCATGTTGTTCATGCCTGGACCGTGTCCCACAAGCCCCTGGTTGACTGAAGGATCAAAAACAACCGAAATCAGTAAAAATCAAAAGGACCAGACAGAGTGACGAGATGACAAGGAACTCATTTACTTGTTTGAGGTCCTGCCTGGTTCTGCTGCAGGGAGCCCAGTAGCTGCTTAATCTTGTCGGAGAAGTCGGGCTGCTTGATTAGGTCCTCGGCAGACTGGTTTCCAGACGCTCCCTGTAGAAACACGGCACGGTTGATTTTCCAGGGTGGCGATGTTTCACAGAACTAAATCAAAGACTGTGTGTGTGTTTACTATAAATGCGTCTTATTCATATAAATGTCTCCTGCTAGCATGCTAGCTAGCGGTTTTCTGTAAGCTGAGGCGCTGCTGGTCAGCACTCTAGAGACATTCAATTCATGAATGTTGATTGGTTCAAGTGTCCAGTTCTCCCCAGCAACAGAATGTGACTGGCCATTTACACTGGTGTTCTGCTGAGTTGTGGGGGCCTCGTGGAGGGAGGGGCCCATCAGCTGCTAACTCCCTCTCCTGATGACATTTTACCAAACCCAGCATGTGCTACTGCTAGTTCACCTGCTGATTTAATTACAGAGTCACTCAGATGAAGACTATGAAGTTTATCTCTTACTAAAAAGTAATGTCTATTAAGAAATCACAATGAAGCCATTGTGATTTCTTGTTTAATGAGAAACAGCTGGTGAAAATGAGGAGCACCCACAACTCTGACCCATGTATGGTAAATATATATTGTAGTTTTATTTACTTTTAGACGTTTTTCTCCCTTCAAGTCAGGGAGGGCGGCGCCTCAGCGCCACTGCCGACTAAAAATCTGGTCTGACTAGACCAGCCTGTGCGCTTTGCTCAGGAATGCCTGAAACTAGCTGCTGCTGAGGAACCACTTACCATGATGGAGGTGAGCAGTTCCTGAACGTTGACAGAGGGGGCGGTTGTGCTTGTGACATTGCTGACTGCTTGTGGGCTACGTGAGCTGTTACCGAGGTTTCCCATGAGGTTGGCAAGAACCGGAGGCAGCTTGGAACCTTCAGTCTGGGTCACGGTTGAGCCTGGTTGTGTCGAGGTGTCCATGGGCTCAACACAGCCCATGTCCATCATGGAGGAGTCCTGTAGTAAAGACCAGACTTACAGATGAGCAGGCAGCAAGAGACACATTGTTTACAGTACACACACACACACACGCACACACACACACAAGGGAAAGGGAATGGTGGGTTTTCCAACTGCTGACCTCGTCCAAAGGGATGAGACGGGGAGGCATCGGCTCATAGGGCTCTGGGTCCGGTTCGTGTGGACTGTCAGGAACACTGGTGAAGAGAACAATTGGAACGAATTACACCAACAGGCTAAACTGATACGTATCTAGACCAAAACTCCTGATCCTGTCCTCATCTGTCCCCAGACTTCCCAGTGACCTGTTAAAGTGGTCGTTCTCCAGAGCTTCTGAAGAATTTTTATTTTTGCTCTGCTTCACTCCTGAGACCTGAACCTGTTCACGGGCCAACTAGGGCCAACAAAGTTGTGAGTTTAGAACTCAGCCATCTGTCCGAGCTCGTACCTCTCCTTGCTCAGGAAGATTTCCTGAAGGATGCCCTTTTCTCGGTCTCGCTGGGTAAGTTTCTCTGAGCTGTTGGCTCCAGGGGTCACCAAGCTGCCCGTCAAGGTCAAGGGTCGGGGCGGAGTCCAGGGAACCCTTTCCTCCATGGTGTCATGTGACAGGCGTCGAGCCATCTCAAACGTCTGCCGGTCCATCATCAGCTCTCGTTTAGCTGCCTCGCCAAAGTCCTTGATCTTGTTGACATTGACTGAAAATGAAACAGGCGGGTGAGCGGCAGGTGTGATAGGTGGGCTTTGTTTCAGCAACGCCCCCCTGACCTCGGGACTTACCCCTCTCCGTTTCATCCAAATCAAAGTAGTAGTAGTTCTTCAGCTGCTCCTCCTCCGCCCAGTGAACAGTCTTCTTCTTCTTGCCCTTCCTGGTCAGGCCTTCCTCCTCCGCCCGTGGCTCTGCCAGAGCATTGGGCTTCTCACCTACATCAGGAAACTCAGGTTTAAATAACACCCAACATCTGGTCTAAGGAGGTCAGCTGAAGCTTCCTGCAGGAAGACCAATCGTACCACTGTTTGAGGTATCTGGATCCTCGAGAGGGACCGGGGTTCCAGGCTGTTCCAGGTCCAGTTTCTCATCTGCAGGAGTAGTGGAAGCAGCAGATTCTGGAGACGACGGCTTTGCTGAGGACGAAGAATATCCTGCTGGTTTGCTGTCAAATGGGTTTGTCTAAGAAAAAAAAACACCAAGAACATAGCTGAATGGTTCTGGAGTCTACTGGAACCAGTGAAATAACAGAACCAAAACATGCTGGTGAGAACCCCTGGTACACGTACCTTGGTGGACGTCGGTGAGACGGCTTTGGTGTTAGCAGGACCACCAGCAGCTGGCTTCTTCTTTTTGATTTTGATCCCTGGAACTGGGGCGGAGTTCAAGGCATCCAGGAACCCCGGGCTCTCCATAGCTGTGGTGAGAAGAGAACAGAGAATGTCAGCTTATCGGCTGCAGGTTGCTCCGTCTGTTTGGGTCGGTCAGAACTTACGTGGTGCTGGAATGATCTTCACTTTGATCTCTTTAGTTGCATTCGATGTGATGTTTAATGGTTTGTACTTTTTCTCCACAGGTGGAGCGTCTGAGGGAGCAGAGCTGCTGGAGGAAAACAGACCTGTTCAGATCACAGTTGGCCACACGGGGGCAGCAATGAGCTGACGGCTCCTTCACAGCAGCAGGTGGAGCTGTGCTCACAGAGAAACAGGTTCTTACCTGGGCCTCTTCAGGAAGGAGGGAGGGATATTGTATTTGTTACTCAGCAGAGGAGCAGGAGCCTTCTTTGGAGGAGTCGGGTTGGGAGCCTCCATTTCCAGTCCTACAGAACCAGAACCACACAAACACGAGTTTAGAACCTGTGAAAAGGGCACAGAGCAGCAGCGCTCGCACGGTGAACCGGACCTATAGAACGAATCTTTGTGTGGCTGGGGGCGTGAGCTTTGGGCTTCTCCTTCTTCTTCTCCTCATCTCCACTTTTCTCCTTCACATCCCTCACCAGCACTTTGCTCTCTCCTTTCTTCTTCTTGTCTGTAACACAAACCAAAGGAATGAGCGTGGCTCTGGGCAGCCGCTCAGCCTAAAGGTAAGCAGAAGCGGAGGAGTTACCAGCAGGAGAGCTGCTGGAGACGCTCTGGGAGCGGATGGTCGCCATCCAACCATCGACGAGAACGGCCGCCAGCTTCCTCAGGTCTGAAACAGAGAGTCTGCGTTACACAAGCAGCCCTGCTGAACCCGACCAGCGGTTCTGAATGAGGAGAAAACTCACCTTCGGTCTCTGCACTCTTACTCAGTTGCTTCACCAGCTTGGCTGTGTTGTTCTGGAAAAGACAACAGGTCCATTACAGAAGGTTCTGGACACGTGACTGAGGGTGTTCTAGACAGGGACTCACCTGCTTCAGGTGGTCCACCTTGAGAGGGAGCTTCTGCAACGTGAGCAGGATGAGCTGCAGCAAGGGGGTGTTGTTGGTGCCCTTAGAATAGGTAAGCCACGAGTTTAGAAGCTTGTAGCCTCCGACTCGGATGAACCTGGACCAAGAAACAGAACCAGAGTCATATAGAGAAACGCTGGAAAACTAGCTGGAGCTCCGGGTTCTGACCTGGTTCCATATCCAGAACCTCTAACCAAAAAACACAACAACACACCTGCTTCAATCTTTATTAATGGAGTTTTATTAGTCGGGTTGTTTAGGCTCCAAGGCCTGACACAAGACCACCTGACTTGGTCGAGAACTGACCTGTTGAGGACATCGTGGGACTTGGTCTGCAGCAGGACGTTCAGGTACATGCACCTGCTCACCATCTTCGAGGATGCCTTCATAAGGCTGTAGATAAACAGACCAGATGTTAACAGGGCTCTGACCCAGAGCACTAACTCGTCACACTCAGACCCGCACCTGAACACCTTTGGGACTCCCTCCAGGCTGCGGAGTTCTCCATCTTTTCCCAGAAGGGCCTCCAGGCCCTTAAGAATCTCCCGGGGGTCCACTGGTACCTCCGTCATGTCTGAAACAAAAAATTCAAGAGGTGAGAAATCAAGCCACCAGAACCATGAGATGGCTCCTGTGAGCAGGAGACTCAAATACAATCATTCAGGAGATCTGATGTTGTTCAGCTCGTTCACCTGGTAAATAACCAAAACAGACGACCACGAGCCTGTAGGACTTGGGTCGGTTCTGAAAGCACCAAGATTAACTGGGTCAGCCCAACAAAAACAGAACCATGGTCTCCTGTCGGTGTCACATACACATTCAACAGGATCTTTAGGTCCCTTTAATGTTGCTGGAGCTGCTCTGGTGGGGACACACACCAGTCTGGTGACCAGCTGAAGCTGTCTGGACCCAACCCACCTCTCACAGCATGATTGTACGCATCATCATCTCACACACATACACACACACACACACATCACACTCACAAACAGGTTCTGGTGCAGATCCAACTAAACAAAATTGTTATAAAGCAATTTTATTCAGATGTTTAATTTACATTTACATGAAATAAAACCTTCTCACACACCTGTTAACTGAGGCAGGGTCAACACCTTAACCTTCTAACAGGTCAGAACCACTGGAAGAATTTCTAAAACATCAACACCAGAACTGTTCACACAACCAGTCAGAACATCACCCACTGGGTCAGATAGAATGTAGAAACCATAAAGGTGTTGTGGGTTGATTGGTGTATGGTCAGGTCCAATTAGACCCATGTTCACGATGAACCGTTTTAGCTAGCTTCAGCCCAATCAGAGCTGATCAGAACCCACAGCTAACCCAAAACTGACCCAGTTCCTCTAAAGCTGGGCTGAGTGAGTAGGCCCCTGTCGGCTCAGCCCTCCCTAAACATAACAGGCTGAGACAGAAGCAGCAGGTAATGCACCAGAGACACCAGGAACCAAACAGTCCACAGAGCCCGTCGGGACCGGTTCCCACCCGCTCAACAAATGGGAGGGCGCTACTGACGACCCGTCAGAGCCCGCCCTCTGGTAACGGACACACGCATCTTTAACAATGACTCCCGTGTTAAAGCGTCAGGCGAGCGGATCTTAACGGAACCAAACGCGCAAAGAAGCCAAACACCGCTCCGAGGAAAGATAGTCCCGACCAGACAGTCCACGGACGGGGAGCAGATAACCACCATCCCCGTGTCCAGGCTCTGACCCTCCGTCATCCTGCAATCTTTATCCGCAGATTGCTGAGCATTAGGTTCATCACATTCACCCCTTCTGACGCAATCTTTATGTGCAGATTGCGGTGGGTGTTCGATCCTGTAGGTTTTCAAATATCTGGCAGTTAAAAAGTCCCGACATATGTAACCCCACACCCCTTTCTGCTTAAGGCAATCTTTATGAGTAGATTGCTTATTGTAATTAGACGAAATTCCAGTTCATAATTTGATTTGAACAATTATGTTCGTCCAGTCTCACACACAAAGGAACGGAATGCGTCCATCCGCTTTACTGTGTGAGCTCATACTAGAAGCTAAGTTACGAAACCTGCTAGCCGCTAAGCTAGCCTATTATCCACAACAATCTTCATTTTGATGAATTTAGATTCAACTTCAAAAGTCAACTTACTATTGATACTATAGATCCTCAGCGTCTCGGGTATATTATGGTGTACTTTTCAGGAACTTAGAGCTCATATTTCATAATTTTTATGTCGTCAACCTTCATGGTTTTAATTTTCAACTGAAAAATTTCTTGTGGGTGGGGCTGTGGTGGCTAAATGCTATGCTAAAGCCTTCCCTTCAGGATCAACTGGAGGCAAAAAGAGTAATCAAATGTCCATTACTTGATGAAAAAATATTGAAATGTGAAAAGCTGTTTCAAGTCCTCGTCGGTTCAGTCTTCGGCAAAGCAAATTAAAACCTGCGAAAACACAAAAAACAGAAATTCACTCTTGAGTTAAATTTCTACGTCCTTGTAATGACTTAGAAATTGTGTTTTATTATTATTATTTCAAAACTATTTTGGCACTAAATAAGCCGATCCGCTCGAGATAGCAACATTTCTATGACTTGACTTACCTTTGACCAAATCCAGGAATGAGCTGGAAAAGGAGGGACTTAGTATTTATACCAATGACGTTTTTCACGTCACCACATGCGTTTTTGTATAGTTTCGCACAAACAAAATGGTGGATAAGCGACCTTCTCTTTCAGCTCAAGGGTGTAATGGCGTTCTTCACGTATTTCCCTCTGTAGCTTCAAGTATTCCCTTTTAAATGTGTATATTTTTACGTTGCTGGGTACACAATAAAGAGCACTAATCACATTGATATACGGATCGAGTTATATTAATTATAAACCGCAGAAATTAACTAAAAACTAATATTTAAAAATGGCGTCTGTTGTTTAGGGTCACATGCTCCCACATCTTGGACAAACAAGTGACTGTGGAAAAAGAAGCGCGCGCCTGCACGTTACAAATATACCAACCCCAAAACTATAATAAAACATACAAAATATCTGAAAATAAAAACTAATAAAAAGGTTTTGTTTAATGAAATTTTCAACATAAAAATAAATAAAATGATCTTTAACCTTTTACCTGCGACCCCAGTCCATCAAAATGGCTGCTTCTGTGCACGTTGTAGCTAAGATGTTTTGGCGTGTGTTGCCTGCAGTTTCACACCAGATTCGTCAGCATCAGGTACAGTTTTTAATATACTGTTATTACGCAGGGTGTTAAGCTCTTTCCTTCGAGGTTTCTGCCAAAACCGGAGCTACCGAAACCTATTTTACTGTTTGCTAACAGTGCCGGTGTTGTGTAGGGATCTGTTTCCCGTCCCTGCCTGTCAAAGTCATGCTTTACAAGACAAATGGTTTCTGATTTGATGTCTGATCAAACGGCTGTTCTACAAAAATTCCTACAAAATGTAAAATATGCAATTTAACTATGACTCAAGAAAGGGAAAATGTATTGGCCTCTGTATGTGTGATGTTTGTAAAAGTTTATTCCAAACTATTTCTGAATCGGAAGCTAAAGTTGATTAGACTGGCAAGCCAGACTAAATAAATTGTCAGGAACTTCCTTTTGACGTTGAAATTTAGACTTCAGTGTGTCTTTTCCATTTCCCACCTGACTACAAAGTAACCAAAATATTCAGATGTTTTAGTTTCTTTATTGTCCTAAAATACCACACGCAAAAACATGAGAAGGTAGCGAGCGAATCAAGCGAGGAAACCAGTTTCGCAGGGGAACACATTTCAACAGAACACCTGTTAGTGAACATTTTGAATGTATTTTTCCCCCTAGTCTTGTCTACCGAAGCAGTTTCTGAAGACGCGTCTGGCACCAGTTCTATTTGCTCATCCACGTCAGTTTCTCTGTGAAGCAGCATCACAGAAGACGGAGATCCTGTCCCAGTACAAAGATCGCCCGTGGGACTACCTGGACAGCGAAGGTAAAATTCAGAATCCTGTCTAATCCGTACAGTTCTGGTTCTACAGTTAATTTCTTCTTTGACAGAGTATGTGGACCGATATGGAGATCAGCCAGTGTGGAACGGTTACAGAAGGAACCACAAGGGTGGAATTCCACCACAGAAGACACGGAAGACCTGCATTGTAAACTTTCTTTATCCACCGCATCCTGTTTGTGTTGGATTTGCTCACCAGCTGTGGTTCATACACACCTGTTTCTGGTTTCTGTAGAGAGGAGACAAGATATGTGGGAACCCGTGTCCAATCTGTCGGGATGCAAACATTATAATCCACCACCAGGTAGGTTTCCAAGTTTAAGGCTCTGCACCAGGAACCTGTTCTACTAGCTGGTTCTGGGATAGGAACTCAGACCAAAATCTGACCAAACATATCATAAAGTTGGCTGCATCAGGATTGATCCATCTCCATGTTTCACTCCTTCCTTTGTGTTTTATAAAGAACAACCTGATGGGAAAATGTGCACAACTGTAAGCTTGTCTGACCCTGAAGTGAGCGCTTTTTGGAGATGGGGAAACTGGTTGCTGAGATAATGAAAGGGTGAATTTAAGCCACGTTTGGACATGTAGACCCTTGCTAACACATACACACACATACACACACAAAACCTAATAGCCTGCCCCTTCTCTGAACTGAGAATAAAATAAAACCTGGATAAAATATGTTGTTTTATGCCATACTGCACTCGTATGTATATCTTCAAATTACTTATTGGTACATTATTGTCTGACACGCAATAGCGTTGTTTTTCGGACTAAAAACTCAAACGCACATGTCAGGTTTCCTTAAACTGGCTCATTTCAGCAAGAATTAGCTGACAGGCAGGCTGATATCTGTTTACAGTTAAAAAAAAAATATATATATATATATTTTTTTTGTGCCTAAATTCATTTGGGATTAAATTGAATGTTCATTTAATGTTCCTCATAGATCTGTAATACCTCAGCCATCCCTAAGCACCATAATGTGGCTGTTTTTAATAGTTTCAGGGATTATTGCCATCTTCCTCTTTGCCTCCATCGAATCAGTTTTTTTTTTCTTTTTTACATCCCCCGCGATCACTCCTCAGCTCGACGGCTCACTGCTGCAACGCTGTGCTGCTGGAAGGCACAGCGCTTTCCCGTGTCTATGTAACACACAAGCACCTTGATTTCTGTCTGGGTTGCCATGGTTACTCGTGAAAGTCCACAAATTAGCCTGTTTGTTCATTTGCATTTATTAAAAGGTCCTTTGCAAGGACAATTTATGGCAGAAAGTGGGTGTGTAGGAGGTGGGGTGTGATCCAAAAACATCTGAGCACATTTCTAGGTCAGTGTGATTCATAAAGCAGGAATCGTTCCAGCTCTGTGTTGAGTTTTATATAAGTCAATAAAAGACTGCCAAATTCATTTTAATATTTTTGCTGAGCTTAAGTAGTTTAGTAATGATTCTATGCAGTTTTATAAAAGAAAAGAAAAAAACAAAACAAAAAATAAAACTCAAGATGTCAGTTTACCCTTTAAGGACCAGCATGCAGGACCCGACTGGTCTGGAATAATGGTTACCACTCATTTATACCCTATTTAATCTGAGTACATAATAGGTGCAGTCTGGTGAACGTACGGCTTCCGGACAGACTACCATTTACACTGGCTGTGGATCGTGTGAAGTTTCAGGAAATTTGCTCCAAGAGTTCATGATATAATTGTAAAAGTAACATGAACTCGTGCACTGCCAACTATGTCCCCGTCACTGGGAAAACAACCGCAATGTAACAATTAAATTTACATATTATTTAATGAACCATAAAATGTGAGATTCTATAGGAAATATGAAATCAATCTTATAGATCTTTGGATAACTTAAACCAGAAGATTGGAACTTTTTATTGCAGGGATTATGTAACCACTTCATATTAACGCAGAGACAAAAGAGTCAAGTTTTAAAGTTAAGATTTATTACTAAACAATTTAAAACATGACTAACTTCAACCACTAAACACTCTGTGTGATGAATGGACTAAGGTGGAGTAAGACTGAGGATGGTGTATGTGTGAATATGTTCAGAACCAGCAAATCCGGAGAAATGATTAGTTCTGATGGGAGTGAAGATGATGTTTCGCTCTAAGCTTTGGTTTGGAGATTTATAACACACATTGAGACGCCATCTGTCGGCCTACGTACCCTTGTTGGAAGTCCCCGTTAGATCAGGAATGTCGAGGTCCAGCTTGACCTCCTCTGGCACCGAAGCCGGTAGGAAAAGCAGCGGTTGCCGACCAGACCAGTCTTGAGATACTTCCAGGTCACAACAGTTTATTGGCATCTAGCGAGACCCAAAAAGGGGTTGTGATGGTTCAGCTTTTATTCTGAAAGGAACCGTTGCAGCAGGTGGAACATGCAACAGATTTCATCCAGCTTGTCGTTGGTTCTTTCGGCTGAAGAGGAAAGTTACGGATTGGCCACTCCGACAACTTCTCTAGAACGCTTGAACTGAAGTTAAGATGACGTGGGCATAGTTTTATAATTTGGATGTTTTGATTTACGGTCGAATCAAAAAAGGGCACAAAAGGGGATTTACCAAGCACCAACAAAACCACGCCTCGCATCAGATCTGGAAGGTTCTGATTGGGTCAGAAAAAGGAAATGCGTCATGTGATAACATTACGTGGATGAGAATGTCTAGTGCAGGTAGTTTGTTTTATTACTTATTAAAATACTACTGATCATACACATTGTCATTTCATAGATTGGTTCACATTTTATTATTGGACTAACACTTTGTTTGATTAGCTTATTAAAAATATAGTTTTTCTGATTTATTAAAAGTAAAGTGTTTGTCTTCTTCTCTTGAGCTGGAAAATAAGAAACAGTTTAGAAGCAGAGCATGAGACCTTGAGCAATATCTCATGCAGATTAGGTTTGTGTCAGAACTTCTGGTTTTGCTTTGAGCAGAACAAAACCGAGCAGGGCCTTTTTGGTCAGAAATGGACAATTCATCACGCTACAGCAACATCGGTTTTATTTTGAAATAACCTGGTTGGAGCTTGCTATACCACATTTCACTTCCTGTCTGGCCCATGTAATTTTGTAACTTAATGAAAATTGGCATGCGGCGTCCAGAAAAAGCAGGTTGAACGCAGAAACATTCTGGTGCTCCTCATCTGGATCTGCACCACAGCACGCGTGGACAATCTGAGTGGACTGTGGAAGCTGTACCGGAACCAGACCGCGTCTGTCTGTGTGGAGGGGTTAGTTTGTGTGCCGGTGGCTTCAAAAGCAGGGGTGGGCAGCTCCCATCCTCCAGGGCTGCCACACAGCATGTTTTAGTTGTTTCCCTCTTCCAACCCAATGGTTGAATCACCTGTTCATCATCAAACTATGGTGAAGCTTTTAATCACCTGCTGATTAAAATCAGGTGTGTTAAAGCAACAACATGCTTAGTGACCCTGAAGGAACAGAATTGCTTACCCCTGTTCTAAAGGAACTGGAACCATTTGGATTGGTACCCCTGGGGGTCAGTGGGCTTGGAGTAGTTATGAGGTGGATCAGGTTTTGAGGATTTATCTTCTCTTGCAGAACGTAAAGCTCCTGCAGCAGTTCATCAGCCCCCACACCGGCATTGTCTATGATCCGACCCGAACCGGTGAGTCAGCTGTTGATCAGAAAGTGTTGGTTCTGGATCTGAGGTGCTTCTGACTGTGGTGTCTCCTCCTCTCAGGTGTGTGCAGGAAGCAGCAGAAGAAGCTGAATGAGGCCATCGACACAGCAAGAAACCATGGTAAAGTACTCTAGAACCCTCTGTGGCTCTACTGGAACATCTCCCAGGTTTCCCTCAGCAGACGCTTTACCTAAAGCCTGATCCATGCTTCTCCGTCAGCTCCAAAAGGAAGAGACACGCACGCTCAGACGGAGACATTTTGCTCTCATACTTCGTCTCCTGGAGTGTTGCAAAGCAATTCCCCACCAGGACAACAGAGGGCGTAGCGCTGTTCTGTGGTATCCTGTCATCCATATCCAATCCAAGATAGTGTGTTTATATTGTGCTTATTATTATTATTTTTTTGTATATACGAGACTTTTTAAAGGGATTTTACGGAGTTTTGAATTTTTATGCTCGCAATTTCCCCCTCTGGCCAAAAGCGTAACGGCAGCTTCAATAGGAGGCTCGTGCACGAGGCGCGCATGCTGTACGTGCACACTCCTGAATGAAAATAACAGCCGAGACGAAGCTCTGTGAAGCTGATGGGGGTCAGCTTCACAGAGCTCTGAGAGCTGACAGTCCCTTGTGTGTGTGTGTGTGTGTGGCCCGGAGGACAGAGGGCAGGAGAACGCACAGCTAATTAATTAAATAATTTGGTTCTGTACCTTTCTCTTCAGCACAGCCGACAAAGGTTTATGATGGGTCAGTCCTCCTGCATGCTCAGATCATTCCCTTCCCTTGCTTGAAAAATTGTTCCAAAATGAAAGTTGAACCCACATCTTTTTTATCTGTGAATTCAATGCTGTTCGGCGAGTCAAACAAAAATTTGGGCATCTTACTGTAAAAAAACATATTAATGTAAAAAAGAAACTATAAAACAACCGTGTATACTTCTGGAATCGAATCCAGGTCTTCTGCACAAAAGCCCAAAGTCTTACTAGGCGAGCTAAATCACCAGTGGAGTCTTCTGTATCTGTAACATTTATATCATTGATGACAGCTGAAACAACGTTCAAAGAACGGTTCAGAGGGCTATGCCTGAGCGTGAACGCGCATGAAGCAGACTGCTCGACCCGAGTATCTCTTTTTCTGTGATTTTACAGAAAAACAGGCAATCACAGTAAAAATGCCAGGGCTCATTCTACAGGACCAGGGCATTGCAGGAGAATGTATGAAGAAGACATTTATTATTTCTATACATGTTTTGGCTGTCAGACTTCCATAATGCCCCTTTAACACGGACAAATTTGTCTCTCATTCTCCTCCACCTCTTCATGTGCTCGCCACCTCTAAACCCACCTTTCCTGTCATTTCCGTCCACAAATAAAATGCCTGCTGCGCATCTTTTCACTCCTCCAGTCACGGGGGAATTAAACGTACATATTTTTAGTTTTTTCACGATGTATTTCTTCATGCTTCTCCGTGTCTGCCGCCAGTTCTTCTCGGCTCTTTGTTTTTGAGGGTGCAATGGCGGCGGTGTAGACAGCGGTGCCCTGACCAATCACAAGCTTGCGTTCTCTGTCTCGACGGACGGATGTTTAGAAAAGAGCTCGACTCCGTACGTACTTGTGGCGCTCTCCAGCAGGCCCGATAATGGCGTTGCGTGTCTCCACACTTTCACACTACAGGTTGTAATGCTCAGGTGGGATCAGTGTTGCCAACTCCCCCTGATAGAAAGTAGCTGAAGTTGACCCAGAAAGTCACCCAGATGATGTCAAATGCTAATTTGCATATTTATGACGTCATCACTGCAGATTGGCTTTCATTTTCCCCATAGCATCTATATATGCTATGGGTATTTTAAAAACATGTTGGTCTTTTTAGGACTAAAAGGGAGGAAAACAAAAAACTATTTTACGTGTTAAAGTTATTAATTAGTATGATTAAAATGGCCCAAATTGCTTTGATATTTAAAATAAATTCCAAAAGTATCAATAAAGTGGCATTAAGACAGATATGGTGTGGTGGTCCAAACAGTTCTGCTGTAGGATATACCTCAGACCTCCTGCTCTCCTCATTCTCAGACATTTTCCTAAAAAGCTTCTCTCCATCGTGAGAATAACGGCGCACCGAGCAAAATGGAGCGGCTGTCTCATGGTATAACCATCCCTGTGTCACTGGAGGAAATTCAGATGAGCCACAGAGCTGCGTGTGTAAACGGGACGGTAGTTGAAACTCCCGTTGACTTTATTTGCCAAATGCAGGAAAAGCCAAAGTGTCTGATGGCTGCAGAACCAGAGATGGCAGGTTGACGCCTGCGCCATCTCTAGTAGAAGCGCGAGTCTGCAGCAGCAGCAGACGTAAGTCGGCGGTCTCCAACTCTGCAGCTGTACCTTTGTCTTTGCCCAGCTGAAAACTGTTTGGTCAGTTCTCGTGCCCATGTGCAGATTATTGTTCTCTTTCCTTACTTCCGGAAGAACAGTTCGGAGTGCAAATGGTGTCTTTGTTGCTAATCTGTGGGGAATATCTACAAGAAAGTTCTACAGAAAGTAGCAACGGGTCCTGAGAAATGTCGCTAGGCACTTCTTGGAAAAAAATGTCGTTGAGGGGGGTCAAAAAGTCGTTAGGAACAGCGACAAAGTCGCTGAGTTGGCAACACTGGGTGGGATTCCTCCACGCGGTTGTTTAATTTGGCAGACCCTTTTATCCAAAGCAATGTAGTTAAGCTATAGGGTGTGTTGTGATCTGTGAGGAAACCCACACATGCATGAGGAGAACGTGCATCTGCACGCAAAAAGACTTGCAGCCGGGTTTCGAACCTGCAACCTTCTTGCTGTGAGGCAACAGATTGCGCCAAACCACATGAGAAAGTATAACAAACACACATTTATGCAGTTCAGACTGAAAAAGCACAGATTTGGTCACTTTGTTTAGAAGTGTGAACGTAGTCTAAGTTAAAGTGCATTCAGGGAGCCGGCTGGAGTCCTACTCTTCTGACTCGGACCCGTCTCTTTTTCAGGTCTCCTTCAGTTTCAGATCCCACATGTGGAGTTTTCAGGAGAGACCTACTCAAACACTCATGATGCTGTTGGATCCACCCCACCTCCACCATCAGGAGAAACCTGGTACTGGTGGTACGGAAACATAGAACCCGATCCCAGCAAAGTGGCTCAGGTCATGAAGACCTACAAGAACTATTTAAAATGATCGTCTGGTCAAGACATGTCTGTAAAATATGAAACTGTTAAATAAATGATGAACAGATGGGTGAAGACTTTATTGACTTGTCAGATAATCTGGTTGGTCCTGTATCCTGGGTCAGTCCACGTAAGGACCCATTATGGGTTGATCTTGTTCACCACCGTCTCTCCAAGCGCCTCCAGAACCTCCCGTTTGTAGTCATCAAAGTCTCCATCAATCTGGTTGACGGTGCAGTCCTCGACAACCCACAGCTGGCACTGAGTCTCCGTGATGAGCCGGGCATCGTGACTCACGATGATCACCGCTGTTAAAACACAGCTCTGTTAGAGGGACGTCCAGGTCCTTGTATAAGAACCACTAGGACCAACTAGAGACCATGTGATCTGTTTGACCTAATCAAAGTCAGCTGGATCTACAGGTCTGGTTCTAAAGCCACACCTGGATTTCACAGAGCTTTCAGCCCCACCTCAGTTTCTGCTGAGTTAGCACTTCCTGTCCACAGACAGGAGTTCTGGTAAGAAAAACAATTTCTACCGTAACCTTCCTAGGCATGAAGGTTGGGCATCACCCAGTGCGTTCTCTGTGGTTTTCTTAAAATTGTCCCTCCTAGGAACAACTAAGTACAAACTAACCTTACTAACCTAAACTACCTAACCTAACTTACCTAAACTATTTGAAATACAATTTTATTTCTACAATTCTTTAAGCCAATTGAAATGAAGAACTTGTTAAAACTACAAGAAAGACTTAAAAATGTTGGAAAACTCTAATAGATAGAAAACCCCATCTGCTACACAGATTCCCAAATTCTTAGGCCTAATTACCCAGGGGATGCTTTTGTAATGGAAAAACACATTTTGGCTAGTGACTCCTGAACCGTAACTTGCACTCAAAAACCTTTCCTTTCCTTGATCCTTTCATAGTGGCCATGCCCCTCGTTGCTTAATTAAAATGTATTGCTACATGGCAACGCAGGTCAATTTTGTTTTGAGAACTTTACATTGGTAACAAGGCTATGTCACATTTGACCTCTTTGCTCAGTGAAACTGAAGGATTTTGTTGTGGAAATCACAGAAAAAAACCACCAGGTGGTGCTGTTTCATCCCAAAATTTGCATCAATCTTCCCCTTCCCCTGCATCTTAAAATCCTTTTGTACATTGCGCGCTAATTTTGAGTTTTGCTCAGTTTCAGCTTCAGCTAGGCCCTCAAGTGATATTGTCATCTTGGTTAGGATAAAAAAAAGTTCTGTCCCAGCATTTAGTCCGCCCCCACCCCCCCTTTATTACGCCATCATGTAACCTTTGGTGAAAACATTGCACTGCATTACCGCCATAGGCTAACCACTTATTAATGGCCAAAGGCAAAGTGCTGGCATCGTTTTTTTAAACAGGCTATTGAGACACTGCCTGGAGAGCTGACTAGAGGTCTTCCCAGTCTCTGTATGGAGGTGTTGGAGAAGGAATCAGCAGAGAACCAGTCCATGATGAGGCCAGTTTACCACTACTGTAGGTTGACGGAGGATAAGTGGAACAAAATGGACAATTAGGATTCACTTTTGTTCTTCCAGGCTAAAACAAACTAGATAAACTGGAACATGTTCTGTGATCCTGACTTGACGACGTAAAAGGGGGTCTGGTCGTTTACCTCTTATATTGGGATCGTTTTAGATGTTACCGAGTTTGTTTCTGTTCGAGGGATCAGGAATGTTTCTTAGCAGACTCGGGGATCATTCGGATTTTACTGTAATGTGAACGCTGTTCTAATAAAAAACGTTTTAAAGGTCAGGGGTTCCCTCCCTTCTCTGTCTGAATCAGCAGGTTCATGAAGCTCCTTGAGCTCCATCACGTCAGAATCCCGAGGACTTGGTCTCACCTCCTTTGTACTCATTGATGGCCTCTGATAAAGCATCAATGGACTCAATGTCCAGGTTATTGGTGGGTTCATCCTACGACAGAAGACAAAAGACAAGTGGTTAGAAACAGGAGCATGGTGGACCTACATGCATCACGAGTAGCTGAGATCTTACTAGGATGAGAACATCTGGCTGACGACAGGATAGCTCAGCAAACACGACCCTGGCCTTCTGACCCCCTGTCACAGAGCAGACATTAGGAGTCTCCTTCAGGGCAAGTGTTGGATGGATCAGAGGTTCTGGTTCTGGTTCTTACCTGACAGTTTGGAGATCTGGATGGTGTGGGCATGACTCTCCAGACCAAACCTTCCCAGACACTTCCTGCTGTCCTGGTATGGCAGGTTGAAGTTCCTCATCAGATACTCTGTGGGCGTTTCTTCCATGATCAGCTGATCAGCATACTGCTGATTGAAGAAGCCCACTTTCTGTGAACAGAACCAAATCAGGTCTTCAGTCCACCAGAACCAAACAGCAGCCTGGTGCTGCCACAGAACCACAGTCACCGTTAGAACCAGTCCACTACAGTAAACTGATACTGGGACACAGGAATGAAAGCTCAGGGGAAAGGGACACCAACGATCAGAAACACTTGGCTTTAATTAATGAGGACTTTAGAAATCAGAGGATAATAAATCTGAAGACTTTTTTAAAATCAAACACAAAGTTCAGCACTGAAGCGTGTGAACAGAACCCAGAGATCTGGTTCCAGTCTCAGGTGAGGTCTCCAGACCTCCAGAGTGCTGCTGTGATCTTCAGAGGGTCAGTTCCTCTGGTTCCATCACTTACTACTCCCATCAACACTACCACCATCTGATTTCAGGACCCACCAGTACCTCAGAACCCATCACAGACCAATGGCATACAGCATCAAGATAAATGCTGTAGCGTACCAAATGGTCAAGTATTTCATCAAAATGAACAGAAGTTAACTTTTTAATTTGCAGACACAAACATCCCATCAGATGTCTGGCCTCCAAACAAGAAGCACAAGGCCTTGTCACCGGATAAAGGAGACATAATAATTCCTAGCTACCTTATGTTGGCGGGAACAAAAGCCATGCAGGAGACTTTCATTTCAAATAAAGTTCATCTCCCTTAAATCAAAGATGACTTTACAACTTCATAGGCTGACATAATCAAATCTGTTGTATGATCAAGATGTTTAAATCCCAAAGTGTTTGAATAATCTGTGCATTAATCAATGATGTGTTAAAACGAATGTTTTTCCTGCGATGATTCATTTCAGATCTTAAACTGCACCAGATCAGTATTTGTTGATTTACCTATTTAATCATAAGATCAATACTAAGGTTTTAACATTCACTTCACATAACTGTTATAACATTTGCACTTAAAGGCCCCGTGTGTGACATCCATTGAAGTCGTGATGAAAAACTGTGACTCTTTAGCGCCGTGCAGTCCAGAGAAAGCATTGCAGCTACGGTGGCTCACTCATGAGTTTGACTGTATGATCAATTTCCAACCTGTCTAGCCTAACCCACACAAAGCATAGAACAAGCTACTCGACCTCTTTAAAAAAGCATTTATAATTATCAACCTACCAGTTCTGAAGGAAGCAAGCTAGTTGTGTTAGATCTTGAAGCTGTCACGATTCACACACGGAGGAGGGGTGACGTCAGCCGGGAGGTCAGGTGTTGTGAGAAATCGTGTTCCCCTGAAATATTCTGTCCCCCCGTGTCGGGAGATCGCACTTCTGGCTATTTTCACAACATTTGTGATAAACTTTTATGGGAAAATGATGTAATGTAATGTAATAATATTATGCTTGTGATTTTCTATCTGTATTTCCTCCTAAAAACAATAGAAAAGATACAGTAAAAACATTCTTGGTCACTCTTTTGCAGCAAGCTTATTTATCATTTTGAAAGTTATGTAAAAGGATGTAATCTCACTCAGTTTAACCATTTAAGGTAGTTTAGTCCTCGTAATGAACTATAAGTTCTGTGAACTTGGAAATATTTGCTCTTGACTGCCTAAGGGTAACAGAATATTTCAGGGGAACATAATTTGCCACAACACCCGTTTCACATGGATCACGGTGCCTCGATGTAAACAAACTGGCTGCCGCTACCAGCTAATGGATATGGAGCGATCACTGGCTGATCGTTAACCACGGCTGGTGAAGGAGTGTTGGTGAGCCGGGACACGCTGGAGATCAGGTAAACAATGTAGACTTATCCACCAGCTAATTGTGGCTCATGGCTGGCGTGGTGGAGATGGGAGTTACGAGCTACTAGTTAGCCATGGCTAGAGCCGGGGACACGCCGTGCATGCTGTACATAAACTCCCACGGATTACCAGCCAAAGGAGACCCAAGTCTAAAGGTAATGTTTGGGAAGAAGCCCTCTGAGTCGGAGCGTCTCAGTAACGCGTGGAGAACTACATCGCTGTTAGTAAAGTGTTGTGGAGATCACATAAACAACGCTGATTTAGCCACTGGCTAGCGGACGAGCGCTGGAGCGTGTTGGGCGAGACGGCAGGCTGCAGGAAGAGAGGCGACTTGAGTAGAAGGACTTTAGAACGGACACGTTGGGACCGGGTCGGGAGTTCTGGTACCGAGAAAAGACGGATGAACAACTTGAGGTGAGTTTGGGAGTCAGAGACACTAATCCGAGGCTGGCGTCCAGCTAATAGCTAGCGGGGGTCTGAACATATGCAGCTTCCTTGTGTTGGACATGATGAGGAACTGACAAATTTTATGTCTTTTGATTTAATTATTTATTATTCAAACTAACAACTACAGAAACTGTGTAGCTATTCTTTCCTATTTCTTAGTTGAATTAGCAAACTCCATGCTTCCAGGGCGCACTGCTGCCCTCTGCTGGTTCTTTCAGGTTACAGTCACAGTCCAAACGGGTAACGTGGAGCTCGTATGTCCCTAAACAGCTACTGTATGTTAAGACGGTGGATGACCATGGAGCGTCGACCACAGTTTATGTATTTAAAACAGTGTCATTTCAAGTTGAGAGGAATATTTGGAATTGATGTTGTTGTGAAATATTAGTGAAAAAGGACACGTTTGTGAACTGGAAACACAGAATTTATTGTAAACTGGTAAAAATATCACACACTGGACCTTTAAGAGTTAACCTCTCAGTATCTGAGTGAAGGAGTGACTTTCTGAGGTCTTTAACGCCTCTGTAAACGTGTCAAATTCTGATTTACCAAATTTATAAACAAAAGTTGATAAAAACAGGAATCACTTCCTGATCTAGTTAGTCTTTGCCGTTCCCTTGACATGGCCAATCAGGTGAACAAGCATTTTGAGACCATCCTATCTTTTGACCTCAAGGTCAAAGCCTCTCTGCAACGCTTGCGAATGAGTTCAGACACAACGGCTCAGACGCAAAACAGACACTCCAGCCTCCTGCCGTCACCTGAAGATAAACCCAGACTAGATGGGTCATACTCTGGGCTGGCTACGAGCTCCGGTACCACAGGTCCACGCCATCGGTGGTGTCCATCTAGCCCTCCTGACCCCCTTGATCAATTGGGGATCTTCACACAAGGGTGCGTAGACCGGCACAAATTGCGTCGGATGGTTTTGTAAACAAATCTCTAGCTTATCAAACCATAAAGCCAAATTGATACTTATAAGGTTTTACAAAAACATCTAGCTCACATTCCATCATCTGTCATCTGTACAACCATCATTTTATTCATACTTTGTCACGTGCAGTCATTTAGTTTAGGAAAACAGGATTAAAATCATTTTTATAACTATATTCTCGACTCTGTCTGAGTTAATATGAAGTGTGTATATGGTCCCTGAATAAGTCAAAGAAATTAAAGTCTTCAAAGATCAATCAGATTGATATTTCATATTTATATGGCATTTTCACATCTTATTGATCATTTAATACATTCGTAGCCAATCCTTAACGCTACACTGTCAATTATAGCCTGTATTTATATTGCCTCTTCTAGGGTTCTACAACCCCCCAAGGCACTTTACAACACAACCAATCGTTCACCCATGTCGCCATCATGTTGGATTTGAGCTGCCCTACAGAACCACATAAGCCCCGCCCTGTTCTGGACTTCTCAATGTGAAAATGTGATCAAATGTTACTCACCAGGCGATGGTTCTTCCTCATCTCACCTTTAGTCTGAGAAAAGAAAGTCCAGTTAAATCAGGCGCCAGCAGGTTTCAGTGAGTGGACCACGTCAGAACTGACTTACAGGATTTAATTTCCCCGTCAGCAGCAGCAGCAGAGTACTCTTTCCGACTCCGTTGGGTCCAACAATACAAACTGAAGAAGGAAAAGGTGGGGCTTAGAGGAGAAACCAGGCTCCTAAAGCAGACCCATCGAGAACAAATCCAGGATAAGAACGTGATGTTGAGGTTCTACTCACTCCTGGAATCCATGTCAATGCCAAAGTCCACGTTTCTGAAGAGCAGTTTCTGGCCTTCGTAACCAAAATCCACACCTGATGAAGAAAGAGACCGTAAAGACATAAGACGGACCTCCATCACAAGATGCATGTCCATCACTAGGAGACATCCTTGCGTGTGTCCTGATCTTCTGACCTGACAAACAGCAGAGCCAATCCTTAAATGTCTCAGACTCCCAGTTATAAAACAAAATACGGCTGGTGTCGAGAAAACCTGACTCAGCTGACGACGAAGCTCTTAGAAAGAAGATTCTCAAGACAAGACGAGTTGTCAGAATCCTCGTCCCTAAAACTAAAGTTTATATTAGTATTTTACTGATCAGTGTATAACCTCCTAGGGTTAGGGTTATAGACCTTTTTGTTATTATTTATAGACACAAGATATTGATATCGACTTTAAAATGTTTTGTTTTCTTTCTTTTTAATAGACCCTTTTACTACCTACGTCATCAAAAGTTGCGCGCGCAGCCTGGCAACGAGAGTGAAGGCTTCCTCATTCACACTCGATACTAAAACAGCGTTTTAAACCCTTTGTTTTGAAGTTCTGAGCACATAAAAATGTCGGGTTGTAGCGTGTATGGATGCCAGAAGCGCTTCTCTTCAAGCAGTGGACTGAAACTTTACAGAATTCCGAAGGGAGCACATCCATTTCAACAAAATCGGAGGCGTCTGTGGCTGCAGGCCATCAAAAGGGTTGATGAAAACTGGACTGAAAACACGATCCGAAATGCTCGAGTTTGTAGCGCCCATTTTATATCAGGTAAGGTAATTATGCACTAAGATTACACCAGAAAGCTGGTTAACGTGTGTTCTATTAAATAAAGTAAGTTGCGTTTGCTGGTTTGCTTTTAAGCAGTCTATTTATTTTATGCCTTCAAGACGCAAAACTCACGAGTCTATGTCGTGATATTTTACTTTCCGTACGTGGCCACAGACAACATAGTTGTATGCTCGTAGCTTCTCACATGTGTACTTACTAGGCCTCTCCACTAAAAACGTATACATATATCGGGCCACTGGATATCTGGCCACGCACCTACATCTTCCACCCATTCGTAATGCCACAGGGATCCGGGAGTCTGTTGTCATTCGTTAAAGTGAGTTTAATAATATAACATTCAAGATTTGCCGGTGATAACCCCGCAGCGTAGCTTGATAAAGCCTGACACAACGCCATTCTCTGTTGCCAAGCTGCGCGCGCATTCTCGCTGACGTCATATTGTTTACAAACAGTAAAAGGGTCTATAGGAAATTTGACAACTTTTTTTGTTTAATTTAATTTTCATTTTATTTTAATATTTGTAATTTTGTTTCCGTTAATGAGAGTAGACTACTCTGTAATAGTAGTTAGATGTATTTTTTCTTTTAAATCACATCAAAGACTGGTTCAGGTCTCAGGAGCTTAAACCAGGAAGGAGGTTCTTAGAGGTCCGATGTTCTGATCTTTTCCAGAGTTCATTTATACCCACCGTGGTCCCATATCTAATGTTCTGTTAGATAAACAAGCAGAGAAAACACAAGTGAGTTGTGAAGTCAGACATCCATTTATCTATCTTCATCATGTCTTTGGTGCCATGTAGATAACCCAACAGAAGTCAGCCTTCCTGTCTGATGGGTCACTATGTTCAGATGATTGAATGGATGCATGACTTAACACCCTGGACCTGCTGATGGTTCATTAGAACCTCTCCACCTTCAGTCTGCAGTCACAGAGGAACAACTTTCCACTTTCTTCTGGACTCAGCAGACTGTTGGTGGTCCTAAAAGGATCCTGAACAAGGGCAAGTCTCCTGAGCTATCTGCAAAACCAAGGTTCCTTACTGTGTAGTCCCAGAATAGGTGGAGAGAGAGGAGGTGGGTTGGGGAAGGTGAACTTGACAGTGTATTCCTTGGGTCGCTTCAGCAGCTCCGGGGCCTCCTGGCTCTCCTCCTCCTGGCCGCCCTTCTTCTTTCCTTTCTGCTGCTTTCGGGTCAGAGCCTCCTTAGTCTGCTTCTCCTAAGGAGAACACACCGTTAAAGCGTTAGATGATGGAGGAGATGTGGCCCACAGACAGGAAGACCTGAGTGACACCAACTGGTGACCCAAAAACCTAAATTAAGCTAAAAAAACATTAAACAATAACAAAAACTGTAGTTTTTGAAGCAAATATAAACTCTTTATTTCCAGATAACGAGAGAACAGTCGACTATAAAAAAGCTCTTCTGTATCCTCAGCTGATCTAAGTCCTGAGGGGAACTTACGGCCTGTTTGGTGGACTTCCCTCCAGCCTTGAGATCTTTGAGCTTCTTCTCCTGTTTGTCATACTGCTTCTGCAGCTCCTTTTGCTTCTGCACGTACATCTTCTTAAAGGTCACTTACAGGAAAGCAGAAAAGGTTTAGTGTACATGAAGGAGCCATGCTGTTCAAGCACAGAGCCTCAGGACAGACGTTTCCTGAAGTAGACCTAACCTAATCCTTCAGCACCAACTGAGATGAGTCCAGCTGACGCCGTTTCATCCCTTAAGGATCATCGGACTACCTGCTGAAGATCATAAAGCAGATGCTTACAGTAGTTCCCCCTGTAGTAGTAGAGTTTCTGGTTGTCCAGATGGATGATATCAGTACACACATCATCAAGGAAACTTTGGTCGTGAGACACGATGAGAAGTGTCTTCTTCCAGCCTTGAAGGTAGCTGGAAGTACAAAAATCTTGTTGGTTTTCAGACAGTTTTAGATGCAGTTCTGTCACTACATCTATCGGTGGTAAAAAATGACTCAAGAAGAGGGATCATCTGGGAATTGCTTCATACTTGTTGAGCCAGATAACGGCATTTAGGTCCAGATGGTTGGTAGGTTCATCCAGCATGAGCAGAGTGGGCTCCAAGAACAGTGCTCTGTACAAAAAGTCACAAAGAGTTGAACAACAGGTTGGTGCTGGATCTCAGCTTCTGCTGGGTCTGGGTCTACCTGGCAAGGGAAACTCTCATCCTCCAGCCTCCCGAGAACCTCTTAGTGGGCCGGTTCTGCATCTCAGGTGTGAAGGACAAACCAGCCAGGATTCTTCTGGCCTTGGCCTCGGCCGCTGCAGCCCCAATAGCCCTGAGCTCTTCGTAGACCTGACAGGTAGGGGGGAAAAAACACGACAACTTGATCTTTTCAAAACAAACTATTCTCACCAGGTGACCTGAAACGCAACAGTCAAGATGGGAACCTGTCAACCATTTTTTTTTTTCAAAACCTGGGTCAAATTTTCAAGAAATGATTAGTAGTTGCAGTCAGAAGTTTAAAGCCTGAGATCTAAAGGATGGTTTCTAGCGTCTGAGGTTTGAAACACTTAGGTTGAAGCCTGAGGTTTTCAAGGTGAGGACTTGAGTCTCATCATATGTCTTAACGAAGACATGTTACACAAATTCTACTTTTTACTTGTTTTTGCTCATTTGGTTTCTGTCTGTGTTTTAGGGGTCATGTCCCTAAAACGGGCTGTTTCAGAAAGCCCCAGATGTTGTGGTGGGCCACGAGTAGAAATGCATGGTATACAGGGTATGCATATGCTGCTGATATGATATGAATGCATCCACCTGTGGACATTTTGACTGTACTGGCCAGCTGTGATTGATCATGAGTGTTGCTAAGCTGCATCAACACTGGAGGAAAGTGGCAGCAGCATGGAGCGGACGGATTCAATTTACACAAAACTCTATTTTTGTGCATTCTTATGACCTGAAATAGCTCCGACACAGTACTGACTGGCTAGCTCCGTTCTTCATCTCTGGGCTGACTAGTGACCCTAGTTAACCTTGCAGTGGATTCAGGAAGATCTTACCTTCTCCAGCCTCTCAGAAACACTGTCCTCTCCTTTCTCCAGCCGAGCCTGGAGCTGCTTTTCCTCCTCCAGGAGTTTCAGGCGGCGGGTGTCAGCCTTGAGGACAGCCTGTACCGCCGGCGTGTCATCAGCTACCACCTCTAGCGCAGACAACCAAAAGAGTGTGTGGATTACATCATAACCAGGAATGATGGAAGACACTAAAACAGGTCACCCACCTTGTTCACACAGCAGCACATCAATGTTAGAGGGAATACTGAGAGCTCTGTTCGCTATGTGTTTCAATAAAGTTGTCTTTCCTTTGCTGGGACACAAAGAGAGAAGATATGTTAGACACCATCGTTGGGATGCTGGTGGACAAACGATGCTCTGTAGAACCTGGTAGAGCTGAAGGTTCGCTCTTCTACACACAAAGAGGTCTTTCAAGCAGTTTTTGAAGAATAGTTTTAGGACTCTTAGAAGTGAGCCAGCATTAGAGGTCGTCACAGTAAGTTTAAATAAGTATGAAAATCTCCTTTCTTTCCAACTGACCCGACCTTCTAAGGGTTCTCCAGAACTTGCCTCCCAGCAAACAACACACACCTCTCTGGGAACCAAACAAACTAGAGCAATGATTTATTTCTGGTAACTTGACGTAAGCCTTCGCCGCCCCCAGGGTCCGTGACCATTCTATCCTCTCCATTGTGGGTCGTATACAGCCTTGCCGAAAAGAGTGGGCAATACCGCACATCCCGCCCACTTCAAAGGAGCCTCCTCACATCTGTGAAAGCAGCCCTAGCTTTGGCCACTCTTGGAGTGTAGTCAGTAGAGGTGCTGAAAAAAATCGATCCAAGTCTGAATCGGGATTCTTATTCATAAAGGTTCAGAATCGATTCCAAGAACTCAAATATTTGGCACGTTACAGGTTTGAGATGCACTTTTTTGATCTTTGTTAGGAGAGTCAGTACTCCGATTACTTTTGTGGTCCCATAAATTGAGATGATTTATGTTTGAATCTGCTGATAAGAGGGCACTTGAATGTCATTTTTTCCATACTCAGAAATCTGAGATATTCTCATATTTATTTTCTAAGTTGTTAAATGAGTACTCAGGATTACTCATGTAACTTGTTTCTACACATACTTGAAAAGTATTTGACCGTATTACTTTCAAAGCTACTGTTAGGTAACTACAGATTTGTTTTATTTTACAAGGAAAGCATAAATAAATGTTGCCTTTTGGTCTAAAGATTGTTTCTGTTTACAGTTTTAGAATCACTTTAGTTTACCTTGTAAATTTGCATTTTTGGAGCACGACCAGTTTAAAGTCAAATAAAAATGTCCCATAGCTTTAACTAACTTGTACTACAAAGTAGTTCATATCCTGGAGCTGACACTCTTTGTTAATACTGATTGTGAACCGATTTAAATTGAGAATTGAGAATCGAGAATCGATTCTGAATCGAATCGGCACCCCAAGAATCGGAATCGAATCAAATCGCGAGTTGCTCTAAGATTCACATCCCTAGTAGTCAGGGAGGACTGAAATCGATGATCTGTTGTAGCGGAGCTGGCCATGAGTATGTGCACAGGTTAAAATCTCTGCAGTCTTTAGAACAAGCTTAGCAATAATTGGTCGTAGTCTAGCGTCCGTTGTCTGTCGGCAGTTCACCAGAGGCTCCACCTCCAGCTGCAGTATTTCCTTTGGCATTTTAGCCACCGCTGTGGTCGAACTGAACTCCATGGTCTCGGGAATTCCAAGAATCGGAACGTTACATCTCCTCGACCGACCCTCCGAATCCTCACACTTCACCTGTAGCTCCAAAAGCTCCCTCAGCTCATCCACCGTGTTCCACAGGGAGACTTCATCTGACCAGGTGGACAAACCGCCCTAGACATCTGCTACACTCACTCCGACTTGCTCAATGTGGTGGTGTTCGTCAACTCGACCTTCACTGCCTGTAGCTCTCCTTTAGTCTTCCACAAGGGCATCCTTCAATTCACAACTAAACACAGCTGAGATGTTGGATTCCAGAGCCGAAAGTGGCTGTTTCACTGGTTTGTTCACCACTGAACTCAATTTAAATAAAATGTAAGAAAACAAGACAGAAATTCTACTTACCCATTTGGTCCAACCAAACCATATCTCCTCCCGCTAACGATTAGCAGGTCAGCATTTACAAACAACTCCTTTCCATGAGCTGAGATGCTAAACCGTTCCAGCTGAAACAGAAAACACTCTCTCAGAGGGTGGAACACGACACACACAGATACACACTTGTTGAACAGATGGGGTATTCCTCAGATAGCCCGATTACCTATTTCTCTTTAGTGCTTTTAAACATTTATAAGTACTTATTTACCTCGATATTCTAATGTTAAATCATAAAAAACAGCAAAAATGACTCATTTTGACCCTCTAAAAAGTCAGATTTTCCATTCATCTGTTAAAGCGGTCTACTTCATGTCATCTTTCATCCATCCATAAATGTCCTTTATGGTCTTCTTCTCAGCCTCCTGTCTGGTGGATCCAACCTCAGCACCCTTCCACCTACGTATGTAATCACTCTCTCTCTTCTGGACATGCCCAAGCCATCTCCGTCTTTCCTCTTTGACTTTATCTCCAAAACATCTAGCACGAGCTGTCCCTCTCATGGACTCGTTCCTGATCCTTTCCATCCTCATCACTCCCAAGGAGAACGTCGACATCTGGAGCTCTGATGCCTCTGGTTTTAAAGTGTCTTGTCCAAGGACACGACTTTGACAAACTTTGCTGGGCTGACACAAAAAAAGTGATCTGTGAATTTTTGTGGGAACAATTGCGTTTTTTGTGAATTTTCTAATTGATGTCAGTTTTTAATATTGCTGAAATAATAATAATTGTGGTTTAATTGTTTTGGTACTAAAGTCTAGAGTAAATAAAGCACACACAACATTCAGCATGTCCTCATGATGATGTGTGAAAAGAAGAATTTCATGATAATTTTGAATTCTTAATAACTTTCTACTTTAGGTTGTGATGGTGAAAGGGTTAGGGTTATCAAACATCACGGTTTGTCACAACACCAGTGAATCTATAAACATGGACATAAAAGGGCGCTGGTTATCATCTGGAAGTTTTGTGATGATTTATGGATTTTTGTGTGGTTTTTTTTTTTGTTTTACTTTTTGTCAGCACAGTTTAAATAGTTGGTTAATGTAGTTTTTATTTAAAATCCGTTTAGACGAAGGACATTAAATTTCTCCCCATATATTCTTGCTCATCACAAAATATATATTTATATTCTTCCACGAAAGTTTCGGTTTGCTCCCTGTCTGCTGCGTGATATCTCTTGCACAGTTTTAAAGGTGGTGCTGCTGACCAATCACAGGTGTGCACTCTGTGGGCCTGCCACAGAGCGCTTGCATCGATGGAAGACGGCGTTGCGTATCTTCGTACTACAGCAAACGTAAAAAGTATAAACTAGGCTTTACCCTCCAAACTCTGAACACTTTGTCTTAGGATGATTTAGCGTCGCTTGACAGATTCATACATTTTCCCTTTAAGAGCAAGTCACTCCCAAATCTACATTTTTTTGCTGATAACCTGTAGAGACAAGTGTCTAATGGTGCTGTAGACATGTGTAGTCATTATTTAGGCATTTTAGTGCAACTTACTTAAAATCTAAATATTCGGCGCAAAACAGTCAGTGTTGCGCCCTCTTTAGGTTAAACGTCTACACTACATCAGCCAATGCTAATGGCTGAGCAGATTTACTTTTTTTTTTTTTTTTTTACGTTAGCCAGTTTCTGACATGCTGCACTGTAGAGCTGCAGTGTCTCAGCCACGCCTCCAGCTGGCTCGGCCACTCGCGAGTCAGCACGATACAATAAAGCTTGGTTTATGCTTGACGCATTCACTTTCCGCGCGGTGATGCGGCTCGCGGATGGAACGCGCTTCACAACTCGCAGCGTTTATGGATCGTGCGGCTTGTCTCTGCGGTGAGCCAATATTCTCCCAAACTGTAGGGGGCAGCATGGAGCTCTACGGCATGCATCCAACACTACACCATAGTAGAAGTAGAAATTACTGTTTACAACACGGCATTTCAGCATTTTTAACAGCGTCCTCGTCTTTTCCGACAGTGCGAGCTATTTCTCTCCAAGAATTATTAACAACATGTTGATCACGGTGATCTCTGAGAGCTGAATCATACAAATGTCTGTATTTACGAACCTCTGCCATACTAGTTCTTGCCAGTCCGCCATGTTTTTCCGCGTCCGTCCGTCCGCGTGGTTAGCAATTTTCCGAGGTGCACATTGCGGAAATCCTGGGCCGTGCGGAGACGCGGTGGATGGGCGTGGTTGTTAAAATGACGCAACTTTTCCGTGCGGACCTCGCGGACGCGTCAAGCATAAACCAACCTTAAGGCTCAGGGCCGCTCGCCTCCTCCAAAAATCCTTTTAGGTGAAAAATCCTCCAGAGTAAGAAGAATTGTGGAATTAAACAGACGACGAGTCTGACAGGCTAGGTGACTTACTCTTTTAACTAGATATCTGCTACAAAACCTAGTTTTTGCTACTCCTTCTACACAGTACACAGAATGAATGTGAAACTTGGTAAAAATAATTAGTAAACTTAAGTTCTACTTTTATTTAGTTTATTCTTAATTTAACAAATTAGATTTTTTTTAACAAAGTTGTACTTATTTTATATATATACCTGAAAAATATCTGCTTAGTAAATGCAGTTAAAAAAGTTATCAACTGATATTTATCTGTTTTGTGTACTTAATACTTTTAAAATACTTACTAGAACTCTGGTTAAATGTTTGATTTTAAAACTGTGCAGAGCACAAAATTATGACTCAGGAGTTGGTTAATTTAGTGTTCAAAACGTATGTTCATAAATGTGCATTTGCAGTTATTAGTGAGACATTTTAGCATGAAAATAAGGTGCAAAACATCTAAATGTTGGCCAGAAAAGTGGCATTACAGTGGGTATAGAAAATAATCACCCGCTTAGAAAGACTTTAATTTAGTCTTGTTTACATCCTTAAATAAAAACACAAACAGAATTTAGTTCATTTTCCTATAGTGTCAGAAGTCAATGATTATACAGGATTTGTCACCTTAATGTCTGAGGCGTTCTCCAACATCTGTCTGGAGGACACCTCAGCCTGAGACACGGAGAAATCTTCCTCCAGAGCGTTCTGAGCTCGAACACTGGCAACCTGACGCTCAAAGTCCAACTGTAGGAAGAAAAACACACACCGTGAGACAACAACACACACTCATGGGAGAATAACAAGCACACACCACGCAACATGCGACCAAAGACCCTCATTGGGAGGGTTTGGGGTTCTAAATCAGGCTTGTAATAACCTGTTAATAACAGCCAGATTTTCTAACTCAGGTTCAGTTAAACCCGGTTTAGGGTTCCTCAAGATAAACAAATCTAGTTTAAGACCAGAACCTCATTGATTACCTGCTTCTTCTTCTTCTTTCGCTCCTTTTTGCTGAGGTTCGCGTACGGGTCATCAGCTGACTGATCGGCCTGCTCAGCAATTACATCCTCTGCACTCAGCTGGGAAAGATGCATATGTGCGAAAACACACACACACACACACACACACACACACACACACACACACACACACACACACACACACACACACACACACACACACACACACACACACACACACACACACACACACACACAATTAGGTGAAATTGTAGTATCAAATCTCCTCCAGCTTCAGACAGAAGAGCATTTTCCCCCATCGTCTGAATCAGGACAGTTTGCCAGCATTTACAGAATTACTTCCTCTCGGCTGTTTGAGGTTCTGGAAGATGTAACAAGAAGTTTAGAACACAAGGAACTGATCAACATTCTGAATTTCCCTCTAAACCTGTGGTCCATCAGCAAAAATAGCTCCTGGTTTGAAAGCCAAACCAAGTCAGGAACTTTTAAGACCTCGACTCTGGTGTGGTCCGAACACAGGGCAGGTCCTCTCGCACTCTGGTTTAAAATCTCGCTCGTTGCAAATCTCATAGAAGTTCCCTCGCCAGTACCCACTTAGAACAATGTGAAGTAGGTATGGTGTATGCTTTCATTGTATCGGCTAGTTTGGTCAAAAGGGACATGTCTGTAACCCTTTGGGAGACAGACGATAAAGTACCATCTACCAGCCCACCCACATATCCATCCCGTGACCGTACCAAGAAGCAGTTTTCTCAATTTGAATTTTTAGAATTCTAGAAGCAAAACACTAGCGGCTAAGATTCAGAACAAGATCCCTTGCTCTACTGTGGAGGAGAAATGTACTACCATTGTGTCGCCATCTTCCTCCTCTTCATCCTCCTCCATGCTGTGTGATTTCTCTGCTGCTTTTGCTTTCTGTGGAGAAAGTTCAGACACAAGCATCACGGGACAGAACTGCTGCCTCACACCAGTCAGAAACAGTGAAGCAAACAGAGATGGACCACAGCTACAGAAATTTGACAAACACAAAGAAAATAATTTGAACTTTGTTGATGCTCTCGTCAACATGAGAGAACAGCGACAGGACAGAAGAGGCACGTCCTCTTCATAATATCAGTCATTGTCTTGGGACTGCCAACTAGCCCTGTTCCGCTGACCAAAATGATCAAGGCTCGGAGTCTGTTGAACCCAATACAACAAAAACTCCAACATCATATTTACTAGCGAAAAATATTGGCAGTTTCATAACATTTAACCATAAACATCTGTTCTAAAATACATGAGAGCGGGTCTAAGTTTATGGGTGACGCCATATTGGATGCCATGCTTCCTTCTACGGAAGCCTGTAAGGACAAAACACATTTACTTCCAGCTCAGCTCTCTCGTCGCCACAACAGACCGGTACAACGCCCGCATCACTGCAGATGCAGCACCAATCCGCCTGTCAATTTCACGCTCCACCTTTCAGTCACTCGTGAACAAGACCCCGGGATACTTTAACTCCTCCACTTGGGGCAGGACCTCATCCCTGACCCGAGGAAGGCATTCTACCCAAGGCTACCCAAATGAGAACGTTCCAAACAGTCCAGGATGGGTAGAGACAATGCTAGTGTGTAAGTGCCATAACAGCCTGCATCAAAGGACCTGGTACCCCATACTCCTGGAGTACCCCTCACAGGGCCCCCCGAGACACGCGGTCGAACGCCTTCTCCAAATCCACAAAACACAGGTAGACTGCTTTGGCGAACTACCCGAACCCCCCAAGTGTACAGAGCTGGTCCAGTGTTCCACAGCCAGGACAAAAACCACATTGCTCCTCCTGAATCCGAGGTTCGACAATCTGTCGGACCCTTTCTCCAGAACCCCTGAGCAGACCTTACCAGTGAGGCTCAGCAGTGTGATCCCCTGTAGCTGGAACACACCCTGCGGTCCCCCGCAGCCAATTAGTCAAATTTGCCTTAGAGATCAGGGCTGCTCTCCTTCCCCCTCCTCCTAAGCTATTCACCACCCCTCTGCATTAAGGAGTATGTAAAACTGTTTAGGGAGACAAAACCCCCACAGGGCTGCTGGACCCAAGCCCCCACAATGCGGGACAGAAATTAAGTCCAATGCGGAAATGAAATAAATTGCAGTTCCACCCTCATCCACTAGGGGCTGGTGTCAGAAGCGAGCAAATCCTCATTGACTCCCATGCTAAAAATACCAATTTCACAGCAGAAATAAACATGTTTACAGCCTGGTACCAAAACATGTTTCTGACCAGAAGCTCTGGTGTTGTGCACAGTTAACTCCGGTTGTAGCTAGGTCGCTACCTCCGTTAACTTAGCTCCCACCTCCGCGTTAGCTTTGGGTTAGCTTCAGGTTAGCTTGTAGCTAGTTCGACCGGGTGTCGTCAGTTGATCCCAGCCTTACAACCACACCCTCAGCTCCACCTCTCTTCCCTTTTGTGGAATTGTCTGGGCTTGACGGAACCTGTGACACGGTCAAAATGGCGGTGGTGGCCACCTCCCATTTCTCTTCAAAAATGTGTTTTTGGAGCCTATGGAAACCCATTGTCCATATATGTATATGTCGATGGCTGGACCAGACTGCTTCTCCTGCCATCTTTAACAAAACCAGCACCTTTAATTATTGACTTAAGCTTTTTCCTAACATCGTATACATATGTTTACATTACTTACACATGTTAAATGTCTCCTGCACTAAACACCAAAACAAATTCTTCACCGACTTGGAAAAAATCTGATTCTGGATCGAGATCAGGTTGCTGAGTAAAGGATTATTAGCAGTAACATTATCCATTCAATAATGATAGATGGTCAGGTTCATAATGGAGATCTTACCTTCATCTTCTTGGAGTCTGAGCCGTCCTTATCTCTGGCTTTCTTAACTTCCTGTTTTAATGACAAAATAGAAAAATTCAGAGTGGACATGCTGCTTCAAAAGCTTTTCAACATTATCAGGCTGCACATTCTACATCCAGCCCTGTGAAGAAGAAAAAGTAGCTGGAGGTTTGCGATAAAGCAACCAGAACAAGGACTTCTACTTAGGGATGCTTTGATCCAATCACGTGATTTTAAAAGGATCTGGAGAAAGAGATCGGATTTAATGATGACTTACCCAGAAATCTTTTAAAACAACAAACACGACATTTTAAATTCAACCTGAGATAGATTTTCAAATGGAAGAAAAACAGCTTAGTTTTAATTTCAGTAAGTTCCTCTACATTGTTCTTTTCTTGAATGAAAACAAAACAGTAACGTCACACACAATTTAAGGCAGGCAGGGACTCAAGACGCCAAGGTGCAGCTGTTGGCAAGCAGGCTAATGCAGTGCTAATGTGTATCCGTAGGAGAGCTAAAACATCTGCAGCTCGGTGGTATTTTAAACTGGCCAGCCTTCAGACGGACTACTTTTGCTTTCAGCTTTTCCCTCTGGGCGTCAACAAAGCAAATCTCCAGTTTGCCACCAACAGTCCCAGCTTACAGTGAACTCAGACAAAAACACGAAGCCAGCTGACAGAGGAAGATACGTTAATAAACAAAAATAAATCACCAACAGACCGCAAAACGTCTGGGTTTCTAGTTCTCCTGCAGCACCAGAGCTGAGTGGTAGCTTCAGGTGTTGTGCAGGGAAAGTTAGCCTGTCCACCAAGGCTCCACCTGCCTGCTCCATCACGTTTACACGTATTGCTCGCAGCTACATATTGAGGGAGTAAACAACTTCAAATAAAAGCAGCGTTGCGACTTTTAAATATTTTCATAATATATAAAACGTTTTTTAATCCGTGTCCTTCCTAAACAAGTGACAACTTGGATGTGTTTTCTTCTCATTTTAACGTTTTCCTGACAAGTATTGGATCGGGACTTGGAACCGACTCAGAATCCCTACTTCTCCTGCCTTTTTCGTCTTGGGTTGGGAGTAGGAGGTCTATAAGGTGTGGTCTGACAGTGGTTGTTTCAGACCACTCCTACTAGCAGTGTTAGCCATAGCTCTGTAGCATCGCCATTCATCCATCCATCTCCATCTTAAGTGCCGGTTAAACCTGCTGTGTGATATCTCAATGGAGTCCCAACTCAGAGTCGCTCTGACCAAAACACTCAGTAAACGGTAAATGGCCTGTGTTTGTATAGCACCTTCTAGGGTTCTACAACCCCCCAAGGTGCTTCACAACACAATCAGTCATTCACCCGTTCACACGCTGGTGGGGATGAGCTACGATGTAGCCACAGCTGCCCTGGGGCGCACTGATGAAAGCGAGGCTGCCAAACAATGGCGCCACCAGTCTCTCCGATCACCGCCAGCAGGCAAGGTGGGTTAAGCGTCTTGCCCAAGGACACAACAGCAGCATTCTCTGCCAGGAGCTGGAAATGATCCTACAACTTTTCGATTACTGGACAATCCGCTCTACCTCCTGAGCTACTGCTGCACAGAGTATGATGGTCAATCGTTGCTGGGAGGTCTGGTCCATACCACGTCTTTATCGATACTCCCATCTCCTCTGCTAAGAAGACTCCTGATTAGTCTACTAAGTTGAGCCAAGGAGGTAGCAACTTAAGCAGAGAAGCAAACTTCTGTCTCTCTCTCCCTAGTCGACCAGAGGCACTGGTAAGAGTCCTAACCCTGACTTCACACTGGTGTCATCAGCGGCACGGAACAACAGCAGAATGGTTTACTCGCGTGCTTCTCTGCACGCCAGTCCACACCAGGAGGGTCTCAGCCATGGCGCGGCTTCTCCCCCGTTGTCCACACTGGATTCGCAAGATCTAAATATCCCTCGAGACTTCAAAGGTCAGTTTGTTTATACCATCCGACATCAAACCAAAAAGAAGGAAATCATGTTTAATATCAATGTTTGATGTCATTTTTAATGTCGTTTCTCTCCACTGCCAGGAGAAAAGTCATTAAAAACACACTGCTGCATTTCTCGAATGAAAAGTCGTGAGGTCACACATTTAGACATTATTTACATAGATATGAAATCACAACGTTGCAATAGTCTCTTTAGAAAATTATCAGACGTTTAACTCTGAAACCTTGTATGATTTCCTGTCTAGCCCTATTTCAACTGTGTAAATGTATGTGTCCCAGAAGTGACTTGTATTAAATAGATACCAGTCTTTTCCTTAGCGGCATTGCGAGCTGCTTCTGGGACACACCTAGGGATGAGTACCTTTGACATTCGAACCGGTACTAATTCCCGGTACCTACGAATCGATACCGGTACTTAACGGTACCAATTTTCGATACTTTTGAGTGTTTATTATTTTAATTCTCTTTTATAATTAAATATATATTTTTCTCAATATATAACAATATTTGATAAATATCACGATAAATAACATATAACTGTTTGTATTTTAACATCGTCCTTGTAGTTTTATAAGCTGATAATTAAACTGAAGCAAACATCTTTACTGTGAACTAAATTTACTGTGTATCTTCATTCCTTTTGCCGTCCTTTTTCATTTGATTTTTCCTACTGGGAAGTTAGAATTTCCGAGGAGAAAGCAAACGCACCATTAGTGAAACGGAAGCTAACAAATCAAGCTAACGTTATCTTAAACTGTTTATTTAGCTGCTGGAGCAGATTTAAACGATGATGCCTCACACTTAGATCGTTGTCGCTGGTTTCATCTTCACCGGTCGCATTTAGTAAAGTGAAACCAAACTTTAGAGCGCGTTCATGTTCTTCTAGTCGGAATTTCAGAGTTCCGAGGAGAAAGCGAACGCACCATTAGCGGAACGGAAGCTAACATATCAAGCTAACGTTATCTTAAACATTTTATTTACCTACCGGAGCAGATTAAGATGAGGATGTCTCACTTAGATCGTTGTCGCTGGTTTCATCATCACCCAGTTACCCATCACATTTAGCGAAGTGGACCCAAGCTTTAGCGTGCGTTCTTTCTACCATGCTGCTCTGTTTACAACTCGCTCGCAGCGACCGACGACTTAACGCTCTTGCGCATGCACAGCTGTCTAGGCAAGTTCTCGTTGTGAAGGACGGGTACCGAAACGAGGGACCGTTTCAAATGAAGTGAATCGGTGCTCGGTCGGTACTGTGGAATTCGGTCGGTACCTTAAAAAGTACCGAATTCGGTACCCATCCCTAGACACACCAGAACATTTTTGCGTCGCGGCCAGTTTGGATCAGCCTAGACTAAAGGGACATTCCGCACCGCTGATGCCCCCAGTGTGAAGTCCCCACGCAGATCCTGTCTCCGTCTCAGTTAACTAAAGCGACAGATCCTCAGCAATGTTGGTTGATGTGAACACAACAGATACGCACATTTTCACTTTTGTAACAGCTTATTTTAGTCATATAATTCCTAAACGAAACACGGACAGAAAACATAAAGGCAGTAGACCCATAAGGCAGTAATAAAAGATTCAAACAGTCAGGTTTACATAATATGTTCCCTTTAAGAACATTAGGACTTTTAAGAAGCATACCGGTTTCTCTGGGTCATCTTCATCGTACGAATCTTGTTCCTCATCCTCGTCGCTCTGCCCTTGGCTGAGAGCAGCAAAAATATTTCCCACCTAAAGGAAACCAAAGATGCTTTCAGAATATCATTGTGTAAAGAATCAGGAGGAAAGTATTAATGAAGAGGATGACAAACCTTTTTTCCTTTGTTTGAGGAAACAACTGTGAAATCAAAAGAAAACATTAAACACTTTTTCCAAAATGTTCGTCAGGCTGCGATACCGAAACTCCATACCTGGCTCATCTTCCTCATCTGCTTGGACTGAGAGCTTTTTCAGTCTCAGCCTTACATCTTCCTCATCATCATCAGATCCTTTTCTTGCTCTCCGATCTTTTTTCTTTTTAAGGGGCTGAAAAGAAAGGATTACAAAGTGAAGAATCGGATATCTTTGTTGTGTTGTAACAGAACCTTATTAATCAGTTATGGTTGTCTGTCGTGTGTACCGGACGCTAATGTGGTTGACCGTGTTGATGTTGGATCTTTTTGCCATGAACAGACATCGCAAAAGTGTGCTTGCTGTTGTTCAGTATGAAAGTGCAGCTGAAGCCTAAGGGGGCAATGACACTGGGCCATCTACAGCCCATCAACCGGCTAGACTCAATTCAAGCAACAGCCTCATGAAAACAGCAGGACTCAACTACCTCCAATTCTTTAATAAGATTCGTCAACATAAGATCTGAGTGTTGCCGTTTAAAGAATTAAAAAAAAGATCCAAAGCTTTACAAAACAACACATTTAGCACGGGTCTGCTCCTATGCCTGCCTCTGATGCCACAGACTGACTGCAGCATTATTACCCCTTCTTTTCTGGATGCGGCAACGTTCCACGCCTTCGAGGCCCAGCAGCGGGGTGCCTCTTTTACGTCCAGTAGAAACAAAGGGTGATGATAACTACCAACACTGTTCTGCTATAGGGCACAAAATATCCTATGGTAAAATAGTAAATGGCCTGTATTTGATATAGGGCCTTTCAGAGTCCTGGAAACCCCCCCAAGGCATTTTACAACACAAAATATTGGTGTATTCACCTTTAATACTAGTTATTAAAATGCAGCAGTTACTGGATTGGTGCAGTTCAAAGTGGAGTGCATCAAATAAAACAATATTAACATAAAGGTGAGACGTGTCATAATCTCCCCCCCACACACACACATACACACACACCCCTACCACCACCACAGCTGGAAAAATTCCTAGGGGAAACACTGGGGGGGGGGGGGGGATTGTTTAGTCATGTGAACAGTGAATGAAATCATCTCAGAACTGTAAATGTGTGTGTTTTGTGTACATAATAACGTAAACTCAGCTTTAATAATTTCCATCCCATACAAAATCTGCTGATTTTAGAAGCATTAATGTCAATGTCAAAAAAATATATCGGTGCATCACTAGCTACGATGTATTCACAGCTGCCTGGGGTGCACTGACAGAGGCGAGGTTGCCGAGCATTGGTGCCACCGGTCCCTCTGACCACCAACAGCAGGCAAGCAGGGTTAAGTGTCTTGCCCAAGGACACAACACAACATCAACAAACTGAGCGGGGCTCGAACCTGCAACCATCTGATTATGGGGCGAGCACTTAACTCCTGTGCCACCGTCACCCAGCCCTAGTCCCGAACTTCCAGCCAGCTCCCAGAAACACATTGTGAAGATTACAGGTATGTTTCACAACTTAAGAGTGAAAACATTAGCAGCCTCTGGGTCAAAAACAACAGTGAACGAATCGAGTGAAAACTGTGATGATTACCTGCTTTCCTTGAGTTTCTTTTGCTGGCAGCTCATCAACCTTCTCAGGTTTAACATCTGTTGAAAGCTCCTCAAAGAACTAAGTAAAAAAACCACACAGAAATTCCAATGAGAAAAGATCAGATGGAATTTATTTTAACATTAAGATAGTACTCACACTCTTTTTTGCCTTTTTATCCTTCTTCCCCTTTTTCACAGTTTTCTCTGATGGAAGACACTATGTGTTATGTTCAAATAAAAAACCAGAGGATTTAGGAAAACATAACCAGGTGTGATCAGATGTGGTGCGGTGTAGCCAGGTCTAACTGAAGGTAACCATGTATATCTAGTTGTAGCCAACTGGATATACTGGGGATCTTCCAACAGCCCTACTCGGCGTAACTCGGATGGGCGTGGTTCAGTTCAACAGCCTGTTCCAAAATCACAGTTTGGTATTTCCCCCCCACTTTTTTCTCTACCTGCCCTTGGTTCCTAGCATGCTCCCAACTTGCTAAAACAAAAGTCTAACTACTTAATGGAATTGTGAAAGCATAGTTGCTCTAGCCTAGAAATCTAGACAGACAGTGGCAGAAGCTAAATGATTTTGCTTTGCATGTTAGTCTAGCTATGCACTATTGGAACCTTCGTAGCCCCAGCCAGTCTGGTGGCGTGCCAATCACAGCGCTCTATCAGTTTGGTGGGCGGGATGTAACTGTGCATTTTATGGATCTCACACTGCTGCGGAAGAGCCAGGCGTGGGTTTGCACGCGGCTCGGGCACCTGGCTCCAATCGCTGTGGTTTGAGGCTGAGCTTTTCGCCTGCAGAACTCAGCAGCTTGGTGAGCTGACGCGTGCTCCATTTTTCTGGCTAAAGGTGTCCTCAAACCTCCATTAGCTTATTCGTTAGCTCACTTAGCTTGTAGCTGCCAACAATGGTGGACTGAGATCCTCAAATTGCCACCCACTCTCAGCTCCATCTCTTTGCTCATTTATGTATTGTCCAGGAGTGTCGAGAAGTGTGACACATGGTGGTGATCGGGACCGCCCACTAGGCTTCAAGTCGAAGCCTCAGAAACATATAGGTGACGTCATTGAAGATTTGTCCATGGTATTTTACAGTCGTTGGTAGGATTAACAGGGCTCTGTAAACACCCTGTAGCTTTACCACCAATCAGCACAAACAGGTGAAGAGTACATCCTAACTGCAGTTAAGAACCATAGACAACCTTTTAGGATAGATCTGATCACGTTGAACGGGGTAGTAGGGTAAACCTAACAGAGAATGTGTGTGTGTGTGCGCGCGCGCGCATCTGATGATCCTAACATAAAACCTGAACTCACTATAAGCGCAAACGTGCCTTTTCATTGCTAAGGGCTGCTCAAAGTGTTATCAATTGCGTCACAATTCTAAATACAACTTTTTGAGGCCGACGTTTGGTAATGTGACCATAGAACGTAAATCAGATCTAAACATAAACTATGAACTACTCCCGACTTTATTAGCGTTAACAATGATAATAACATCTTATTGTTACATGTTACTAGGTCTGGTTACAGCCATTCTTCTGTGACTACAAACAGTTCATGGACTTGTCAGCAGTGATGCTAAATTAGCCCGCTAGCTTCTCATCAGTTATCTCACCTGCCACCAAAGCTGCGTCCTCGTCCACCCACTCAACTTCTTCTTTTGTCTTTTTAGGCATCTTATTGCTTTACCTGTGAGTTTTCACTTCGATGAAAATACTCATAAATTAATTTTAAAAAATCCAAACCCTAGTTAGGCTGTGCTAGTTAGAAGCCTCACATGGATCACTACTGATACCGGGGGTCGCTAATCTTCTTCGCCCATCATTTTCGGCAGCTATGGACACCTCGGGTGTAATACTGCCCTCTGTAGGATTATTGTAACATCCTATTTCACTAAAATGTCACATTATTGAAATTATTCTGAAATATGAGCTTATTTATTAACATATTTATTATTGGTGTGACATAAAAACAATGAAAACACCATAGAAAAGGAATTTGTTTCATCTTCCCCCATTTTTCATCATGAGCCTTTTCAATAATTTCATTCTTCTTGTGAAGCACCTTGTGATTTTTATCTTGTGAGGTGCTCTTCTTCATCATCCTCTTATTCATCCTCAAAACTCAGTTCAAGGTTATTGTTCTTCTCGTCTTCTTCCGCCTGTCCGGGTCCAGATCGCAGGAGCAGCATCCCAACTAGGGAGTTCCAGATCATCTTCTCCCTGGCCACCTCCACCAGCTCCTCTGGTAGGACCTCAAGGCATTCCTGGACTACTTCGGAGATGTACTTTCTCCAACGTGCCCTGAGTTGACCAGTGGCCTCCTGCCGGCAGGACTTGCCTGAAACACCTCCCTGGGGAGGCGTCCAGGAGGCATCCTAATGTGGCAAGGTGGAGTAACGAGGGCTCGGGCGGGATTCGATCCCCAGACTCCCGGGTGAGAGTCACGCGCGCTAACCAGTCAGCCAAAGGGACATCCCCTTGGCCGAGTAGCTAGGGCGCATGATCAATCGGGACACTGTGACAGAATGCTCACACTGCCACACTAACAAGACGCCCAAACCACCTCAACTCTCTCAATATGAAGGAGCAGCGGCTCTACTCTGAGTCTCTCCCGAATGTCCGAGCTCCTCACCCTATCCCTAAGGCTGAGCCCAGCTATCCCGTGGAGAAAACTACTTTTGGTCACTTATCCGTGATCTTGGTCTTTCAGTCTTTAGGTCTTTACCCAAAGCTCATGACCATTGGTGAGGACTGGGCGGTGGATCAACTGGTAAATTGAGAGCCTTGCTTTCCGGCTCAGCTCCTTCTTCACCACAACAGGCCAGTTCAGCGTCCGCATCACTGCAGAAGCTGCCCCAATCCGCCTGTCAATCTCCTGCTCCCTCATTACCTCACTCGTGAACAAGACCTCGAGATACTTGAACTTCTCCACTTGAGGCAGGACCTCTCTCCCAATCCGGAGTTGGCAAGCCACCCTTCTCCGGTCGAGAACCATGGTCTCAGACTTGGAGGTGTTGATCCTCATCCCAGTCGCTTCACACTTGCCTGCGAACATCCCCAGCAAGAGCTGTAGGTTAAAGCCTGATGAAGCTAGGGGGACCACATCATCCGCATAAAGCAGAGACGATATTCTCCTGCCATCAAACTCCACACCCTCAACACCACGGCTGCACCTAGAAATCCTGTCCATAAACATTATGAACAGGACTGGTGACAAAGGGCAGCGCTGGCAGAGTCCAACCCTCTCTGGTACAGGGACTGAATGGGGGGGGGGGGGGGGGGGGTTCCCCAACCAGGAGGACACCTGAAGAAAGATTCAGGACACACTGTAGGGACTATGTTTTTCGACTGGCCAGGGAACATATTAGAATTCCTCTGGAAGAGCTAGCCCAACTGGCTGGGAAGAGTTTGGGCCTCTCGGTTTAGGCTGCAGCCCCTATGACCTGTCTCCCGACTGTATATATGTAGAGGCTCCTACATGGTGAATAGTTGGATGCATGGTGAATAGTTAAAATTTTGCAAAAACTAGACAATTTATTTTAGGTTCCCTGCTGAGAAAAAAACAACATAGACTAGCACATGTTGTGTTTTGGTGCTGTTATACTGGTCCAGCATCCCATGAGCGATGTACCCATGGGGGATGTGGGTGTTTAAACACCCACAATTTTCCCGCAATTTAACTCAAAAACTTTACTATCAGTCCGGTCCCTCTGAAATGTTTGCCCACTCCCCCTGGCCTACCATAAATAATACAAAATAATGTTTGGAGTGGCCATGAAAGAAACCTTTTCATTTTGAGATATAAATTCAGACCTTGTCATGTAATAAATTATATTTATTTTGCTTAATTTGATCATAGAACAGAGTAACAACAGCAAAGTAACCTAGTCTGACAACTGACCCGACAGCGCTCCCTTCAGTTCCGGAACGTAAGCGTAGAAATTTCCAAATATGGTATGGGTCCGACAAGTGGCCCGACACCGCCCCTTTCTGCGTGCTGCAGCCAGGTGTACTTGGCAAGCCAACCTATATATGTGAATATATAGAATTTGGTCGAATTTACTAGGCTACATATTCACGCCCTGAGGTGCGTTTTGAGACTTTAGCCCGCCACAGACATATGGTGCCCGCCCCCTACAAAGGAATGCGTCGTCACGTCGTCACACGCACGAACGAAGTCCTGCTACGTGAGGCGTGTTCGGTTCGGCAAGGACACACGTTTTACCAGTGACGGTTGTTGTTAACTGGAGTCATTGGGCTACCTGGACCTGCTATCCTCATAGCCGGGACCCGGATTCTGGACCTGATATTCAGCAGAATTTTGAAGGTGAACGTATTCCGGAAGTGGAGTTTTCAACACCCTACTGGTTGTTTGCTAGCTCTTGCTAGGAGCTAGCAGCCGTCATTGAGTATCACCTTTGCTGTCTCCCAGCGGGTTGATGTTGGGTTCTGTTCGTTCCAGATCATAAACTGGAATAACCTGCTGCTGTTTCTGGCTCTTCCAGAACCCAACCGAGCTGCAGGTGATAACCGTTTAAAGATCTTATGTGTTTATACCTGTGCACCTAGAAATCCTGTCCATAAACGTTATAATTTATTAAACGGGTTTAGTACGTCGCTTTTCTTTTTCTACGATTAAACAATTACACTTGTACTGTTTATCATAGCCTCTAGGATCTCTACCCGGTTCTTTCGTTTGTGCCTAAGGCTTAAAACGCAGTTATGTCTAAATACTGAAGGGTCAGAGGTCAGATTTCTCCTGTCAGATTTAGACCCCAAACCAGAACTGCACAAAAAGTGGTCCTGCCCAGTTCAGACCTGGCCCAGATTGTAATTTAACCCATAAAAACTAATCTGGTAGGTTCTGATCTTGACCTGACATAAAGGATCCAGCAGAATGAGTCTTCTCTTCATCCCTTCATCAGCAACATCATGATTTAGAAGAAGAGTCTAATTCTTAAACCTGAGATTTTATTAAAATTGTTTAAAAGATGGAAGTGGCATGCCCAAATGAACCACCAGTTATCAAACAATACCGTTTACAAATAAATCAGAATAAATCACAAATATTAAAAAAGCAGCCACCTTTAGGTGTTTCTGTATCTCAGGACATGTGGACACAGCTCGGCTAACAGAGAACACCTCTGTTTCTGATCATTACAGAATGAGCTGGAAAAGCAACAAGGCCCTTTGTTTCAAATCAGTTCAGTTGTTTAAAAATGTTCTTCCCCACAATCAACATCCAGAGCATACAGTCAAATCCAAGTGCACACAGATATTTTACACAACCGTGTAAGTAAAGGTTTGCTAAATGATGCAGCACACAAAGTGTCAGTTTTATTAAGGTGGATCAGTTTTAATATAAAAATCTGTCAGCAGCTATTCAAATTTTTACTATCAAAGTAAAAAAAAATGCTACATTTGGCAGGACTGATGCATTTAATCATTATTTTAGAGTCCAAAAAAGAAATACTAATTAACACCCACATTATCTCAACTAATTCCCCAATAAGTGCAACTGTTACATGTAGTAAATTACTGTTTTATACGTTAGCCGTTTTCCTTTATTTATTTATATTTTTCACAGAAAGGGAGCTCTCTCAGGTGAACGTATCTGATCTGACAGGGAGATGATAAAGTGATGCCAGACAAATCAGGTCTGGTCTGCGTTTAATGATCAGCTCTTTATTTCTTGGTGCAAAAAATAGTCGACACATAATTAGACCTGAATTAGATCTGATTCACACCCAGACCAAATGGTGTAAAATTGAATGGACACTGAGAGCTCCTACTCATTGGTTCCACTCTCTCTTCCCACAGGTGTGTTTGGCTACTGGACTTCTGGACAGGTGTGAAGAGGGACTGACCTTTGCCGTTCCGTGGTCTTTAGGGGATGGTCAGTCAGTGACGGGTGGTGCAGATCTGTGTGGTGAATGGCTGTGAGGAGAGGAGGCGTAGCATTCTGGGTGGGTTTTGTGTGCAGCCACAGCGGAAGACAGCCCATCCTCAAACGAAGCTGGATTCTCAGTCAGGTAATCAGCTGGCACATATCACCTGTAGAGCTCAGTAGCAGAGTACAGGAGAGCAAGAAAGTCACTAAACAAGACTACAGGGTCTCGAGGATTCTGTGAGGAATTCTCTGGCTCTTCTGTCTTGCCATTACTGGACTGCCTGAATGTTGTAAAGTCCTGGCTGTCATAAAACTGAAAGTAAAAGTTTCATGCAGATGTTCCTCCTTTACTAGTTAAAAAAAGACCTCACTTCACGTGAAACCTCCGTATCCGAGGTAAACAAAACAGAAAAGAAACCACAGAGCTTTTTGGAAAAATGCTGCCATGTTCCCCCTTGCTTGTTATTGTGAAAACTGGCGAAATCACGTGTGATCATGCAATTCTTTGATCATTGCGTGACCAGCTACGTGGAACGCTTTCGCTGCTGTTTTGCATCTGAAACTGTCCAGGTGAGGAGGGGGCTTGCAGGTTAAGTGCATCTATTACGTTATGCACTGCATACACATTCAGTAAAACGCACGGGTAAGATCTTGGACTCTATAATATCTCAAATTTGTTTCAAGTGTGAAACAAATGTCCCACTGCTGCTCCTTCCAGGTGGTGAACGGGACATGGAGCTGTCGAATCCGTCCACTGAGTAGTGCTCCCTGGACCTTGGCTCCTCCTAACAGCCTGAGGTACCGGACCACCCCGCAGCCCCTGCTATCCCATCCACTGCATCATGCCAGCAGCCAACAGAGAAAACCATGCTACAAGGAGGACTGGGAGGGGGCTCTGAGTGTGTGTGTGCTGGTGCCTTCGGGCGAATCCAACAATGTCCTCTCTCTGCTGGAGCTCCCTGTGGTCATTAAGCCAGGAGACATGCACACTCTTGGAACTCAGCTGGAGTTTTCTTTCCCAGTGGCCATTGTGGATGGCAGCAGGGAGGATGACATCACGGTGGAAGAAGACATCGTGGTGGATGAGCTCCAGACACAACGTGGGCACCTCAGAAACCTGTTGGAAGCCGAGCGTAGTCCTGCTCCTGTGCTGTACGGCTCTCGGCTTCTCCACTGTTCAGGCTCACACACGAAGCTCCACAGGGTGGCAAAATCCAGCCAGGCAGGTGATGCCAACAGGACTGCAGAACTTCGGCTGTACTCAGGCAAAGCTGAAGAGAAGCTCCGCGAAGGGGAACATGAACTAGAGGAGAACTTGGCCCTGATGTATGAACGACTGAGGGTAGAGGTAAGGCCGGACCAGGTGTGAGCCCAGAAGGACCTGAAAAGGGGTTATAGCAGATTGCTGGTCTGTAGTTTTTAGGGCGTTCAGTTTTTTATTTTTCTTCAACAAACTTTTACCAACAAACTAGCAGTTGTGGCAGAGGAGTTAAGATCCCGCCCCGTGACCAAAGGGTTGAAGGTTCACACCCTGCTCAGTCTGTGTCCTTGGGCAGGACACTTTATCCTCCTTGCCTTGTGCTGGTGGTTAGGGGACCGGTGACAGTTAGAGGGACCGGTGGCTTATGTCACTGTGCTCCAGGGCAGCCGTGGCAATGATGCAGCTCATCGCTTTTAAGTCCAGGTCATCTATCATCTGATCCACATGTGTAAAATACACACATTTCTAGGGCTAAAACGAATATTCAAATGGTTCAATTCAATAAATTCCTTCAGTTGTTTTTGTCAGGCTTTGTTAAAGGCACACTTGGCTGTTTTGCTTGCTTTTAGCACCCCCTAGTGTCCGTTAATGATTCTCTGTGGTTAAACCGGAAATGAAACTTCTCCTTTCTGTGCGCTCGTCTTTTTAACACCTTAATCTACCTGCTGAAATGCTTCCTCCACCTTCATTAGTGTCTACAGGAGTGATTCATCACTTAATGAAACAAATTGGCTGTTTTCATGGCTTAAAACATGCAGGAAACATGCTGGAACCAGTCTGCAGTGCCAGGTGTAACATTTTTCTAAGTTAAAGCAAAACTAAACTGTTTCCAGCTTCTTCCCCCTACTGGTTGGAAGTGGAATCATGACTGTCACAACCAACCCTGCTGCAGCCTGCTGTAGCTAGCGCTAACGAGCTAACGCTAACATGAGCCAACTGACAGTAAATGTCATTAAGTAAAAACATCCACACTGTTGGACAAAAAAGGTATTACTACTTACAAAATCAGTAGCAACAAAGCCAGGTCAACAACAACAGCCTGTGATTTAATAGCCTCTTTTAGTTCCGCCAGGTAGCCAGGTTTAGCTCTTTGCTTCGCCTTCGTGATCTACTGTGATCTGAGATCAGCTGAGCTGTCAGGCTGAAAATGGAGTCCTTAAGAGCTTTTCTGGCTTTTGGGTCTCTGGGAGCAGGTAATGGGCCATTCCCATCTGTACCGGGTCGGCCCGGGCCGGGTAGCGTAGGTTGTTTACATATCTGGGTGGCCTGGTATTTTTCCGGGCCAACCAAGGCTCATTCTCAGCCCTCTTCTCGAGGGGGTCTGCTTCAGGCCGACCAGGGCCAACACACCCACTGCTGACAGCAAATTCACACCTTCCATTAGAGCAAGCCTCTGATTGGTGGGTAGAATCAGCCCACATGGGCTTTAGACAAGGATGTGTGGAATCAACCGGGCCAGGCTGGGGCCGACTGGGGCTACCCGGCCCGGGCCGACCCGGTACAGATGGGAATGGCCCATAACATGCATCGGTGGGCCAAGCGTTCTACAGAAAGGATGATTGCAGAGGCAGAAACTCCAGGAGGGGGTTCAGACTGCCAGATTACTGAAGATGAGGTTGTAGAATTGGTTCGACATCTCTACAGGTTCAGGTGTCTGGGGCTGGATGAGAGTTGCTCTGGGTTCTTAAAGGGCCTGGATGTTCCATGGAGGTCTTGGTAGACACGCCTGTTAAACATTGTACGGAGGTTGTGAAGAGTACCTTTGGATCTGCAGAATGGGGTGGTGGTCTATGTCTCTTCAACAAAAGAGAGGGAACTGACTTTCTGTGTGAACTACAGCCGCGGTAGTTTCGTGTTCTCAGCTGACAGAAGTGACACCTGGTGTGGTCTTCTGCTGCTGGAGTCCATCTGGAGCAGCTGTTGTGCTTCAGACGCTATTCTGCAGACCTTTCTTCATCTAGAACTAGTCTGACCATTCTGACCTCTTAAGACATTTTCATCCACACATTTCCTAGGAACAACACCCTCTAGTGGACACTTTGCAGCAGCACAGCTGAAGATTCTGTTCTCTGATTGGACCACAGGATCTCTGAAGGTTCTGTTTTGTGTTGCAGCTCCCAAATTTTTTCAGGACAAGCCATGACTACACAATGTATTCCAACAATGTGGAGTTCATCAATGGTCTCCTAAACACCAGGACCAGGTGAACGTGCATGTTTAGCGTGCTGCTCTGTGCTGCTCCGGTGAACAGATCTAACCATTTTAACGGTTCCTGTTGGTGCAGAGGTCGTTTGGTGTACCAGGTCATGCTGTCCTCGTGGCGCTTCTTGTGTTTGTGTTACTATGCTGACGCCCGGCTGGATGTTCTGAAGCTTACCAAGCACATGGAGGACGGGTCCATTAAAGCTCGCTGGAGGATCAAAGGTCTCCCCTTTCACTCCCTACTGCTGCGCTTCTACCGCAAAGAAAGATCTCACCTGTACAGGTAATGCTCCAATGGGTGGGGCTTGTTGACTTTGAATAATTATTAATAATTAAATGTATTTACAAAGCACCTACAGTGGGTATGTGAAGTATTCAGACCCCTGTCAATTCGTCACTATACTGCAGCCATTGGCTAAAAATAATTAAATTATTTTTTCCTCATTAATGTACACACAGCACCCCATACTGACAGAAAAAAATCAAAATATTAGAAATGTATGCAGATTTATTAAAAAATTAATAAGAATACAAATAATAACGATATATACAACCAGTGAAGAAAGTCCAAAGAGTTGGACACCATTAATAAACTGATTAGAAATACTAAAGTCAAGGCAATAATAAAAATGGATGAAAAGAGAAGTACTAAAAAAAATAAGGTAACCTTTCAGTACAGACAGTGATTAAGAAAATACATCATCAGACATGATTTTTAACTTTGCAAAGGGGAAATCTGCCTTTTGTCAAGAGCAGGGGTGTCCAATCCTGGTCCTGGAGGGCCGATATTCAGCAGGTTTTAGTTTTAACCCTTCTTCTACACACCTGAATTCAATCAGCAGGTGATTAATAGGCTCCTGTAGAGCGAAGTGCTGCACAGGTGATTCAACCTCTGAATCAACTGTGTTAGAGTAGAGAAATCACAAAACCTGCTGGATACTGGCGCTCCAGGACCAGGATTGGGCACCCCTGGTCAAGAGGGAACTGAATCCAGTCTCAGTGCAACCATGATAAATGGTGATAAACAGGTTGGTCCGGTACCTTCTAGACATTTAAAGCTACAATGGCAATTCTATAAAACAAGCTAGCTGAAGACATTTTTTAGTGGCTCTTAACAACGTTCTAACATAATATAGCTAGACATATACTGTAGAGATGAAACTAACAAAAAATGAATAAAGTAGTTCTCTCTCATTTGTCTAGAAATATCCACCAATAACACGACTCGGGTCGAATGCAAATGTTTGTTGTCTGTCTCACTGAACCGCTGCACTTCTGCATTCACCTTGATCCTCCACTCATCCCGTGCTTGTGCATAGTGAAACAGTGATTCACTAGGAATTCACTGTTTTGCACTTAAAGCTGCAATGGCAAATTTGGAAACCAGATTAGCCTAAAACACAATTTTTTCCAGCCTCTTAACAACATTCTAACACAGTATAGCTATAAATTTATTGTGGAGACCATTTGATTGCATTAGTCTAAAAACCTCCACCATTGACACGTTTTGGACCAAAATCAATTATTAGACCTTCTGGTTGTCTCTCAACCAACTGCCACACTTCCCTGGGTTCTCCACTCATTACACAAATTTATAAACAGAACACCACTGGTGTGAGAAGTTCATAAGTCAATAATATCAGAGAAGGAGAAACAGCCGGCTGCTACCACTTCAACTTTAGGACAAACTACCAGAGTCCCAAAAAGAAAACACCATTTGAAGTCGAGGACAACAAATGACATTTGGACCTAGAAAGCGGCGACTGGTGTTTAGCACTATCTCGTTTACTTTGGCAACGTGCATTCCCACATCAGTTGGATGTGGCCTAGGGATGATGGCCAACAGGAGGGGTGAGAGTTCCGTGACCGTGTTTGCTTTTCAAAGCTAGCTAGTTCTGCAGATTTGCCATTGCATCTTTAATAAACGTGTACTGGGAACCATCATAGCAAAGAAAGTGTCGGAGTTGCATGTACGCTGTACACTGTGGGGTAAAGTGCTTTGGAGTCCTCTGACTCTGAATGGCGCTGTACAAGTACGGGTCATTTATCATTTATGTTTGAACTTTTTAACCCCAGCAATAAACCTGGCTGCAGAGTTGTGCTCTATTAGCAGCTTTGAGTGTAATGCTTAATTTAGCCCTTATTACAGTGAACTGCAATAGCCCAATCTCCACAGAACAAATGCGAAAAGGTCAGCTTTGGAAAGCAGTGACTTTGCGCTTCTTCAGCTTCTGATAAAAAGAGACGGTGAAATGCTAGGATTTGAAAGTCCTCACATATCAGTGAATTTGCATTCATGGCCTCGCCCGTCTTGGCTCGCGCCTGCCCGCATCAAGGTTTTTTAAGAAAAAATTAGCAGCAAGGAGAGAGAGCGGAGAGTGTTTTCTTCGGGATAGCGTGGCTGAACAAGTTGTTAGCCAATCAGAAGCAAGTTGTGTGCATATCATTAATACATTTTGGAATACTTTTTTTGTTGTAAATGACTCATAAGGTGCTGATTTACACTCTTTGTTTAAAAGTGCTTTTCAGTCCATCGGTCCCAGCGTGCTCTCTATAATTAATGCTTCTCTGGTCTCTGGTAAGGTCCCTGCTTACTTTAAGAACGCTGTAATCCACCCGCTTCTTAAAAAAACGAGTCTTGACGCCTCTCTCCATAGCAGCTTCAGACCCATCTCTAAACTTCTGTTCATCTCCAAGATCTTGGAAAAGGTTGTGGCTAAACAGCTCACAGCTGCTCTTGATGAACATAACATCTATGATAGCTTCCAGTCAGGTTTTCGTAGAGCTCATTCTACTGAAACAGCTCTTCTTAGGGTCTCTAATGACCTTCTGACTCACAGTGATGCAGGAGACTGTTCTGTTCTGGTCCTGCTGGACCTGACTGCAGCCTTTGGCACTGTTGACCATCACCTGCTACTGGAGAGGCTGAGAGACTGGGTAGGCCTATCAGGATCTGCTCTGGAGTGGTTCTCCTCTTATCTTTCTGAGCGCTCCTTTTCTGTGGCCGTCTCCAAGTTTAGGTCCTCCACCACCTCTCTTACCCATGGTGTCCCACAAGGTTCTGTGCTGGGGCCTCTGCTCTTCCTCTATCTGCTTCCTCTTCAGCACATCCTGAGCTCCTTCAAAGGAATCTCCTACCATCTTTATGCAGATGACATCCAACTGTACATCTCCTTTAAGCCCCATGAGATGTCTAAGCTGCAGCTGTTACACACCTGCTTAGACTCTATAAAAACCTGGATGGCTGGGAGCTTTCTTCAGCTGAATGAAGATAAGATTGAGATCCTCATCTGTTCCCCAGACAAGCTGGTTCCCAAAGTCAAAGACTCTCTTGGTCAGCTTGCTTCTCACACCAAACCATCTGTCAGGAATCTTGGTGTGACCTTTGACCCAGCTTTCACCCTGGATTCTCATGTCAGTTCTCTTGTTCGCTCTTCCTTCTTCCATCTCAGGAACATTGCTAAGCTGAGTCCCATTCTGTCCTGCTCTGAACTTGAGACAGTTCTCCACACCTTCATCTCCTCATGCTTAGACTACTGTAACTCTCTTTTCACGTGTCTGAGCAGAACCTCCCTGAACCGTCTACAGGTGGTTCAGAACGCCTGTGCTCGGCTTCTGACCAAGTCCTCCAAACACACCCACATCACCCCGCTTCTCCTCCAGCTTCACTGGCTGCCAGTCAACTTCAGGGTTCATGTCAAGATCCTGGTTCTGGTCTATAGGGCCTTACATGGACAAGCACCATCTTACATCGGTGATCTTCTTAGTCCCTACACCCCCGGCAGGTTCCTGAGGTCCAGTGATCAAAGCCTACTGGTTGTGCAGCACACCAGGCTAAAGACCAAAGGTGACAGATCATTTGCTGCTGTGGCCCCCAGACTCTGGAAATCTCTCCCCCTGAGCCTGAGATCAGTGGACTCAGTGGTCTCCTTCAAAAAGCAGCTGAAGACTCACTTGTTCAAGCTGGCTCTTGTGTGACCTTCTTCACCACTCTCTCTTTATTCTGCTCTCCCCACCTATTCCACCTTCCTCAGGATCCACTGATTTCCCTCTTTCCTATTCACTCTCTCTCTTTCTTAACATTTTTTAATCACAATTGTCTATTTTTTTGCTCATTTTAAATATATTTTTAACAATTTTCTAATTTTTTTAAATATTTTTACATTTTTTGTTTTTGTGAAGCGCCTTGTGATTTTCATCTTGAGAGGCGCTATAGAAATGATATTGTCTTTCTTCTCCTTCTTCTAGAGAACACTGCAAATGTATTGAATAAATGAGTAAACCACACCTTTAAGTAACACAGTTTCCTCCTTCTTCCTCCAGCTGGTTGAAAGCAGAATTACAACAGTTCTAAACAACCCTGCTGCAGCCTGCCTTTCTTCTTCTTCTTCTTGTACTCTTTATTGGCGGTTGGGAAACAAAAAAAGTTAACTACTAGTCCTGCATTGGCTCCCGGCACTGTAAACAGTTAACAGCCTGTTAAAGAGGTAGAGGTTTCGAAGCACCAAACTGTAAGTGTCGTTACTTCACCTCCATAAGCCGATTCATCATCATCTGAGACAAGTCCAACCACAGTTGTGTTGTCAGCAAACTTATTCATGGCGTTGAATTGATGCAAAGAGCGCATTCATATGAACACTAGTAGCAGACTCAGTACACAGCCTTGGGGAGTGCCTGTGCTCATAGTGATGGTAGATGAGGTGTTAAGGGCCAATGTTTACTGGCAGGGACCAGTTTTTCAGAAAGTCTTTGATCCAAGAGCAGATATTCTGTGTAAGGCTCAACTGTGTCAGCGTAGCAGCTAGAATGTCAGGTATAGTTGCATTAAAAGCCGAAGTGAAGTCATTGGACATTATTCTCACATAAACTACAAGCCAAAAGTTTGGACACATCTTCTCATTCAATGTGTTTCCTTTATTTTCATGACCATGATCATTTACAAAGGGGCCGACAAGTGCTAAACATCTCTGGGAACTCCGTCAAGACTGTTGGAAAACCATTTCAGGTGACTACCTCTTGAATCGAGAGAATGCCAAGAGTGTACAAGGCAGTAATCAGAGCAAAGGGTGGCTTTTTTTAAAAAAAAAAAAAAAAGAAAATAGAATATAAAACATGTTTTCAGTTATTTCACCTTTTTTGGTCAAGTACATAATTCCATGTGTGTTCACTCATAATTTTGATGCCTCCAGTGAGAATCTACAAAAATAAATGGTCATGAAAACAAAGAAAACACATTGAATGTGAAGGTGTGTCCAAACTTTTGGCCTGTACTGTAGCTCTGTTCTAACTGGTCTGTAGTTGTTGGGATCCTGTTTTTGAGGAGTGGTGTTATAGTAGCAGATGGTAAGCAGGAAGGGATTCGGGGTCTGTCAAATGAAAAGATTGAAGATTTTTGTCAAATCCTCTGCAAGCATTTAAGCTAATGATGTGGTTCTGGGTGTCGGCAGCGGGTTTTATCTGGGTTCTGTTCCTGGCTGGTTATGGATCTGATAATGACCATGTATAAGTTTAATGTCTCATCCAGACCGTGTCCTCTTGCAGGTCCTTTGATGCCTTCTCTACATTCTACATTGGACCTGATGGACTCATCCACTGTCATAAGGTGGAAAAGGTAAACAGGACTCAGGTTCTGTTGGTTTTGTCCAGCAGAGCAATCCGGCCTCATGTTTATGTACTAAATGGTAGATGTGAATGGGCTGACCTGATGAGCATGTGGACTAACTAACCCATCCTTTTCTTTATTCCAGGTGATGCCAGCTCAGCCTCCTGTCCTCCCCAGATTCCCGTCCCTCCTAACGGGGGCTCTGGTGGCTCTGGGAGTTCAGGAGCACCGACCTGCCCTGAACCTGCTTCCTTATCTCCTCTTCTCTCGTCGTCGGAACTGAAACTGAAGCCATGGCAAGCAGCCCGGGGATTTTGGTCTGTTTCAGACCCAGTTATGTTCGGATTAAAGTTAATGGTTAAACTGTGTTTCTGTTCTGAGATTGGGTCAGGCCTCTGTTTGGAGTTTGGATTTTAATTTCTGCAGTTCTTAACAGTCTCGAAATTCAATGTAAAAGTCATCTAGATCAGAACCACGGGTCCACTTACTCAGTCCAGCGGCCATCATATTAGAACCAAAGGTCCAAACCCATCCTCCCCCACAGCCCCCACTCTAGACCAGCACCTCGAGCCTTGGGGTAGCTTGAACTGAACATTTTCTGTCTGTGACCATTTGTGACTGAAAAGTCTGAAGGCCATCGGTTATTTTGAGGGATTGCAATTCAGGTAAGTTGATAAAAAATTTAACAAGGCCAGACAAATGGAATCAGATGTTTTTGTTCATCTAACCAGTGTTACCATTAAGCTACACATTCTCTCCACACAGCAAATCTATGATGCGCATGAAATGAATGCTAACCTGTAATATGAATAAGATCACTTTATTCAAAACCACTTTTCAATGCAGCCCATTACTTAACGGGTGACAAGCTGTAACTACAGTTTAACAATGAACTGATCAGTCAATAAAATGACGTGGTTCACATGCAGCCAATCAGTGCTTCCTGTCCAATTACTGTAAGATGGACCATCCCTCCGTGATGCCACCCGTAGGTTTCTGAAGAGCCACATTAAAGCCCAGTGGGCATTTCCCACTGCCACCATCTTGGTTGTGTAACGCACCTTGTCACTTCCAGACAATACAAAAATGGACAAACAGCATGGATGGGAGCCTTCATCTGTCATCCATCAGAGGGCGGAAACACGCTCCTACACCGTAAAACCCTGGTTGGAATGACGCTCAGGAGGAACAGGAGACATCAAGAACATTCTCCCATTTGTTCAGAGACACTCCCATTCATAAACAGTCTGGCTCTGAAGAACAATGTCCTACTGAGACTCCAGATTAACAATGTTACTCCTGCAACTGTGGGTAATCATGTTACACACGCAGTGGCCTGCCAGTCAGGTTGAGTGATGATGGACACTTGCTGTAGTTCATGTGCTTGTTTAGTTGTGTCTTGATCGTAGTTAAAATATAAAAAGACTCAAGAGGAAGTTAAGAAAATACACTGACATTTGAAATGTTTAAACTGAGTATTGACATCATTACACAAGTACTAATAAAAAAGGAAGGTTATATAAGTTAGTTGTTTTGCATGGTTATATTAACGAAATTTTGTTCCATGAGTATAAACCAAAGTTTTGGGTCAATACTCAGAAGTAGGGTTTAAAAGTATCAATTTGGACTTTTTACTTGAATTAAAGTAAAAAAGCACTGGTCTCAAAACTACTTAAAGTATAAAAGTGATGTAAGTAAAAATAATGCCATTAAGGACAAAGATTAAAGGCACAATGTGATGTTTTTCTGGAGTATTTTTATTTACTTTTTGCCATTTTACTTGAAATTCCTAGAACTGCACTTTTCTGGACTGAGACATCTGATGTTTTTCCTGGGATCTACTTTAGTCACTCCTCCAGTTTGGGGGTTACTGCCCCGATGACCACGGGCACCACCGATGTCTTCACTCTACAGGCATTCTCAAGTTCTTCTTTGAGGCCCTGGTACTTCTCTAGTTTCTCGTGTTCCTCTTTCCTGATGTTGCACCACTTGGTATTGCCACATCAGCCACAACGGCTACCCTCTGTTGTCTGTCCACCACCACAATGTCTGGTTGGTTCACCCTCACCATTTTATTGGTCTGGATCTGGAAGTCCCACAGGAGCTTGGCTCTCGTTCTCTACCACCTTAGGGGGTGTTACCCACTTTGACCTTGGGGCTTCCAGTCCATACTCTGCACAGATTTTCCTGTACACGATGCCAGCCACTTGGTTGTGGCATTCCATGTATGCTTTCCCTGCAAGCATCTTACACCCTCCAGTTATGTGTTGGATTGTCTCAGGGGCCTCTACACAGCCTACACCTTGGGTCTTGTCTGGTGTGGTAGATCTTGGCCTCTGTTGCTCTGGTGTTCAGGACCTGTTCCTGGATTTGGAATGCCCCTTCCTGCACTCAATGCATGGTTAGGAGCTTCCGTGTCTTAAAATCTGGTCTGTATTTCTTCCTTTGACCAGCTTATTCATGCAGGAAGGTGCAGCTGTTTATTGCGCAGATCTTGTTTTTGCCATTGGCTGTGACTCCTTTCCTTGCGGCTTCATCAAGGTTGCCATTTGCTTGTGGGATACCAAGGTACTTGTAGCTATCCTCAATGCCTGCTATTGTTCCTTCTGGGAGTGAGACCCCTTCTGAGTTGATTACCTTCCCTTTCTTTGTCACCACCCGACCACACTTCAAGTCCGAATGACAATCCAATGTCAGTGCTGTAGATCCCGATGGTGTGGATCAGTGAGTCGATGTCTTGCTCGCTCTTGGTGTACAGCTTTATGTCATCCATGTAGAGGAGGTGGCTGATTGTAGTTCCATTCTGTTGGGGCGACGGTGGCACAGGAGTTAAGTGCTCGCCCCGTAATCGGAAGGTTGCAGGTTCGAGCCCCGCTCAGTCTGTCGCTGTCGTTGTGTCCTTGGGCAAGACACTTAACCCACGTTGCCTGTTGGTGGTGGTCGGAGGGACTGGTGGCGCCAGTGCTCGGCAGCCTCGCCTCTGTCAGTGCGCCCCAGGGCAGCTGTGGCTACATTGTAGCTCATCCCCACCAGCGTGTGAATGTGTTTGTGAATGGGTGAATGACTGATTGTGTTGTAAAGCGCCTTGGGGGGGTTCCAGGACTCTAGAAGGCGCTATATCAAATACAGGCCATTTACCATTTACCATTCTTGAGTCAGTGTCCATAGCCAGTCTTGTTGATTATTTGGCTGAGAGGATTCAAACCAATGCAGAACAACAGTGGGGACAGGGAGTTGGTATATGCCACATTTGATGGAGACTTTTGCAACTGGCCTCAAGGGTGGTTTTCCATATATGTATAATAATTTTATCACCTCTGAAACATAATGTTGGAAAAACTCATCCAATCAGTTCTTAATAATCGGACCATAATCCATCCATCAATCCGCCCTCTGAAAGTCTCTGCCCCCTCTGCACAAACCCCTCTTTTTGCATAAGTCATGAGTTCTCAGCTTGGAGCTGCTGAAAAGCAAGTGAAGCCAGAGCTTTGCTTCCTAGTGTAATGGAATGAATGTTCCATTCTGTTTGCAAATCTCATTTAAGGAGTTTTGGTAGCTTTGGGTAGTGACTGATAGAATGAGATTGCAGGTACAAGCGGCCAAATTGAGTTTTCTCCGTGGAGTGTCTGGGCTCCCCCTTAGAGATGAGGTGAGACCCTTAGCCATCTGGGAGGGGCTCGGAGTAGATCTGCTGCTCCTCCACATCGATCTGTAAAGTTGCTTATTGGGAGAAGCAGAATAATGTTTTTTTGTTTTCCAACAGTTACTTTGAATTCTCATATTGGACTAAGAGCCACTGGATACCCAATTGTTTACTTAAGTAAGGAAACAAAGTATTTGTATTTAGTTTTAAGACACCTTTGTCTATTCTGGAAAGCAGCATGTGGTATTGTACTGAAAATCAATGAATGCTGTAATGACTTTGACCACTAGGGGTTGCTAACATGACTTAAATGTTGTAATGTTACTTGGTGAAGACAGCTGGAGCCAAACTACAACATCTCGGCCTCCGCTACATGACCAAACTCACATTCGAGCCTCTAAAGTTCAAGGCTACAACAACGAGCTGCGGTAGACCAGTGCTTCCCAACTTTTATCATGAGGACCACCCAGCTTGTCCCCCCCAACTCAATCTCTTACCCACACACATAAAAATGAATCATTACAAACTCTTTGCACACAAGTGGAGTTGTAACTATATAGAGCTTTGATTATAATATTGGATGTGCTTTGGGGAGTTTAACCCTTAAGAACCCATGGTGATGCTGGTGTCACAGCCTATTTCAAACATCTGCAAAATTGCTTTTTGAGTCATAATCAAGTTTGACAACACCAAGTGACATTATATCCAAACATATATCAAAAATTATTTTACTTTGTTATTTTTTTACTTTTGAAGTAGGTCCCATTTATACCAATCTGTTTTCAGTTTTAAAGGGTTTGAGTTCTTAGGGGTTAAATTGTAATTTTTACAAATACTCTTACTAACCTGCCAACCTCAGCACTGACAGGGTTGTGGGGACACCCTTGGGGGGACAAGGTCCCTAGATTGGGAACCACAGCGGGTCTTATGGAGCTGAGGCCCCGCCTTATCCTTCTCGGTACGCCCCTTGTCCAGCGGAGAGCTGAAGTGGCGGAAGCCGTGCACGTGCGTGTGTGTGTGTGAGACGACAAGTTGAAGCAGGCTGAAGGTGTGGCGGTTGAGTGCGCGAGGAGGAGCTCGTTCTGAGTCACGGAAACTTCTGATGTTGTTCAGATTGTCTACGTCAGAACGACCGGAACCAGGACGGAGCGTTCAGCTGACCTCTAGTCTCCAGCTTTGAGGTTTTGGACTTCTTCTGATCCGCGACTTCAGCAGGAAGCGGGTGGTCTGTGATGGGTAGAACCTCCTGATCCTGGCCCATACAGGTAAACAGCATCCGGTTCTTATGTCAGCAGCGGCAGGGCGGGTTTACAACCAAAGCCTGATTAAACCACCAGACGGTTGGGCTGAGCTGGAGCTGCTGAAACTGGACTCTCGGAACCGGAGCTTTACCCCGGACTTAACCTGAGAGAGTCCGGGTCCAAAAACTCAGCGGGTCGTTGTGAATACTTATTCTAAAGTTGTCCACACATTTAGATTTGCAGATGCTGATTAGTAAAGTTATTTTTATTGGAATCAAGTCTTTATTTAAAAGCCATGCAGACACAAAATAAAACAAGACTTCGTTCATAACTATAAAACCAGTTGAACTCGTATGACGGAGCTGAGCAGATAATCAAAATACAAAGTTAGAAAAAGAGAAATCTCCGTTCTTAAAGTAAATTATTAATACGGACGATGACACTTGGCACTTCCTTAAACTGTAAACACGGCTGCTCTTTAAATCTGTTGTGAAAAGATGTAGCCGGGAGGATGAAAGTGGTGTGTGTGTGTGTGTGTGTGTGTGTGTGTGTGTGTGTGTGTGTGTGTGTGTGTGTGTGTGTGTGTGTGTGGATTGCATTAAAGGACAGCATCTGATGCCACTGAGTTAAAGAAGGATTTGTATTAAATTATGTTTAGTGGAAGAAAATGCATTGAATCCATTATTTTGAAGATGTTTCCTTGGAAAAGAGTGACTTAGGCTACTGGTTTCCTTAAATTAGCCTTTAACATAATCTGGTAGAGTTCAGTAATGGAGTTTTTCTCATTAATTAAATATTAAACAACATCATTTCTGATCACAAATGGTGCTTTTGGAGTAACTGCTGAATAAATGTCATAATAGGCTTTAACACTCTTGTGTTTTCTGATAAAAGCATAATCTGATAAAAAGCAGCCATAAGTAGGATCCACAGTTAAAATATGGTCTCTTGAACTTACTGTTCCGAATCTTTTCCTTGCATTATGAGCTACAAAAAACAAACAGTATGTTACAGTAAACCTGTTCCTTATTTATTAATCATTAATGAATTATCTTTAGCTATAAATTACTTTTTAATTATTGACTATCTCTAGTGCTACTCGTATGTAATAATGGATGTCAATATTAATAAATCATTTTAATATTGCCCCCTACATCCAATGACTTTCAATCAGCCCTTTCAAAATAAAAGCTTTAGCTGCAGTCTTACTTTAACAGTTAATAAACAGTTATGAACCAATTTAAATATTAACTGTTATTTGCACCACAAAAACCTTAAAACTTCCTGTTCACGTGAGATTTGCATTGGCCAGTGCCAGTGTGGGGATGTAATCCCACATTCCTGCAACCCTCCAGTTAAAGGACAGGCACTTAACTCTCTGCCACTGTCTCTCCCAAAAAGAACTAGTAAAAAATGTTTCTCTGTCAACTTGGCCTTTAAGGTGAATAAACTCTCTCTTCCAAGTTGTCATGAGAAACACGTGCTAATAAATTTGTGATTTATTGGACAATGTTTTCTTTTTTATTCAACATTCAGACATTTTTAGAAAGACATTTTTTGTCCTCATAAATTTTCTAGGGGACATTTCAGAGTTTATTTATTTATTCCAGGTTTGGCGTGTTTATAGAGGCAGTAGGGAACCATACAGCAGCACAAAAGATGTAAAAGGTGACTTATGCTTAATATGTCTCCTTTAAAGACGGCCCAAAAAGGCTCAGGCAGAAGCATAAGCTTGGTACCAAAAACGTGCATGATTGGTTCATTAATCAGCAGCCTTCCATCCATCCATCTTACACCTTTTGAAAGATGGGGATGTGTTACCACTCCAGGGCGGCAGCTTAGACCTCTATCTCCCAGTGACGCTCTTAAGCTCCTTCTGAAAGACCCTGATTTCTTTTCAGACTACAGAGGATAGTTAACTGTTCCAGACAGGCCTGGGTCTTTCCCAGGGTCTCCTCCCAATGCCCCCAGAGGGAGGCAATCGGGTGGTTTCCTAATCAAAAGCACCTCAGATCACTCCAGCTGATGAGGAGGAGCAGTGGCTTAGGGGAAGCTGCTCCTTCGATCTCCCAGGCTGAAGCCAGTCACCCTACTGAGGAAAATCATTCTAGCTGCTTGGATCAAGGATCTTTTTATTTTTTGTCATATAGTCTAGATTTTCGAATCTTAGCTGATGCTTGAATGTAGACGGACCAGTAGGTCCAGAGCTAGCCTTTTCAGGTCAGCTTCCTCTTTATCATGACGGATCGGAGCACAGTCGACAGTGTTTTGCTCCATCTTGTTTTCACTCATGAACTCAACACCAAGATACTTGAACCCCTCAGACATCCATTCCTAACTGAAAGGGAGAGATCCACTCTTTCAGATCAGAGGAACGGTTTCTGCATCACATTTCACAGCTTCCTGAAGATCATCGCTTGTATTACAGCTACAGGGGGTCACACTTCCTAGGTCTGCCTGGGTGCTGGAGAGGAGAGTCCTACTGGAACACTCCATTGATGCTTTGCAAGAATATTCTCAGAATAATTAGGAATGCAGATGTTAAGGCTATATTCTTCACTTTTGGAACATCTCTGATCTTTGACCTGTTTTTCCACTTCTGTTGCAGCTGTTCCTGTCCATCTGTTTGTCATTACTCTCCTTTACCACCATGCGTAGATTTAGTTCTGAGAGCTCCCTTTTGGATTTGGATTGCACACCGTGGAAGAAAGCACAGCTGCAAAACCCAGATCATGGCAACAGCCTGAAGTCTGGAAGTTACACACAAGTAGATAAAGGGGTGAGTGGTGTGATTCCTATAATCCAGGAGCCACAAGCAGCTTCCAGTAGAACCAGAAGAAATCAGTTTATCAGAAAGATTAGTATAAGTGCAGAAAACCTGAATGATCTGGGGAAACTGGACAACAACCACCTTGCAGTGAGCACAATCAACGAGAACTGCAGGGCATACAGCGACAGTAAGCTGGGTCCGGATGCCCAGAATGGAACAGAGAGTCTGGAACGAGGCCAAAAGCCTTCCTCATCTTCATCAGCCTACAGAAACCTGCACAAAGCCAAACTTTCAGCTGCTAAACTGCACCTCAAGAGCCTCTTTGGACAGGTGAGTTTGATAATTATTTAGTCTGAGCAGCTCCAATAATTAACAGACACCAGCCTGATAACTTTTAGTATACACAATTTATTGTGGGCAGTATAAGGTACACCTGTGCACTACTCATGATGTCAGATCAGCATCTTGATGTGGCACACCTGTGAGGTGGGATGGATTATCTCAGCAAAGCAGAAGTGCTCACTGTCACACATTTAGATTGATTAATGAATAATGTTTGAGAGAAATGGTAATATTGTGTATCTGGAATGAATTTTAGATCTTTAAGTCCATCTCATGAAAAATTGGAGCAGAAACAAAAGTGTTGCGTTTTTGTTGAGTGTAGGTATGTTTTGAGTCTTGATTTGAAAAGTGGGGAAGAATCAGTGGTGCAGAGGTAGGGTGGATTCCAGAGGTGGGGAGCAGAGCAGCTCAATGCTCTACTCCCCATAGTGACGAGGGTCAGGTCGGGGAGAGCTGAGAGGTAAAGAGTTGAAGGAGAATGAAGTAGACAGGAGAACTGATGTGAATGAGATCAAAAATGTAAGTTGGAGCCTTGAAAGTGATGAAGGCAGTGGAATTGTTGCAGGATGGGGTGATGAGATGAGTTGTAGGGTTGAGCTGAGTCTGTCTGACCTTTTGAACATCACCTGGGTCAGCAATGTTGCTGCACAGCCTGACAATCCCCTGCTGTGTGATCTTGGTTTTACAGGTTGAAAAAGTCCAAACCAGCAGATGAGGATAAAAGTCGATTTATTATTATTGACAGGGATTTAATTTCACAGTGTATGATAAATCACTACATCTTTTAACGAATTATTTCAAATTTCTAACGCATACTCACGTAAACCCCCGAGCTTTGCATCTCTAACGGGAACAGATTTCTGAAGATGTTCTCTCCACGATCCCCGGTTAGTGTAAAGGGCAGTCCGCCCAGAAGCCGTACGGAAACTGGACCACGTCCTTTCCATACTTGGTGTAAATGAGGTGTGAGGCAGGAGGTGAGATTTACAACACCAGAACAGCAGACTAGATCCAAAATATGATCTTTATGTGGGTTGGAAAATTTATGGATTGTTGCAATCCACTTTTAGATTAGGGCTGTTTCTATATTGTTTTATGATCTATTGATTTAGGAGCGGCTTTAGAGTTCTCAGTTTCAATCTGAACCCAGCCTGAGTGAGCCCAACTGGTTGGGCCAACTCTTTATGTATTGTATTGTGTAGATCAGCCCAAGCTGTTGTGTTCCACCTGAGAACTTTATACCTCTGTTAGTGAAGACCACCTGTTGTTGACATCTTCTAACCCTGATCAAGGCTTCAGCAACAATTATCTCTGTTTCAGAGTCCACCATCATCAAACCCCAACCTGTCTAATCCAGAAAGCAAAGAGAGGTAAGATCCCCCATGTCCTGTCCTGCTTGTACCGAGTTTAGTCTCCAAACCTCCAAATGAAGCAAACAAACTCAATGATATTGTGAAACAGAGTGTTCAGCTTTGATCACTGTTGAATGCTTCCTTTGGTTTGTGTGTTGAGAGCCGCCCGTCTGTGTGTAGTCCTACAGAGAAAAGATCTCGTCTGCTCTTCTTGCACCAGTGGAGTCCGGCGGGCCACAATAAGAAGGGGAAGATCAGCCGAGATGAGCTGGAGAAGTGGACGGTGTCTCTGAACGCCCTGTTAGCCAGTCCAAGTAGGCTCTTCTCCCTTCTGGAGTTACCACTCTTTAGTTACCTGACAAGTTATTCTATACATATAAATATATGGCCTGACCACGAGTCATTGAAACAACTCAGTGGTGGTATGTACAGTCTATGGTGGTGAGGCAGAATCCTCGGTTGTTCTTCAAACTGTCTCCACACGCAGTCGTACAGTAGGACCATTCAGAGCAACACACAACATGACACAGTCAACGGGGCAGTCTGTCTTCCACAAATAAAGAAACAAATACATCCTTTTTCAGAGTAAATGACCTTTATCTGCTCATGTGTCAAAGAAAAGCTCAAGTTTAAATAGTTCAAAGCTGATGCATAAGCCATTTCAGACATGTGCTGTTCCTGTTGCCATCTTTGTAGTTTTTTTCTCCATCCCAGCTCTAGGGTTAACCAACAAACAAAGTGCTGAGATTGGTGAGTCACAAAACTGCTCAGGCCAGTGGTAGACCTGCTGAGGCTACAACGATGGACCCGTCTGCTACTGTTCCGACTGGTCTAGATTTCTATGCTAACACTTTTATTCTCATCCAAAATAAAAGTAAAGATACAGAAAACCAGGCTGCAACAAGAACAATATATGTAGTTGTGAACAAACTGAAGGAGACATTGATCGTTTTATTTGTTTAGAATTTTTTATTTACTCATTTTGTGTATAATCAGCAATGCAATACATGGCCACAGGCTAAACTCTCCCAGAGTTACCACAAGGACCAATTTGGTGTGCCACCCCAAAATTTTCTTTGGCCTCGTCTGGCCACCCCTATCCAAATTTTCTGGAGGCGCCCCTGACTATTGATTCCAGGAATCAGAGCAAGCCATTTGAAAATGTCCCTTATTGAGCCGTAATTATAACTAGCATAGGAACACCCCTCTCTTCCCCACCACCACCATCTGTAGACACTTAGGGAGGCTTCCACTCTGGACATAGAGGAGCAGCGGCTCTCCTCCAAGTCACTCATGGGTGTCTGAACTCCCCAGCTTAATGCAGCCAATAAGAGGATGGGTAGGCGTAGCCATTGCTTGTTTTCCTTAAAGAGCAAGTTCAAGTGCCCGTCATCCTAGATAGCTTTGCTCCTGTTTCTTTGCCTGAGTTAACCAAACTAGTTAACTCTATGAAGACCTCTGCATGCTCCCTCCCCATCTTACCCTCATCTTTGTTTAAAGGTGCTTTTCAGTCCATCGGTCCCAGCGTGCTCTCTATAATTAATGCTTCTCTGGTCTCTGGTAAGGTCCCTGCTTACTTTAAGAATGCTGTAATCCACCTGCTTCTTAAAAAACCGAGTCTTGATGCCTCTTTCCATAGCAGCTTCAGACCCATCTCTAAACTTCTGTTCATATCCAAGATCTTGGAAAAGGTTGTGCCTTAACAACTCACAGCTGCTCTTGATGAACATAACATCTATGATCCCTTCCAGTCAGGTTTTCGTAGAGCTCATTCTACTGAAACAGCTTTTCTTAGGGTCTCTAATGACCTTCTGACGCCCATGGTGTCCCACAGGGTTCTGTGCTGGGGCCTCTACTCTTCCTGCTCTATCTGCTTCCTCTTCAGCACATCCTGAGCTCCTTCAAAGGAATCTCCTACCATCTTTATGCAGATGACATTCAACTGTACATCTCCTTTAAGCCCCACAGTGAGGCAGGGGACTGTTCTGTTCTGGTCCTGCTGGACCTGACTGCAACCTTTGACACTGTTGACCATCACCTGCTACTGGAGAGGCTGAGAGACTGGGTAGGCCTATTAGGAACTGCTCTGGAGTGGTTCTCCTCTTATCTCTCTGAGCGCTCCTTTTCTGTGGCCATCTCAAAGTTTAGGTCCTCCACCACCTCTCTTACCCATGGTGTCCCACAAGGTTCTGTGCTGGGGCCTCTGCTCTTCCTCTATCTGCTTCCTCTTCAGCACATCCTGAGCTCCTTCAAAGGAATCTCCTACCATCTTTATGCAGATGACATTCAACTGTACATCTCCTTTAAGCCCCATGAGATGTCTAAGCTGCAGCTGTTACACACCTGCTTAGACTCTATCAAAACCTGGATGGCTGGGAGCTTTCTACAGCTGAATGAAGATAAGACTGAGATCCTCATCTGTGCCCCAGACAAGCTGGTTCCCAAAGTCAGAGACTCTCTTGGTCAGCTTGTTTTTCACACCAACCCCTGTCAGGACCTTGGTGTGACCTTTGACCCAGCTCTCACCCTGGATTCTCATGTCAGTTCTCTTGTTCGCTCTTCCTTCTTCCATCTCAGGAACATTGCTAAGCTGAGTCCCATTCTGTTCTGCTCTGCACTTGAGACAGTTCTCCACACCTTCATCTCCTCACGCTTGGATTACTGCAGACTACCTCCTTGTACCGTCTACAGGTGGTTCAGAATGCCTGTGCTCGGCTTCTGACCAAGTCCTCCAAACACACTCACATCACCCCGCTTCTCCTCCAACTTTACTGGCTGCCAGTCAACTTCACGGTTCATTTCAAGATCCTGGTTCTGGTCTATAAGGCCTTACATGGACAAGCACCATCATACATTGTTGATGTTCTCAGTCCCTACACCCCCAGCAGGTCTCTGAGGTCCAGTGACTAAAGCCTACTGATTGTGCAGCACCAGGCTAAAGACCAAAAACCAGACTCTGGACCTCTCTCCCCCTGAGCCTGAGATCAGTGGACTCAGTGGTCTCATTCAAAAAGCAGCTGAAGTCTCACCTGTTCAAGCTGGCTTTTGTGTGACCTTCTTCACCACTCTCTCTTTATTCTGCTCTCCCCACCTATTCCACCTTCATGATCTACTGATTTCCCTCTTTCCCTCTCTCCTATTAATTTTCTCTCTCTTTCTTTACATTTTTAATCACAACTGTCTATTTTTGCTTATTCTAAACATATTTATAATCATTTTCTAAATTATTTTTTACATTTTAAATTCTTTGTTTTTGTGAAGCGCCTCATGATTTTTATCTTGAGAAGCGCTATAGAAAAGATAGTTTCTTCTTCTTCTTCTTCACTGTGAAAACAAGGAGAGAGAATTTTTCCTAAAATCAACGACCATTTCTTTAGTTTTGTTAGGGTTGATGTTCAGACAGGAAGACACCAGTCAGTAAAGTCTTCCTCCACAGGTCTGTGATTGGGGTCATTGCTACTAACTAAGTAAACAATAACAGTCATCTGCAAACTTTACAATACTACAATTTTCTTGCTTGCTGCAGCATTCATTTGTTTATAGGAAATAAATGAGGAGTGAACACAGGCCTGGGGTGACCCAGTAGAAGAGATAAGAGTGTCTGACTAAACACCTTAAACTCACACCATGGGGCCTCCGAAAAGTCAATGCTGTGGTAGTCCCTCAGGCGTTCTGCTAAAATATGCGGTCGAATGCGAATAAAAGCAGGTGAAAAATCAATGGCAAAAAAGGTGTGCAAAAGACCTGCAATGTGCGTACTGCATCCTCAGTACCTCTGCCTGACCCATGGGCAAATTGCAAAGGGTCCAAGTTGTACTGAACCGGTCTAAACCCATTAAAGTGACAATGTGTAGTTTTGAACCATTAATTTTTTACCCTTACGGCCATCTGTTGGTAAGGTTTTACTCAAACACAAAAATACCGCTAGCTTGCAATGATTTAGGTATGAACTGCCCCCTTTTGCCAGGGAAAATACACACCGTCCCTTTAAGTGTTTTAGGAGATGCCAATTTAGGTACTGGAACAATAACAAAATCTTTCCAGAGTGAGGCAACCCTGCTGAGCTGGAGAGACATAAAAAATGAAACTGAAAATATCCGCCAGCTGAAAGCACAGTTCTTAAGGACGTGACCCCCAATACCATCAGGGCCAGAACTTTTTATCTCCTTAACTCTCTGAAATAGTTTAACAGGAACCCACTCTTACCTCTCGACTCAGGCCTGGGCATCAACCAGCCTGTGCTCCAACCTGAGGACCGTAAACCACCTATGCCCCTGGTCTTTGGACCTGACACTGACAGGTGTCTGTGTTGATTTAGAGTGTCACTCTGCAACTGATGTTCTGAACATGTCTGATAGGTCTCTTGTAACTTCCTGGTGGTTTACCTTTGAAGCTGCTGCCACTGTTGTGTCAGATCTAGGTGTCATGTCCTACTAATGTTCCTCGTCTTTCTCCCAGCTGGTGTTACAGTGTTTGGAGCTTTTCTGCGCTCCGAGTTTAGTGAGGAGAACTTGCAGTTCTACTTGGCCTGTGAAGAGTACAAACACTCCTCCAACAACTTCAGCCTGCACAGGAGGGCCAAAGATATCAGCACGATGTACATCCAACCAGGAGCTCCACGTGAGGTATCACAGCTTGATCACTCGTTACGCCATAGACCGAGGAGGAATGCTGTATCTGCAGGGGTTGGCTCCACATTAGGGTTTTAATTCAGTTAGAGTTTTAATGCTTGATAAACAATAAGTTGAAGCTTGAACAACGCATGATGCTGCCACCACCGTGTCTGACTATAGGAGTAGTGTTCCTGATGGTGAAGTGTTGGATTTACTAAGGTTCTAATCACAGAACTTCCTCCTTCATCTTGAAGATGTTGTTTTTTGTAGCTGCGTTTTTCTATAGTCCAGCTCAGTGGTCCTTTGGGCTGGGTCGGGGCTCTGCCTGTTTTTTTTTCTCCTGCTCCCCATATCAACTCAAAACTTGGTCTACCCTGTCTTTTGTGCTGCAGGTGAACTTGGACAGTAAAACCAGAGACCAGACCCTCCAGCTACTGCAGGCCCCCAATCACACCTCGCTGCTTCCTGCTCAGAAACGGATCTTTTCCCTGCTGGACACAGATTGTTACCCTCGCTTTCTCCAGTCCAACATCTACCAGACTCTGTTGCAGGAGGCTGAGTAGAGGTCACAGACCCAGAGGGACGGACGAGCCAAGCACTGTGCAGGACCGACTGGTTCTCTATAATAACACTGTAAATAATCAAGTTAAACGTGTCGAGCCACAGAACTGCTGCACATGGAACAAATATTTGGGTCTTTGGAACACATTAAGAGTCAACTGCTGAATGGAAATAGAAACTTTTAGTCCTAAGGTGAAGTGAGTCAGATGGAAACCTTCAGTCAGGACCCACGATAGTCCGGTTTATTGAGGAGAGGGCCTGGCCGCTGGTCTTGGTCTGGTTAATGCTGAGCTGTGTGATTCCTAACAGACAGGCTTTCATTCCCACATGAATGAAAATGTAAATGTTCTGAATAGTCTGGGCCTTCAGGTGAATTGGGTCTTGTTAGTTTGGTAACAAATGTGTACCGTTGTTAATAATATTCTTATATTTCTGTGTGGATCTATAAAAACCATGATCAGCATCACTGTTTTGTACAACCTGACTGTCAACATCTTCCTGAAATCAAAACAAACACCCTTTCTGGTCCAAAAGGCTCATTGCTTCTTATTTGATCTGCAGGATTTATGACTGTGGGTCACAGACCAGTTAGTTCCTGGTGCTGGTTTTAATTTAGCTTCCTGTTTTTATCAGATGATTTATTGTTTGTATTTTTCTACTACTGAGATTTTTCTGTGTAGGTCAGTTTCTGTTATTCTGTTTGTAATTCAATGTCTGAAACTAAATAAAACTGTTTTCATTTTTACTCAACTCCTTAGGTTTACATTTGTTTCTGAAGGGGGTGTTGTATGAAATACCATTTAGTCAAATCTGCATCTACAAATGCTTTTCCCATCTTTGATTATTTTGTGTCTTCAATTAGCAAAACAGACTTTATGGGACAACAGAGGCTCAGGAGTTGGGTGGTTGTCCTGTTGCCATGGTGGGTTGCCAGTTAAACCCCCTGCTCAATCTCAGTCATTGTCTTAGAGCAACACATTTCATTTTCTCTGCCTGCTGGTGGTGGTCAATGTGCCCCAGGGCATCTGTACCTATAATGAAACTTCACCACCAGTGAGTTAATGGTCTAATCACAATACTTGCAATTCCACACTTGCGCCCATAATGCGCACTCCCATCCACGGGTGCAAGTGCTTGGGGTGTCCCGATTCTCAAGTGTGGACCCCTTTTGCACCCTTGATCCGCACTTTGCCAAAGTCTGCATTGATCCAATCCATTGCTGCATGGTAATTTTGACAATTTCATTTTCCGAATTTATGTAGACTATTTTGCAGTTTAAATGTATTGTGTACATATGTGATTACACTCCTATGTTTCTCCGTTGAAGAGATGAATTACAAGTCCATTGAAAAACGTTAAATGATAACGATGTTGGTGTGTAATTTTTTGGACACGACATGCTAACAATGTAATCACTTGTTTTAATATAATTCAGTTTTAAAATAGTTTCAAGCAGCAAACAGTGACCAGCATCCCCAGTTAGTCAGACTCAATTCTGACTGTCCCAATTCTGCAGTTATTTGCACACTTGTTTATACGCACACAAAGCCCTACATGTACTTCCTCCAAGTCTACATTGCAGAGGACAATGTGGGTATTGGGACTGGGCCTATGTGTATGAATGGGTGAACACTTGAGTGTCCGTGGTCAATTAGTTATTTTAATATGCACACGAGGCAATCCCACTGGCACATCTTCCAGTGTGGAAACAGAGCCTGGGGTCTTTGGGTTGGACTCCAATCTCTGGGGCTTAGGTCAATGAGATTGTCAAAACACTCCTTGGTGGCAAGGCTCCGGGGGTGGATGAGATCCGACCGGAGTTCCTTAAGGCTCTGGATGTCATAGGGCTGTGTTGACTGACGCGGCTCTGCGATATTGCATGGACAGGGGCAGTTCCACTGGATTGACAGACCAGGGTGGTGGTCTTCCCATTTAAAAAGAGGGACCGTAGAGTGTCTTCCAACAACCGGGGTATCACACTGCTAGGTCTCCCTAGTAAAGTCTATTCAGGAGAGGATAGTCTGTTGGATAGTCGAACCTTGGATTCAGGAGAAGCAATGTGGTTTTCTTCCTGGCCGTGGAACACTGGACCAGCTATATACCCCTAGGGGGTTCAGGAGGGTGTGTGGGAGTTCGCTCAACCAATCTATGTGTTTTGTGGATTCAGAGAAGGCCGCGTCCCTCGGGGGGCCTGTGGGGGGTACTCCAGGAATATGGGGTACCAGGCCCTTTGATACAGGCTGTTAGGTCTCTGTATGACCGGTGTCAGAGCTTAGTCCACATTATCGGCAGTAAGTCGGGCTTGTTCCCAGTGAGAGTTGGACTCCGCCAAGGCTGCCCTTTGTCACCGATTCTGTTCATAACTTTTATGGACAGAATTTCTAGGTGCAACCAAGGTGTGGAGGGGATCTGTTTTGGTGGTCAGAGGGTCGGGTCTCTGCTTTTTGCAGATGATGTGGTCCTGTTGACTTCATCAGAACGTGATTTTCAAAATTACAATAGAACAGGATAGGAGATTGAGATAAAAAATAACTGAATAAGAAATTTCACAGGCAATTAAGCGACTAAAAAATGGAAAGGCCCCGGGGGCTGACGGGTTTAACTCTGAATGTTAAAAGAGGATGCAGGACCAACTGACCCCAACATTATTAGATACATTCAACTGGGTGATTGAAAAGAAAGTTACCCCTCCCTCTTGGAATGAAGCAATAATTTCGGTAATCCCCAAAGAAAACAACGATAGGTTGGACTGTGGGAACTATCGTCCTGTAAGTGTACTCAATGTTGACTACAAGATATTCACATCCATCTTGAGCAGACGTTTAGAACTAATTTTACCGGGGATTATACATAACGATCAAACAGGATTTATTAGAAAAAGGGCAAACACAAGACAATATCAGGAAAACACTGTTAATTGTAAAACAGATCAGGCATCTTAAAATAGAAACCTTACTACTAAGCTTTGACGCTGAAAAGGCGTTCGACTCAGTATGATGGGAATTTCTATATAAAACCATGTCTGCATTCAGCTTCCACCCCAGTACCATTGAAATATTCTCTGCACTCTACAACAAATCCACGGCAAGGATTAGGATAAATGAAGAGGGGAACCCGTCAGGGTTGTGGAGTTTCACCCTTACTTTTTTCACTTTTTATTGAACCACTGGCACAATATATACGGCGGAGTACTGAAATTAAAGGGGTCACCTTAGAATCTAGGGAACAAAAATTGGCATTGTTCACTGACGATATATTACATTTTTGACTGACCCCACTACATCGATACCTAACTTAATGAAAATAATGACTGAATTTGGCTCTTATTCAGGTTATAAAATAAACATCAATAAAACACAAGTGCTAAAACTAAATTATGACCCCCGTACACAAATTAAAAATAAATACAAATGGAATTGGGATGCTGATGGCATTAAATACCTGGGGACCATTCTAATGGAAGATCCAGCTCGATTACTCAATACAAATCATGGACCCTTATCATTGGCATTGAGGGCAGAATTACAGCGTTGGAATAATGTTCCCTTATCTCTCCACTCTCGTGTGGAATCAATTAGGATGAACATCCTTCCTCGATTTCTGTATCTTTTCCAATGTCTCCCAATCCATATAACCCAAAAGCAGTTTGATGAATGGGATAGAATACTGGCAAAATATATCTGGCAACACAAAAGGGCTGGGGTCAAATTTTCAACAATGCAATTGAAGAAGGAAAAGGGCGGAATGGGTCTACCCTGTCTCCGGGATTATTATTACGCAGCCCAACTGAGACCCTTGGTGTGCCTGTGTTCCTCTTTTTATAACGAAGGCTGGAAAGAAGTAGAAGGGATGGAGGTAAACGATTTACCAATTAACACTATATTAACAGACAAGAAATTACAAATTTTAACTAATTTTCCCGACGACTTTATGTACTACTCCCTATTAAATTCTTGGAATAGAATTTTACAGACGGGTAAATTGGAGGGATTGTCTAAGATTTTACGGTGGTGTGCCTACGACTCCGATTTTAAACCAAATGTTAAGAGCTGGATTTCAAAAGGACTCAATACCTACTACTCATTTGTCCACCAGGGGGCATTTATGAGCTTTCAAACATTACAACACAAACCTAGATTAGACCAAGACTTTTACAGATACTAACAAGTTAGACACCACATTGACCAAAACATAAAAACAGCATGGAGGGGAAAGGAAATGGGGGTCTTACAGACGGTGCTCCAGCTGACCAACACGAATTTTAATAACAAAGTGATATCAAAACTTTACAAAGCCATTCAACAAGGTAAAGAGGTGAACACAGAATACATTAAGAAGCGATGGGAAATAGAAAGTAATAGCCAATACCCAAATCTCGAAAGAAAACTGGGAGAAAATTTGTAAAATACAATGGAACTCCACAAACTCCAACACATGGAGGGAATTTTGTTGGAAGAATATGATCAGGTTCTTCATTACACTAGTCCAGCAGAAATTTCAGGGGAAAAGGGTTACATGCTGGAGACTATGTAACTCTCTACAGGCAAACCATTTCCACATATTTTGGAGCTGTCCAGTTTTAAAAGGTTACTGGCCACAAATATGTGAACATATTAATAATGTTTTCAACAGAGATATAAGGTGCAATTTTGAGAATCTATATTTAGCTAATGTGGACGCTACAACCTGGACAATAACAGATGGACAATTGCTTTCGATGCTCTTGGCAGCGAGTAAGAAGACCATAACTCGGAAGTGGCTGAAACCGGAACCTCCAACAATTACTGAATGGGTTGATGTTGTTCAGGAAATTTACACGATGGAAAAACTCACATCCATCATTATAAACCAAAGGGACACTTTCTTTGAAATCTGGTCAAAATGGACTGAGTATGTGAAACCTGTAAGAAGCGACTTGGTACAACCCAATTCTTGTAAACACCATCTCTGTAGGCGGGATCATGAGGTAACGGTGCTCCTCCGGTTCGTTGCTTCCTTTTGTTTATTTTTTCTCTCTCGGTTGTTTGACACTGTTTATAATCTGTTTTATATTCTTCCTTAAATGTAAAAAGCTAAGACAAACATAAAAATAATAATAAACCAAAAAAAATAAACGTGATCTTCGGCTTTCACTGGAGCGGTTCACAGCCGAGTGTGAAGCAGCGGGAATGAGAATCAGCTCCTCTAAATCCAAGACCATGGTCCTGAAATGGAAAGGGGTAGAATGCCTTCTCTGGGTCAGGGATGAAGTCCTGTCCCAAGTGGAGGAGTTTAACTGTCTTGGGGTCTTGTTCACGAGCGAGGGAAAGATGGAGAGCAAGACTGATAGGCCCAATGGTGCTGCGTCTGCAGCGATGCGGGTGTTGTACCGATTTGTTGTGGTGAAATGAGAGACGAGCCAGAAGGTGAAGCTCTCGATTTATTCTATTTTGATCTATGTCCCTACAGGAAAACTGGTAGGTACTGTAAATACAAGTCAGGTTTATTTATAGATAACTTTATCAGAAACAGCATGACAGCTGATCGAAGTGTGGCGCAAAGGAGTTAAGAACACAAAAAAATATAAACATATAAAAACACTGCCTCATTGATATCAGGCACATCACTGAAGGACAAGACTAAAGCACTAAAATGTATCCGCCTCAATTACCAAAAGCCAGTTAAAGAGGCGATTCTTCAGTTATGGAAGGGGGGTGTCTCACCACCAGTGGTGTATCCAAAATACTTTATTGATGCCAAAGAGAAATTAAATGCAACTCGTATTATTAAAAAAACAATAATAACAAAAAAAAACTTGTGTTATTGAAGGTTCTTCAGAGGCTAAATATGCTGATGGCTGTAGGCAGGAAGGGTCTCCTGTAGCAGTCTGTGTTACAGCAGGTCTGAAAAAGCCTCTGAATGAAGATGCTCTGTTGTTGCATACGTGTTATGAAGAAGATGCTCAGGGTTGCCCATAACTTTTTCCATTTTATGAAGAATTCCTCTCCATTGGTTCCACAGTAATCCCCAGAAGAGAACCAGCCTTTGAGTATTTTTAGGCCCCTGGCTCTGATGCTGATGGCCCAAGAGATCACACTCTCCACTTTTGACCAACAAAAGAAATGCAGAATCTTGCTGCACATCTTGAAGGACCTGGGCTTCCTCAAGAAGTACAGTCTACTCGAGGGGTGGGAAATCCTAGTCCTCCAGCGCTGCTACCTAGCATGCTTTAGCTGTTTCCCTGCTCCAACACATCTGATTTTAATCAGTAGATGATTAACGGGCTTCTGCCGAACTTGATGAGCAGCTGAACAGGTGATAAAACATTGAATGAGGTGTGTTGGAGCAGATAAACACTTAACACATGCTGGAGAGCTGCACTTTAGGACTAAGATTGCCTATCCCTGCTCTACTCTGTCCCCTCTTGTAGATGGCTTCACTCCAGTTTAGCCTGTAGTTCAGGAGGACACTGAGGTATTTATATTCTTCATCCACCTTCTCTTCATCTCTCATGATACAAATGGAGCTTGGCCTATTCCTGTTCCTTCTGAAATCTACAATACTCTACGTTGTTTCATCCACATTCAAGATTAGGTGGTTGCCCCCACAGCATGCCCCAAAGTGCTTCACCAGCTCTCTTCTTGAGCATCGCTGAGACACCAGACACCTGCAGAATCATCTGAGCTTTCTACAGAACCGTCGTGATGTGGGATATCAAGGCAATAGGTCTATAGTCACTGATGAATGATGGGTGAGTTAAAAGACCAATATGACATCTTCCATTTGATCAAGTGCAAGGGCTGCATGGTGGTGCAGTGGTTAGCACTGTTGCCTCGCAGCACGAAGGTTGCAGGTTCAAAACTCGGCTGCGGCCTTTCTGCGTGGAGTTGCGTGTTCTCCCCATGCATGCGTGGGTTTCCTCCGGGTACTCCGGTTTCCCCCACAGATCACAACATGCCCTATAGGTTATAAATTGTAAGTCCTTTGGATAAAGGCGTCTGCTAAATGAATAAGCATAAAGTGAAATGACTCCATGTCACCAAGGACGGGTACTCCTTGATGCCAGCTTCCGTTTCATCCATTGGGCAGCAGTGAAGTTTGCTTCAATGTTCCACAAACCAACCTCTTGCAGAGGCTCCTGGTTACCATCTAGAGAACTTTTCATTACCTGGATTTCCTCTGGATCTCTACAGAACCCAGGAGCAAAATCAAAGTACCTGTGTGTGCTGCCTAAGGAGGTCTGGCTGTAGACACTTTTCCTGTCAAAGATAAATGTAAAAGACAAAGGGAGAGGGTCATGGTAAAAAAAAAAAAGAGTGGACGTAAATGGAAGGACCACAGAAGGAGAAGTAGACGATGCAAAAAAAAAAAAAAAAAAAGTAACAGATAAACATACATGAGCCTAAACTGCATCACAAAAAGCACAAATCCTTACTGAAAGGAGACGAGCCCTTTCAGATCTCTATTGGCCCATTTACACTCGGGTCAGCTTGGTCTGGCCCTGGTAGGGTCTTTGGTCTCACAATGACGTTGTCCAAGCTCTGTTTATACTGAGCCGGCCCACACCCACGTATGGACTGATTGGCCGGCTGAAGGTAAGTCACTCCTACTAGACGGAGTCTCTGGTTGGCACGAGTAGAATCAGCTAGTGGCGGTTTCCAGGATGTGTAAGTCACTAACAATCTGTGTGCAGTGGGGTAAACATCTTCTCTGACTGCAGATCGGATGGGCCGCTCCGGCCACGGGGGCAAGAGGACTGACCGTCTACTGTGAATGCTCATGGCAGCACCACTGCTAAATGAACGAGTAGGAAGCTGTGTGCTTCATGTCAGTCTCCAAAAGCAAAACTGCTTACACCCACTTTTGTTTACTAACTTGTGGCACTAAAGCCTGATTTATGCTTCTCCGTCTGCGTCAGTGCGGAGACACGCAACGCCATTATCCGTCCTTGCGTAGGGCTCCGGCAGGCCTGCAAGTACGTACGGAGTCGAGCCCACTTTTTTAAACATCCGTAGAACGAGACGGATTACGCAAGCTTGTGATTGGTCAGGACGCTGCTGTTGTTTACAGCGCCGCCATTGCAAAGAGAGCCGAGGATAACTAGCGGCAGACACGGAGAAGCTTGAAGAATACCTCGTGAAAAAACTCTAAAAATATGAACGTTTCATCCTCCCGTGACTGGAGGAGTGAAAAGATGTGCAGCAAGCGTTTTATTTGTGGACGGAAATGACAGGAAACGTGGGTTTAGAGGTGGGGAGCGCATGAAGAGGTGGGAGAACGAGAGACAAATATGTCTGTGTTAAAAGTCTCTCATGTACACAAAAAACACAATATAAACACACGATCTTGGACCGATACATGACAGGATACCACAGAACAGCGCTACGCCCTCTGTTGTCCTGCCGGGCAATTGCTTTGCAACACTCTCCAGGAGACGGAGAAGTATGAGAGCAAAACGCTTCCGTCAATCCGTGCGTGTCTGTCCCTTGCGGAGCTGATGGAGAAGCATAAACCAGGCTTTAGAAATGACACCATGGACTCCTCTGTGCCTTTTTAGCGGACCCGCCCATGTCCACGTTCCTGAGAGGGCTGTGTAAGCACAACCTGGCGGCAAGAAGGAGGGCTTGTCCTTACCTGGCCCAGGCTGAGCCAACCAACGTGTAAAAGAACCCTTTCTTTATTAGTCTTTCTCAGTGATAACTGACCTCCATCATTGGTTAACTAGACCTTTATCAGTGGTCAATTAAATCTCCATAAGAGAGGCCAACCTGTGTGTATTTAAGAATTCCAGTGAACCTTTTGGATGTACTGCTGGTCTCACACCTGAGGAGGCACAAAAAAAAACAGGTTAATTAGAAAAGTGACATGAAAACAATTGAGCAATGACTGAATAACAACCTAACATTAATCACAACAACACATCTCAAATGGTATTACAGATAGAATTACTACAGTATTACAGTATGCAAGCTATAAGATTCTTACCGTTATTCAACACATTCCACACCCGAAGTGTTGAAAAATGACGATGGGTGACCAAGCGTTTGTTTCCGGCACGTCGGGAGGCAACGCTCTGGCACAGAGCGTCGTTTTCTGATTGCCGTGGTAAAACAAAGAGTTCACCAAATTTTGACCTTTACCCTCTTGCTATTTAACCTTCCCCTCACCCCCATCCCCTCACCTTAACCCTTCTGCGCATGCACAACTTTGTTTCTAGTTGTAATGTCCCTTTCCAACACGGTTAACGAGAAGTTTAGAAAGAGAAACTGGGTTAAGGTTAGGAGAAAGTTAAATAGCAAGAGGTTAAAGGTTAAATGTAATATGTGCGTTTTATCGCGGGCGTCAGAAACCAATACTCTGGCACAGCGCGTCGCCCCCCGACACGTTGGGACTCCCAAGTCGTCGGAAACAAATGCTTGGTCACCCATCGTCATTTTTCAAGGCTTTGGGTGTGGAATGTGTTGCATTATTCCAACATGTACTGTATATTTTAATATTTTGTGTTTCATTGTCCATGTATTTTGTTTTATTCTGCTCTTTTCCAAGTCACTGCAGTAAATTAAGCTGAAATTAAATAAAATATTTAGAATAAAACAGGTAGTATTCTGGAAAGTGTACTTGTTCTTAATCTAGAGAATGAAACGCTGAGATATGATACGGTCATAGAACCCACTGAAGAACCAGTCAAACCTTACCTGAAGCCTGCCTGTCCAGCAGTCCAGTGGTTGTGCCATCCATGTGCCGACTGTACAGTTTGGACCTGGCAGCTAAACCTTGCTGGCTGTCAGAAAGTAGAAAGGACAAGAAAAAAAATACAAAAAACAAACAGAGAGGGAACAGGAAGGGGTACCGGGGAGATGGGTGTGCAGGCCAAAGGTAGAAAAACAAGAAAACAGAGAAAATGGCCAAAAAAAAACACAACTTAACGTCAAATAAAAAATGTAGTCACGGTTTCAACTAGAGGAATAAACAAAGAGTGAGTGAACCTGGAGCTGGAACTTTTAATCTTAAAGATAAAAAGTAATTTTAGTGGACAGTCTGTGTGTTTTCACGTGTCTGGGAGCAAAGTAACAACAGGTTGTCTGATGTTTTGTGGCAGATAATTTAATGGGTTCTAAAAAAAGGCAAGAAGATAGTTCCCCTGGGCTGGTCCAATAACGACAACAAGAAAAGGAAGCATTTACTCGTTGTCTCAGTCAAACTTTTATTCTAACAAAGTAGCAGGAACACAGTGAGTCTAAGGTGGTGCCACCGCTGGAATGTCAGTGGAAGTCCAGCTGAGATCTACTAAGGGAGCTGGGAACGTATCACCGGACCATGATGGCAGTGAGCAGGAGACCAGGTCCAGAACAAAAAGGGGTGGATGAAAAGGGCAAAAAACATGAAGGGAAGAAGAAAAAAAGAGAATGTTAGAAGCAGTGATAAAGCAAATCAAGCAACAGCTGATTGTTCTGCCTGAGTGGGAAAAGGAAGAGATGGAGGAAAAACCCTCAGAAGGTTGTTGGTACAACACCTCATTAAAACTATGAAGAAAACAAAATCCAGTCATCTAAAAGCACATGTTCAGGCAGGTGAACCATCTACTGCAGTAGGGCTGCTATTAATGATTACTTTGACAATAATCTAATCACCAGTTATTTTACCGATTTGTCGACTATTTGGATCAAGGGATAATTGTGGATTATCGACAGGAGTTTCCTCTGCATCAGGAGTACGTAGTGGGCAGGTAGCGCAGATCCACTGTACTGCACCTCGTTTCCTCCTAGATGAGGAATTATGTTTTAAATGTGTAAAATTGGCCAGCAGTAGCTCAGGAGGTACAGCGGATTGTCGAGTAATCGGAGGGTTGTTTGATTGACCCTGGCTCTCGGCAGAGAACACTGCTGTTGTGTCCTTGGTCAAGACACTCATCATCACCAGTGTGTGAATGACCTACTGTGTTGTACAGAGCCTTGGGAGTTGTGGAACCCTAGAAGTCGCTATTTCACACAAGAAGAACTTTCCCTAATATGAGGATCATTTTGTTCACCCTATGTGGAACCATTCCCATACTGCGATGGTGCTATCCGGGGCACCACTGCAGACACATCTCATCTTCAGCCTTCCAGAAGCCACACGTCCACAGACGACCAGGGTAAGCAACGAATAATTGATGGTTTATTTATTTTTTTTGCATCTTCTCTTCTCTTTATAACATAAAGAGCTGATGGACCAGTTCAGCCACACCAGAAGCTTTTGTCTGACCACTTCAGGGTAGGAGAAGAAGAAACTTTCAAGCCTCCCATGGCTGGATTATGGTCACAGCCATGGTTCTGACTACTGGCATGCATGAGAGAGATATAAGGAACCACCCTTCGTCAAACTTGACAGGGATATTACACACACACACACACACACACACACACACACACACACACACACACACACACACACACACACACACACACACACACACACACACACACACACACACACACACACACACACACACACACAGGACTCCTTTCATCCGGCCAACCCCCTCTCCTCACTTCCTCGGCCACAGCAGCAGAGAGCTGCTTTAATCAAGCCCAACAGGTGACACAACCAATACCGGTCACTGTGCACGTCAAAGTTATCGTTCAACAGAAGATAATCAATAAAATGATGTGTATAAAACGGATCCAGAAGATGTATTCTGTCTCTGCCTACAATATTTTGATATTTTTCAATCTGTTAGTGGTTTTACAGAGCAGGTGCCACTTTTGTCACACATCTCTCCTTTTAAAACATGATTAAAATGTTCAGAATGCAAATCTAGGCTCTGTCACTTTGGAGGGGGCTCGGAGCGCGTCGCAGAACCAGAGCGCGTGAGGGGGAGATTCGGGGTGCCGACCCCCTTACATTCAGACACTCCCCTTTTATTCAGTTACCCCCCTCTCCTCTAGTGATTTTTAGAGATCCTTTCCAAAGACAAGAAAGGCGAAATGAGTTTTCATCTGAAAAAAAACCACAAGCTAGTGTGCCGTGGTAAAGCCACATACAGGCTTTGAAGAAGAAGAACCAGTGGACACAACAACACCTGTCCCCCTCCAGCTCGGCCGTGTGACTGCACTAACCTGTCCTGTGTGACCCTCACCATCAGGGTATATGCAGAGATCTCAAAATTAAATTTAAGACTTTTTCAAGACTTTTTAAGACCTTCTAAAAATAAAATTAAGACTTTATCGCAAAGAACTAATCAGCGGTTAAACACTCATATATTGTCTTTACATACTGCATTGCTTCGTTTTCTTCTTCATAACGGGTTACGTTCATCCGGGACAGCGAGGCTGTAGCAATAATACGTAAAGCCACATGGTACAAAAATGCAAGCCATGCGCATAGATGAACAAAAAATTATTTTACTAGTTTGCATGCATCTATTTTTCATACCTGCAAACTCAGAGGCTGTGAAAAAAGTGACAACTAAATTTACCCCCCCAAACAAGGTCCTTGTGTGCTGCAGATTCTATTCTTTACATTTACATACATTTATTTTATTGAGAATAATAAAAAATGTTATGTGATTTATTTAGCAAATTGCTAGCTATTTTCTACCAGTCGAGGGGAAACCGGCTTGTTTTTTTTACAGTAATTTAAAACGGACACTAGAGGGCGCTAAAACAAGCCAAACCTGACTAGAGTCCCTTTTAGATCCACTCACTGAACTGCAAAAATCAGTAATTGTCCATCATGTGGTTCTGGAGGGAATTTGAATCGTTTTGACGTCATTAACATTTTCCCTGAATGTCTACCAACTGTCGCTGATTGGTCAATAGAAATGTGCGTATGTCAGCCAAACGCTCAGTTTACCATCGATACCTCTGGTGTTAAGGTGGAAAGGGGCAGCACAGGATTTAGTGAGAATGCTGGAGGCCCCTTGAGTCTGATATACTCGTAGGGGATCTTAGAACATTTTTCACTAACTGACAACTGAAAGAACTTAGAGCGTAACCTCATTTTATTTTGTGGCATAGCGGTAGAAATTCCAACTTTTATTTAATTGAATTCCAACTCTTAATCTTAAGACATTAGCAGCCCAACTAGAAAGCAGGTAAACTGGGTCAACTCCTATACCTGCTGCGTTTCTCCCTGTAGCGCTCAATCTGGTCCCTGCTACCCCCCAAGGGAGATGACGGGGCCACTGGAGATGACGCCCTGCTGGGGGAGAACCCCACTCTTACAGGATGGGAGCACTGTGAAGGTACTGATCGCTGGGGGGACTGAGGGGGAGCAAATGGCCACGGAAGAGTCCTCTGCTCCCGATGTACCACTGGAAAAATAAATAAAAATCATTATTTATATTCATATGTAACATTCTAACACAGTATAGCTGTAAATATATTGTGGCGACTGATTGTATTTGTCTAAAAACCACCAAAAACACACTCCGGAAAATCAACCATTGGACCATCCCGTTGTCGGCCTCGCCGAGCCGCCGCACTTCCCTTAGTCCCCCACTCATTACACACTCGCGTATTCAGCAACAGAACACAGCTGGTGTAAGAGGTTCTCTGCTCAATAATATCAGAGAAGGAGAAACAGCTGGCTGCTACCACTTCTACTTTAGGACAAACTAGCAGAGTCCCAAAATGAAAAACTGAAATCGCGAACAACAAAAGACATTTGGACCTAGAAAAGGGTGACTGCTATTTCGTTTCCTCTGGCAACACGGGTTTCTGGTTCCAGCAGAAGCATCTCGGGGAAGATACCCGAGGAAAGGGGTGAGTTTTCCGTGACCGTGTTTGCGTACAAAACCTAGCTTGTTTGCAGATTCGCTATAACTGCTGTAAAACATTAACATTCAAATCTTGTTTAAACTGTAAACATTGGTTTCCTCTGGTGAACGAGGTGAGGAGAAATCCTCTAGACTAGGAAGCGTGCTACCATTTCTCCATCCGAGTGGGGTGTGTGTGTGTGTTAGAAAAAGAGTGTGTTAGTGGATAGATTTCTCAACAAAGAATCTCAGAGCAGGGGTTTCTGAAAGAATTAAACCTTTACCTTCTCTCGCTACCATAGAGTAAGGCTTGATTTCTCCATCTGGCTTCTTGAGAGGAGTCCGTCTCAGGTGGACTGCTGATGTGTGTGTGTGTGAGAGAGAGAAAGACAGACAGAGAGAGAGAGAGAGAGAGAGCGAAAGAGAGAGAGACAGACAGACAGAGAGAGAGACAGAGAGAGAGAGCGAAAGAGAGAGAGAGAGAGAGAGAGAGAGAGAGAGAGAGAGAGCGAAAGAGAGACAGATAGACAGACAGACAGAGAGAGAGAGAGCGAAAGAGAGAGAGAGAGAGAGAGAGAGAGCGAGAGAGAGACAGATAGACAGACAGACAGAGAGAGAGAGAGCGAAAGAGAGAGAGAGAGAGAGAGAGAGAGAGAGAGAGAGAGAGAGAGAGCGAAAGAGAGACAGATAGACAGACAGACAGAGAGAGAGAGAGCGAAGAGAGAGAGAGAGAGAGAGAGAGAGAGAGAGAGAGAGAGAGAGAGAGAGAGAGAGAGAGGAGAGAGACAGAGTTCAGTTCAGTTCATTTATTTATGAAGCACTTTAAAACACCCAGCATAGGAACAAAGTGCTGTACAGAAAATACATTAAAACAACAGAATAAACAGAAAGCAGCAAAGAGAAATAAATAAAACACAGGAGACATAAAATTAAAACAGCCCAATAATAAGAATAAAAACTAGATAAAAACAGCATTGAAACACACAAAAACAGCTAAAATAAGTAAAAAAAAAAAAAAAAAAAAAATAGTAACCGAAAACTCACATGGTGTCAAAAGCAAGCAAACAGCAAATGTATATTTTGGCATGACTGCAATGTCAACTGGTGGTGCGAGTGATGCAATTGAGCTAACTGTTCAACTACCTAACCGATGACTACGTCAAGCTACTCTGGGATAACAGCTAGACTGCTAGACCCAGTTTTAGGCTACTGTAAGCTAGCATCTAGTCCAGGGGTGGGCAACTCCAGTCCTCGAGGGCCGGTGTCCTCCATCTTTTTGTTATTTCCCAGTTCCAACACAGTTGATTCAGCAGCTCATCAAGCTGCAGAAGCCAGCTAATCTGCTGAATGAAATCAGGTGTGTTGAAACAGGGAAAACAGTAAAACATGTGGGATAGTGGCCCTCGAGGACCAGGATTGCCCGCCCCTGATCTAGTCCAACCAAATAGCTTATCTGAGCTACTGGCAAGTTTGGGCTTATCAGCGGGAACGGCTAGTCCAAGGTACCTACTAGTCCAAAAACGATGGCAAGCCTAAGCTAATTGGTAGATCTGGGTAATGTTTGGACCAAGCTAAATCCCTAATCTGAGCTGCTGGTTAGCAAACACCTATGCCAAGCTTGGCAGCTGGTCACAAGTAACAGCTATACAAATCAACCAACTGGTCCAAGTTTATTGCTAGTCTGAGTAAGCTAGGAACCCGACAAATAGCTGATGCAGAGCCAAGACTTATGTGGATTAATGTCATCTTTAAACATCTTCTTTGTAATTACTGTCAGAGTGGTTTATGAAGCACTATTCTATGGAAGAAATTTACAGGTGAGACTAAAAAAAGCATTATGGTGCAAAACTCCATTAATTTCAGTAATTTAACTCAGACTTAGAGACCATCAAAAGGCTCAGGAACCCTCTGCAAGCATTTTGCATTCATCAGCTGATTAGAGTGTGACACTCTGAGTCTTGAATATTGAACCTTTTCAAAATATTTTGATTGCGTGAGATATTGAATTTGGGGTTTCATAAGCTGTAAGCCATAATCATCACAGTTATAACAAATAAAGGCTTGAAATATCTGGCTTTGCATGTAAAGAGTCAATCTGAAATAAATTAACAAACTATAATGCACAAGATTTAATGTTTCTGCGTAATGTTTTCTTATTTATTTATTTTTTTAATGCAAAATAAAACATTTTCTAGCTTGAGGTTTAGATAAGTCACTCTGCTCAGAGAAAAATACAACACACACACACACACACACACACACACACACACACACACACACACACACACACACACACACACACACACACACACACACACACACACACACACACACACACACATGCCACATCGTAGAAGAAAGACAACAACATAAAATGCATACATTTCTTAAACTGTTACCTGATCTGTTTAGGAAGAAGCCTTCAAACACAACAAAGTTATTGACCTGGACAAAATGATAAAACACAACATGTAAAGAAATCTTCATCTGCAGGTGGAATTACCCGTTTACTCAGAACCAAAGTGCTCTTCCTTGGGCAGTTCACCTCATTTGTGCGGGTGTAAAAGCTCACTGAACTCCGGCGTGGCCAAAACAAACCAGCTCTGGTTCTTCTGACAATGTGATTCAGTTCCCCAGCACTTGACCTCTAGCGCAGGTCACTCACAGTATGAAAGCAAATGGACTAAACAAAGACTGAGTGTGAACTGGGAGAGGGAGCTAGCAGAACTCCTAAGTAACAGTGGTAAACAAAGAAAATGTCATGGGCACTGATGTAGTAAGTGAAAAGGTCTGAGGACTAAAGTTTACAGGCATTGCGGCTCCAGTGTTTTATCCAAAAACAAGTCTTGAATATTACGCCCCAGAATGGCCTGACACCTTTAAACACCTTTAGGTCACATGACGTGCCACATAGGTGGAAGGCCCCACCTGCATATAAATACACCTACCCCCACGGTCAAGCTCCAGCTAGGCCTTCACCTTGCTGAGAACAACTCTTCATAAAATCCTGTGCAACACTAGCTAAAGTGCTAGTGTTGCAGCCCACTGCCTGCTGGTTAGTGTTCCTGCCCTCTGACCTCTAGTGTTGCTACAGATTTGGTTTATAAACCAGAGCCAGTGAAGCAGAAGTCTGATTCCCCTGTCCTCAGAAGTGCTTCTCGCTTCATGAAAAGGACCTGCAGAAGTCTTGATCTGTCTGTTTTGGAATTTCTCATGCCAGGAGAGCGTTGATGGAGCTAGACGCATTTGCGTTTAATCACCAGCTTTGGTGCTTTATGCTAATGTGCCGAACATCAGCCTAGAGCAGGGGTGTCAAATATGCGGCCCGCGGGCCGAATCTGGCCCGCAAGCGGGTTAAATCCGGCCCGCGAGATGGTTGTGTAATCTTTATTTTCATACTTTACAATGTAGAGTTAAAATAAACTTATCTTTGTGAGCAAGTTTCCTCTGTAATGAGTATAAATAAAACAAAACTGCGCTCAAGGCTCACACAAGAACTTGAATCATATCCTGAAGTTGGCCGCCACTCAGGATGTGACTTCTGATGTTGATGTGCTGGTGAAAGCTAAAAGATGTAAAGTAAAATGAGTCAAATATACTTTAAGTGCTGCATGAAACTGATATAGCCATGCGATCTGTAAGCTCTTTGAATCAAGAAGGAATGTTTTTTTTTAATTAATTTTTATTTTTTTCAAATTTTCAAGTACACTTCAGGTGTTGTACTTGTATTATTTTGGATACACTGTCCTCAGGCTCCAGCCTTGTTTTATATTGATTGTATTAAAACAAAGAAAACATACCGGTCCGGCCCACTTGAGACTAGATTTCCCTCAATGTGTCCCCTGAGCTAAAATGAGTTTGACACCCCTGGCCTAGAGGGTCATTGTCTGTCGGAGGAAGAGAATATTTCTGTGGCTCAGTGTGTTGTGGCAACCGCCACCGCCTCTCAGCCTTTTAGACGGAGGCAGAGCTGTGTGCTGGCAGCTTAACAATGGTATGATACTTCCTGCTTTGTTACTATAGGAGTGACAGTGGCAGAGGAGTTACGTGCCTGCCTCCTAACCGGAGGGCTGCAGGTTCACACCCCTCTCAATCTATTGTTAAAACCTTGGACAAGCCTCTTCACCCTCCTTGTCTACTGGTGATTATCAGAGGGACCTTGGTGCCAATTATGTGGCACAGGTGATATACCCCATTTACATTCTTTATTAAAATAGTTTTTATTTAAAACTTGTAACTGACCCTTGTGGAACACTGAGTGGGCAGTAGTGGAGAATGTTGACATGAACCCAGACTGGCATACACAAAATAAACAAATGTCTTTTAACCCTCCCACTGTCCTAATGGGTGTGACCCCGTGAGGAAAGTTGACCACTGAGCAGGATTGATGGTTTATCCCTTGGGTCCACGTGGCAGGGATGAGGAGTGAGCAACACCTCACCCCTGCAATGTGGACCTAAAGGGATAAACCATCAATCCTGCTCAATGGTCAACTTTCCTCACGGGGTCACCCACAAAGACAGTGGGAGGATTAATAGATGAACAACGTTCCTGCAAAACAGTTTTTTTAACTTGAGCTGACTTTAGCGCGTTTATTTGAAATGTACAACTATCACTCTTAAAGTCATGTAAGAGAACTTGAAAGATCTTTCTTGGGGTCATGCAGAAGAAAGATATGAGGTCTTACCTGAGGAACGCTTTGCACCAGGCAGTAATGTTTTGCTAGAAAAGCCAGGAATTTTTTCGAGGGCCGATCATACGCCATCAGCACCGGTTCTACATTCTTGTGCTAAAGATGGATAGAAGAGTGAGATGTTGGCGACCGGAACCACTGCAGTTAGAACACTGATACAGTTTGAACCTTAACACAAAGGGTCTCAGACTTCTGGATAAAGGTGGGATGAATCGCTTTGACAGCAGGTCAGTGACATCCTTACTGCTGACTGTGTCCATGTTTGACTATCTCATATTCCATGTCTCCTTCAAAAATCAATCAAGTTTTTAAAAACACCTTTGAGGCTAATTGACACAATCAGAACACGAATCAGATCATGGTCCTGCATGACCCATGAAAACATATAAACAATGAAAACTGGTTTTCACAGAGCTGCACGAATCCGGTGCCACGCTTCAAATGCTTCAAACTACACATTAGAGTTCAAAATGTTGATATTTTTGTCTTTTTTCACCTTTCAAATCTCTTAAGAGTGCAGAGAGTGAACACCCAACCTTCCATAGACTCATTAGTTTTGAGCTGTCTCTCCTCCCAAACTGGAAATGACGGGTCTGATGTGGTCTGAGGTCACTTATAAGACACTACAGTTTGTAGAAGTTCAGTCGTCGAATGTTGCACATTCTTCTAAACACTCCAAATTAAACAAAATATTAATTTTTCTCATACAAATTGTATTTCACAATTGAAAAGAGGCGACTGATGATTTTACTGACTACAGGATCTGTCAGAATAAATCTATTGAAAGCTTTAGTAACTAGGTGTTGCATCTGTTTAGGGAGCCTAAGGCCTAGTCCACAGGTAGCCGGGTTTTTTAAAAACGAATATCCGCCCCTCCAAAAACTTGCATCCACACCACCTCGTTTTAAAAAGAAACTGTCCACACGTACCCGGATAAATACGTTGTTAAGGACATGCCAGACCTGTAGGCGGCAGTACTTCCCCCGTTCTTAACCACGTCCTTCGTCTGTGGTCTTCCGCAAGGAGCAGTAATTCCACTTGCAAAAACAAACAAGCAAAAAGCGCTTGGACAATTGATAAAGCGAGCGCAGCTCTGAGGGCATCCATGCTGCAGGTCGCACACGTGATGTCAGCATTTTTTCGTCACGGAAAGTGACGTTGCGGACCTTAAAACTCTGGTTTTGTCTATCCACACGCAGACACCCAAAATGGAGAAAACGCAGATCTTCACTTTGGCCGGAGTTTTTAAAAAGATCCGTTTTCGTGTGAAAAAACTCCGTTTTCGTGTGGATGACAGGCCAAAACGTAGAAAAATATCTACGTTTTGGCAGATCCCCGGCTACGTGTGGACAGGGCCTAAGTCACGCCCATCTACTTCTGGACCACGGGTCCCTAGAAGAACGAAAAAATGAATGCAAGTCAACAGGGCTAAAAACGTTATTTTCTAATTCCGTTAGTTATGCGCCATGGATTTCACATATGATGTCTGTGAGTGTTAAAGACGCATTTTTAAACCAGGAGTTGAGGACGAAGCTGTCTGCTGAGGGGGTGTGGTTCATTTCATAAACTTCAACAGAGACATGGGGACAAAAACACATGACACAATGAAAAACTACCTGCAGCATAAAACTAAACAGCTCCAGTCCATAGCCATGCCGCTGCAAATTTTCTGCAATGTAAAAATCCAAAACGCAGAGTGGCTCTGCCTCAACGTGCACACCGTGTTGGTCCTACAAGAAGAACCCATAGAGGGAGCAAAAGTTCAGACAGAACACAGCTAGAACAACATGTAAACACACAAGATCACAAAACTCACCAGCAGAAACAACTTTTTGTAGCCAACCTTCAGAAATCCCACCGCAGAACCTCGTCCTCTATTGGAGACACAAGACAAAGCAGGCCAGACAAGAACCATCAGAATGCTTTTCATGTCCTTCCAGTTCAGGTTCAGCGAGAACAAAGGCAGTGAAGTTCAAACCACCAGGAAGTTCTTTATCATTCCTTCAATGCAGTCAAATGTTTCTGTGATTTTTATAAAGACACTTGCAAACAAAATGTGATTTCACCTGCTCATCCGGTAAAACACAAAAACGCTCTAAAAACATAGATATGTTGAAACATAATGGAAGTAATTTTATTACTAGACTCAGAATAGGTCTTTGGTGTTTTTACAGTCATCCTCGGGAATAAACTAAAATAGACCCTAATACCACCAAACTCATTTTTGGCTGCATTCATGCACTTTACTGTTTCAGCTGCAAATTTTGAACTTTATTTTGAAATTCCTGAAACAGCCTAATGTATAGGTTGTACGCCACTCAATCTTCCTGCTCTCAACATCAGGCCCTGCGCCTCCCCCGGAAACTAGTCTCTGGTCTGAAACCCATCTCCCCTGGCCAGCTCAGGATAAGAGGCATAGGCAATGAGCACCATGGAACAGACTTGGTAGTCTAGTGGTTAGAGTGCTGGGCTAGCATGCAGTTTAGTGCAGGTTCACATCCTGGTCTCAGCAGTGACTCTGTTCTTATGTTTTAGCTACACTTGCCAGTATGATATTTTCAACCCTTTACTGGTAAACTGTTTAAAACATAAAGGACTCATAACGTTTCGTTTTGCTTTCTTTGTTTATTTAGCCAGTGTGGGTCCATGTGAGGTGAGCGGAGTCAATCGACTCTAAATTCAGGTGACAAAAATAACGCGTAATGACATTTTAATAGTGCCAATGGTAATATTTTATCATATACTGTGCCTACCTTGGTTCTCAGTGGTTTAAAACAGCAGGATATGAAATCTTTAAGAGTTTAAACCAGACAGTACAAGTAGAGGTAGAATAATAAATAACATGATGTTGGGACAACAGGCTGAACGTGTAGATGCTGTGGGTTGAGCCCAGCAGCTCCAGGTACAGCTGATAAGTGTGTGAGACATACCCGCCGCTCTCTCGGTCTTTCAGCAGGTACAGCTGGTGGTTCTGGCTCTGCAGTTTGGAGGCACTTGTTACTGGTGCAGCCAGCTGTTGGGCCTGCAAGCAGAGGACAGCAATGTATCAAACATCTTGGATGCTGCTCCTCTCCAGGACTAAAAGAATGTCAGCTCTCAGGTTAACCTCGCTCTAGATTAATCTGAATGATACAGCTCAACAATGTTAACATTGTACTTGTTGGTGTCTCATCCATCCAGGGCATGGTAGTCATAAGTCAGAAATAGACAACTGGAATTCTCTTGTTATTCGAAGACACTTTTCTTCTCATGTGAAATACTTCTTTAGCTCTCATCGAGCATTGGACCATTCTACGAGTCACTGACATCCCACCTCCAGGACACTCTAGGTCAGTCAGCCCCAACTCCATTCCCCAAGGGCCGGTGTCCACCATGTTTTACATGTTTAGTTGTTTAATCTGAAGGTGATCCTCTTCCTCACTGGTTTTATCCTGCTGGTTCTACCAAATCTGTCTTTCTCAGGATCCCGTGACTATCTTTTTCTTTTTAATCTTCATGTTTTTTTTTGTAATTTTTTTCTTTTCCCCCATTTTTTTATTATATTTCTTAATCGTTTTTATTTTTTATTTTGTTTTGGGAAGCGCCTCGTGATTTTTATCAGGCTCTGCAAAACACAGCTCGTCACTGCAACAACGATGTGCCAGAGGAAGAGAATAAAACGTTTTCCCATGCCTCTACATCACTAAAGTACTTCCATTTCAGTCTCAGTGAAACAGCATTTTAGACCCCTCGGTTGCCACAGTTAACCTTGAAATGACAAAGATCATCCAGCTTATTCACATGCAGAGAATTCATAAAGTATTTTGCATTGACTATTTATGACAAAGTGTGTGCTGTACAATCCAAAAACACCTGAACACATTTCTAGGAGGAATGTGATTTATAAAGCAGCAATAGCATGCAGCTGTGTGTACGCAGTGTTTGATTGGTCATATAATTGATTTTTTTTTGCTGAGCTCAAGTAAAGTTTTTATAAGCATTCTACACACAGTTTTATAAATGAAGCCCCGTTTCTGTGCTCGTCCCTAACCTTTATAATTAGATATGCTCTGATATGAAACCTTAACTGCTCCACTGAGACCAGCCCTGGCTAAACGATACCATCTGTGCCACAAAGCGTCACTTCAGACGTCCTCTGAGAGACTACAAAGGACAGGAGACTGGGCAACGGTGGCTCAACATAACAGGTTGCAGGTTCAAACCCAGGCTCCATTCATGTCAGTAGTTGTGTCCTTGGGCCAGACACTGCACTGCCCTTGCCTTTGAAAATGTCTATCTCGGGATGAATTTACCAGCTCCCGCTTGTTGATTTATGAGGCTTTAACTGATCTTTTCAACCTGATTCCAATCATCATGTGATCTGGCCCGATTTCAGATTAAGAAATTGGAACAGCACATCCTGTTTAAGAAACTGCAAAATCAATAAGCTGGCTTCCTTTACTGTAACTGAAACAAAAGGCTGAACTATTGGAAAAAAAAAGATTTTTTATATATTAAGGAAAATAACTTTCTGCATTTCCTTAAGAGCAACAATAACAGGCAGTGCCAGGATTTATTTCTCCTGCAGTTGCTTAGTGAGGGCAGGTTAGCTGCTCTCAGCTGACTGAAGGGGGGTGGGGGCTGTTCAAGAGTTGGGGTTGCTAAGCCGCTGCTTGGCCAAACCTCGCCATTGCTTTAGAAACCCAACCAACCACGGGATGCTGCCCATTAAGAGTTCCATCTCTCAAATGTATTAAAAGCCACCCTCTTAATTGTCTAAATGTTTAGAGAGCACACAACACTTAGAGATGTTGGAAGCAAATGACAGTTATAATAGAGCGGTTGCATGATGTAACTATAAGCTGTATTTACACCAGGGTCTCAATAGTTGACTAATAAAAAAAAAAATAAAAAAATAAGGTGATTAGTCAACTATAAAGTGTGTCGTCGTGTGGGTGAGCGATTTGCTGACATCATTGTAGTGGCGTGGGGTTATGGTACGCGCAGGCGTATCTTATGGACAACAAACACAGATGTATTTTGATTGGACAGAGATACCGTGATGAAATCCTGAGGCCCACTGTTGTGCCATTCATCCACGACGCACGGCTCCATAGTGAAAAGATCTGTACACGAATCCTGGAAGATTAAAAACATCCCAGTTCTTGCATGGCCAGCATACTCATGGGATCTTTGGTGTGTTCTTGCAGTGTTGAAATTCTAATTCCATCTTTTAGTTCTTTTTAAAACACAGAAAGGTTTTATTTACCTACAACGTTTCGTTGCAGCTGCAAACGAAACGTTGTAGGTAAATAAAACCTTTCTGTGTTTTAAAAAGAAGTAAAAGATGGAATACTCATGGGACATTGAGCCTGTTTGGGAGCTCTGGTTTGGTGTATGCGACAGCGTGTTCTTGGGCTGGGCGATATGGCCTAAAATCAATATCACGATGTATTGAGGAGTTCACCTCGATAACGGTAAATGGACGATAACTACAGGTATGCACACAGACAAAAGTTGTCCACTAGGTGGGGCTGTCACGTGTATTACCTTGAGTCACATTTTTACGTGACTCAAGGTAATACAGCTTCTTAAAGGGACATGAATGTTGCCAACCTACACACATCTTTTCATTTTTGTATTATCAATTTTATTGATGGGGAAAAATTATCTTGATTAGATTCAGAAATTTCGATAATGATAAATGTTCAATTTATTGCCCAGCCCTAGCGTGTTCTATGTTCAGATACTTCACACAGCTTCTGAAGAGGAGTGGACAAACATTCCACAGACCACAAGCAACAACCTGATCAACTGATGATCACTGGATTTCTTCTGATTGGAGTGGGAGGATATCTGGTTTTCTGGAAATTTGGGAAGACGGGAGCGATTGGAGGGCGACCCGCACCCACGGAAAGCACCGTCCGTGTGGAGACCTCACAGACTGGGATGTTACTCGAGGTGAATCGTAAGCTGGTCAATGTTCTAGCTGCGATACCGGTATTAGTGCGCAAAATGGATGTTATCTCGGGAGAGGGTCACTGGACGGTGTGGACATGTTTAAAACCTGACTTGGCTTCACTGGAGGACTTGAATGATCAGTTACAGACTTCAAGGCAGAGAGGAAAATTATCTCTGCCTGACCCAAACAAAGTCTTGTTATCCGAATCTGACGCCATGGCAGCCTTGTGAATGCCAACAACAAAACCCCCATGAAGGAATGCAGACAGATGCTGTGAAAACCCGACCTACCCCCCCGCCTTCGGATTGGTGGACTTCAGCCTAGCGTGGTAATCAACCTGCAGGTGTCAATGTGCTCTGCGCTCCTCCCAAGATCTCCCTCCCACTTGTGGCTACAGTGGCTGAGCGCCATAGGGCTGCACTTGCTGGGGAAACAGGATCCCAGCCCCCACCCCCACCCCCGCCTTCTTCTCGGTGTCCCATGTTGTGAATTGTTGATGTTCGTGCTTATATGTTTGAGGCGTGTTTTTTTTTTTTGCATAGTAAAGCTACGCCCTGCCGGGAGTAACTCTGGTATGCCTTTTTTTCCCTCCCCCAATTTATCCTCATGTAATCCCCTTTTCATCTAATTAACAGTAGCGCGACTCTTGTTGCGAATGAACACAGTACCAATTCTTCTGTTCTGAAACAATTGCCCCTCGGGGATGATTAAAGTTTTTTTTAATTGATTTGAATTGAACTCTACGCCACGGAAGAGTGTTGAACTGTGTGAGGCAAATGATGGCCACACCAGATACTGAATGGTTTCTGTCACCACCGACCCAGTAAAGCAAAGCTGTGCACATTTCAGAGTGACCTTTTATTGTGGCCAGTCTAGGGCACACCTGAATCATACTTTCTTTCTTTCTTTTATAAAATAGGCAGGCTGGATGCCCAACAGGCGCAAAACCGTCGCACTCAACAAAACAAACGACCCCACCCCCGTGCACTCACAGTGCTGCCACCAACACCCCCCCCTTCCGCACTCACCCCAGTGAACACACACACAACCTTGTAAAAAGACTTACCCCACTACTACCACCCACATTTTTCACCAAGGACATCCCACTACCCACAGCAGACCCAGACCCCCCAACCCCGGGCGAACACGCAGTCCCCCAAACCTCCTCGGGGGACACGTCCTAAATCATGCTGTCTAATCTTGGCAAAGGAGAAGTGCTCACTAACACAGATTTAAGCAGATTTGTGAACAATATTTGTGAGTAACAGGTCTTTTTAGACAATCTTTTAGATCTTTGAGTTCAGCTCAAGAAATTTTGGAGCAAAAAAAACATGTTTTGTTTATCTTAATTTTTATAAAATGTTGAATCCAGGTCATCTTGAGTTCTAAAACGTAATTCAATGTAAAGTTAGAACCACCCACCTTTATGGTAAAAAACTGTAAGTTAGACACACACACACACACACACACACACACACACACACACACACACACACACACACACACACACACTCACCTTGGCCGAGGCTCTTCCAAGTTCATCAATCACAGCAGAGATCTGGACCTGGAGATCCGGTCTATAGCGTTAAACAGAACCAAACAGGATGAATTAAATCTATAAAGTAGGGCTGGGCGATATGAACTAAAATCAATATCACAATATATTAAGGATTTCACCTCGATAACGATAAATGAACGATAACTACAGGTATGCGCAGAGACAAAGGTTGTCCACTAGATGGGGCTGTCACGTGTATTACATTGAGTCACATTTTTACTGTGACTCAAGTTGGTACAGCTTCTTAAAGGGACATGAACATTGCCAACCTACACACGAAAAAAATTATTATCAAATTTATTGACATGGGAAAAATTATCTCGATAAGAGTAACAAATTTCGATAATGATAAATTTTCGATTTATTTCCCAGCCCCACCCTGACCAAACAGGCTTGACATTATATCTATTATTATTTTTCTTTATTAGTACAATTTTTTTTAACCCCATTTGATTACATGCTTGTATGTTTTAATTTCAGGCAGTTTCATTGACTGATTGCATAGTGTAGTATGGTATGGTGTAGTATGGTATGGTGTGGTGCAGTAAGGTACGGTGTGGTGTGGTGTAGTATGGTGTCATATGGCATGGTGTAGTGTGGTGTGGATCTGGGACCTGGAGCGCAATTTTCGAACGAGTACTTGGTCAGTACACCTGAGCATATCGCCTGCTGTAATGGCTGCTTGTCTGCTGCTCCTGTTTTTGTTTCTTATTGTTGTGTTTACAAACTGCTGGATTACCGAATCCAGTACTGTTATCTCATATGACCGACTAACCCTCGTCGATCTCTGGCAGAACCTCGGATCTCTTCAGTTCCACAGTCGTGAGTTTGGAAGGTCTTTTGGCTCGCTGTTTGCTACGGTCCCAGCATTTCTGCTCAGCGCCCTGCGTCCAGTATGGTTCCGAAAGAGGCGCAGCCGACGCGGCAGGCAGGGGGGATGCCGAGCGAAGCTAAGACCTTCACCAAGGTCCTCATCTTTGATAACTATCACTCCTCTGCAACCGGATCCTCAACTCTGTCACTGGCAGGCGGAGTCCATTCAAACTCTCTCGGAAGACCCCCTGAGAGTGATCGCATGAACGGTGGCTTTCGGCAGCGGCGGTTCAGTGGGGCTAACTTGGCCTATCCTAAGGTGATTGGCTCTGGCGTACGCTCTAAACCCGGCTCCAAGATGTCTGCTTCACTCCTCAGGATTGCTCTCATGGATGTCCAATCAATTGGGAATAAAACGGCTTTTCTGAAAGACTATTTCATCATCATCACCATTCATTTCTTAATAAAGCTTATAAAAATATATTTTTTTAAAGTTTGAATTATGGAACACTTTATGCAGGGCGGGCATGAAAAAGACAAATCAGTTCCTCTTTCTTTCTTCTTTTCATTAATTCACAGAATGGACAGTGATGAAGAAGAAAATTAAAAAGCAATTTAGATGATTGCTGTATCATTTTAATTGTGAGTCACACTAAGCAGTTGTAAAGTGAAAATGAAAATGCATTTCTGCTAATGCATTTGAATTTTCTGATTTGACATATAAAATTGAATTTTGTTACACGTTTGCTGGATTATCATTTGAAAATTAAATCGTAAATGTTTTTTCTTTATACTTTTCATGTATGGGGTGCCATGTGTAAAGTCAAACAGTCATAATCTAACAGCAATATTTTTGGTTATTTAGAATATCATAAGAGAAAAAATTGGGAGTTCACTTTTTTGAAATCATATTTTCATCATGTTATTCATACATTTATAAATGTTAAAGTTTCCAAATAAATATTTAGTTAGCAAGCAAAATATTTAATTTGTAGTTAAATATTTATTTTGCAAACTAAATATTTAGGTCTGATCTAAATATTTACTTTGTAAAATAAATATTTAATTCACTCACTAAATATTTAATTTACTAATTAAATATTTATTTGGAACAAAATATTTAATTTGTAAATTAAATATTTATTTTCCGAAATAAATATTTAGATCCCAGCTAAATATTTATTTTGGAGCTAAACATTTAGTTTGCAAAATCAGTATTTGGGAAATAAATATTTAAGTCTGAATCAAAAAATATAAAATATAGTGTGGAGCTAAATAACGTCGTGGAAAATAAATATTTAGCAGGTACTTAAACATTTAGCTAATATGCAAATTCGCTTGCCAATAAGTGGAAGTTGGTTACCAAAATAAAAGCTGGATCTCGCTAACTTCTTTATAAACTCTTGCTCCGAACCAGAACTTGTTTTATCTCCAGTTCTATTCTTCTGAACATATCCGACGTATTGGCTGAAGAAGAATATTTTTGGGTCAGACTTAAATATTTATTTCCCTAATACTGATTTTGCAAACTAAATGTTTAGCTCCAAAATAAATATTTAGCTGGGATCTAAATATTTTTTGGAAAATAAATATTTAATTTACAAATTAAATATTTATTTTCAAACTTAATATTTAATTAGTAAATAAAATATTTAGTTAGTGAATTAAATACTTATTTTACAAACTAAATATTTAGATCAGACCTAAATATTTAGTTTGCTAAATAAATATTTAACTACAAATTAAATATTTAGCTTGCTAACTAAATATTTATTTGGAAACTTTAACATTTATAAATGTATGAATAACATGGTGAAAATATGACTTCGAAAAGTGAACTCCCAATTTTTTCTCTTATGATATGCTAATTAACCAAAAATATAGCTGTTAGATTATGACTGTTTGACTTTACAAATGGCACCCCATATCCATGAAGTAACAGAAAAAGCAATGATGAATAAGACAATTAAAAAGCAGTTTTGAGAAATACTTTTTCATTTTGATTATGAGTCACACTAAGCAGTTGTGTAGTGAATATGAAAAAGCATTTCTTCTAATGCAGTTTAATTTTCAAATAGAATTTTGTTACATTTTAGCTGGAGTGTTATTTGAAAATTAAATCTTAAATGTTTTTTTTCTTTATACTTTTCATTAAGTCACAGAATAAGCAATGATGAGGAAGAAAATTAAAACGCAGTTTGGAAGATTGCTTATTAATTTTATTTATGAGTCATATTTGGCAGTGGTAATATGAAAATGAAATATAATTTCTGCTACTGCATAATAAGATTTTTGTTACACATACGCTTCTACAGAAACTAAGCTAAACCCCAGAAAAGCCTGCGAGGGGTCCCAGTTTGTGCCTGATTAAAATGTAAGGGTGTCCTGTATGTTGGTGATGGAGAAAAACACCGTCCATTTACTCACCTTTCCATAGACCTACGACTTGCAGACAGGTTCTGATCCAAGATGGAGATCCTTTCAGAGAACAGTTGATTAATATCAAAAGGAAAGTCCATGATGATGACCAGACAGCTCGTTGAAGTCAAAGAAACAAGGCGGTTGCTAGCCAGCAACCTAACGGCTACTGCAGTGTCGTTCGGTTTATCGGTGACACACTGGTACTGGTTACAAAACGGAACCTGATGATTACAACATGTCAGCTCCGCACTGACTGTGGGATAGTTAATCGGCACGGAAGCTGCTACAAAAGACAGCTATAATTTATCCATTAGCTCATTATTGTGTCGCTCAAGACACAGTTCACTACTTGACACCACAGACATAAATGAGTTAGACGCCGTGTGGTCGTGAACTGGAGCTGCACCGTCATTTAGAGCTCCCCCGTCAATGTCTCCTACATGTCAAGCTCCGCATTCGCGTCTAAAATTCCGGGCTGCGGAAAAAAGCATCCACAAGCAGCTGATGTCTGCAGCCAGGTCCTACTCGAAAAAAGTCCATGCAAGCTCGCTCACGCACATGACAAGTATATTAATGTCGGTGTTACCAGCACACACTGCTCGCACACACGGAGGCTACAGTAACCGTGAAGGTTCAAAAAGCATATTTCACCAAAGTAGATAGACACTTGGGATGTCTTTTCCATAATGAAGATGCTGCAGGTCAGACTGAGTTGAAGGTTCTGCTCAGTCAGATCACAGTTAACACTTGACTCTGCACCACACTTACACACTGCCATTTGTAAAGTAGTGCATTTTACAAGTGGAAAATAAATTATATTTAACATCTTAACAGCTAAGTGTTTATTACATTGATTTTCTCATAGCAACAAAATGGGCATTAGCATCATTTTCATGGGTTTTCCGGCCTTTCAAAGATTAAATGTTTAGTTTTTACTGTTTTCCGCTAGATGACGTACTTTCTCCACATATGACGGCGAAGACTGAAACTGCATTAAATTTGAACGAATTTGTTATTTTTCTTGTACCTCTAATGCACACTATAAGACACATTTAGCACAAAAACTGTTTTTTATTTTATTTTTATTTTTTTTTTTTTTGCTTTTAATAGATACCGTACAATAATTAGCACTTAGAATTTTTGGTAATTGTGTTCATTATTCTGGTCCATTCTCATTGTTGAAAAAAATATTGGAGCAGATTCAGGATTGAAAAAGATCGGGGCTTAGCCAAGATGAGTGATTTCCTTCTTTTAAACGAAACATTTCAACTTTCACATTTTGACCTTCTTAAAGCATACAAAAAGCACTAAATGACACTTTTGAACCGATATAATGATATAATAAATGTGTTGTTAGCTTCAGTACTATGACAACAAATCCTCTTTAAGAATTTACATTAGGATTTGAGCCATGTTTATACAGTAATCCTCACATTTACATATACTTCCATTAAAAAACACTGAATCAACAGTAGTCACTGAAATGATTAAAAACCCAAAATATAGCATTAAGAAAATATCTTAATTATAATAAGACAAAATAATCAGAATTGAAAAGTTCTATACTGCCATTGTTCAACAACAAGAAGTGCTGTTGGCACAATGAAACTGCGAAGATCCTGGTCCTAATATTTACTCTGGAGTAAAGAAAAACGAAAAAGATGCTGACAAATATTCTGCAGTTCTGAAATAAAAACAACAGCCCACCTAGCTTCAGCACCGTGGACAGCGGACGGCCTAGTTGAGCTGCTCCTCTCCGACCTCCCGAAGCCTCGGAGTCAACAGCGGCAGCCAGTTTTATGGGGTTAGGCCCGTGCCAAAACCCGTCCACATCGCGCGTGTGAACGGGACTCGCGAGTGAAAATATACATGGCGAGAGGCCATTTGTGCACTGAGATGGAGCAAACTGTGTCTGTGAGCGCACAAGGATGTGTACAAGTGACTAACCTGCGTGCGCGCGTTGCCAACGAGAACACGACAGAGGAAAACGTGCACGGGCAGCCTCTCTGCGTGCTTGGTTTCTGACTCCGCTCGCTCGGCTGTTAAGGGGTTTTGGCACTCTGGAGGTGTGGCCTGTGGCAGATCTTCTCTGTCCTCTGATTGGTTAGTTTTGCCCGCACTTTACCCTCTACCTCATTGGCCTGTTGGCTTCCTGTTGGACCAAAATGATGGCAGCTATATAAAAAAATCTGATATTCAGTAGTTGTTGTCATAGCTCAGCTGATAGAGCGGGTGACTCTCCCCCCGCGGAGGATCCAGGTTTGAGTCCGGGCAAGGAAAATAGAGTAGGTGTTATGCTATTTTTTCCTAATTCCTGTGATATTATTTTACAGTTGTGACCGTTCAACTGTCATTAAACGTCCGAATGTTTGCTGGGCAGTGTTTTAAAAAGTGCACATAAGCTAGATGGTTTTAACCATATAAAATTATATTTTTTGTGATACTGGAAAAATACATAGTGAAATAAAACTACTGATTGAAAACGTTATGACTGTGGTTGTACAATATTTGAGTCACTAATACACTGCAAAGGCCCTTAGAGTGGGGCTTCCAGAGAGAGAGAGAGAGAGAGAGAGAGAGAGAGAGAGAGAGAGAGAGAGAGAGAGAGAGAGAGAGAGAGAGAGAGAGAGAGAGAGAGAGAGAGAGAGAGAGAGAGAGAGAGAGAGAGAGAGAGAGAGAGAGAGAGAGAGAATTTGTATTCTGTTAAAGTTGTAATATTACTTCAGCCACTCTTGAGAGGAGACTCCAGGTAAAATAGACTTGTGGGTGTAGGTATGTTCAAGTTTAAAAAGTTCTTGCCTCGTAAATGTATTGTTTATTTTTTTCAGCATTTAATTGACAAATTATCCTTTCAAATAATTAATTGATGAGTTACATAATTGCCCATTTAGAATTGTTGAATGGACTGAGTCAAGTTTGGTGCACTTTATATATTTCAAAACATGTTTTTATTTTATTTTAATGATGCATATAAATAATTTAAATGTTAATTTAATGAAATATTTCTATTTTTTCATTACCTCACTCTTGTTTTGACAAAAACGGGACCTTGCTGGATAATATCATGGAGAAACTATTTGTTCACAGTACTTGGCTCAGTGAGGATCTGTATACCAAAGGAGGAGATACTCAGAAATCTGTCTGCAGTTTGTTACAACCCAGAATGGAAGTGGTGGGCTGTAATAAGAAAAGAGACCAAACAGAGGAGTGGGTGTTCAACAACTGATATATTTAACCAAAGAAAGGATTTACAAGTTAGTGAACAGAAAATGGCCATTGAGGACTCTCCACCACACAGGAGAGACCCAGTGAAAGCAGAAAAACAGTAGGCTTTATAGGCAGCACCACACCCTGAGCCCAGGTGCCTCCAAGGCTGCTTAACGAGCTGCTTACAACAGAAGAAAAACACAATTAAACACCAATGAAAGCCCAATGAGACGGTGGGGGCATCACAACACGTTCAGGACTACCCAAACACCAGTAATTCTTGACTGCACTGATCTGCACTGGCCATATTCTCCTCTCTTCCAGAGTCATATATTTTCCTCAAGTTCAACTGCACTCTGAAGAGGCTCCTCACCCTATCTCTAAGGCTGAGTCCGGCCACCCTACGGAGGAAACTCATTTTGGCCGCTCTGTTCTACAATCTTACTCTGCTGCTGAACTCCTTGTCCTCCTGTGTTTCCCTGGTCTGCAGATTGTTATTATTTCAGACAGAGCAAAATCATACTCTCAATTGTTAAATACAAAATATGCTTTATGTTATAACTTTGCGGGCAAAATCTAAATAAAAGCAACAGTTCTCACTGGCTCTAGATGATGTTGGGTCAGAAAGGGCATTCTGCAACAGGGACACCACATGCCGAGCAGCTTCCTGCAATTCTCCCTGTCATTGTGGGCCCACATGACAAAGTAATATTATCACAAAGGTTTCCCTGCTAAAATTCTAATGAAGGCAAAACTGAAGAGATTTATAAGACAAAACGATACATACGGAGACAATACGTTACGTTAATGGTGGTGAAAAAGGAACGAATTTGTGATAGCACATATAAGGCAATTTTGACAACAACGTTTAAGATAGAACCGAGCTGCCGTGGAGAATTTTAGGTCTAACCTGGACACGTTCGTAAGTCATTTTTTACTTTACCTCTGAATCCTTCGACATCTTGTTTTCTCCTGGCTGAGCTTCTGGCTGAGCTAAAAGGCACGGAGAAAGGTACAAAATATGACCAATCAGAGGACAGAGAAGATCGACCAATGAGGTAGAGGGTAAAGTGCGGGCAAAACTAACCAATCAGAGGACAGAGAAGATCTGCCACAGGCCACGCCTCCAGAGTGCCAAAACCCCGTAACAGCCGAGCGAGCGGAGTCAGAAACCGAGCGAGCAGAGAGGCTGCCGCGCGCGCACGTTTTCCTCTGCCGTGTGCTCTTTGGCAACGTGCGCACGCAGGTTTGTCACTTGTGCACAACCTTGTGCGCTCACAGACACAGTTTGCTCCCTCTCAGTGCACAAATGACCTCTCGCCATGTATATTTTCACTCGCGAGTCCCATTCACACGAGCGATGTGGACCTGTGACGCGGAATTTTGGCACGGGTCTAACCCCATACAGTTTGAAGATTGCAGCCGAAGGGATAAAAAGCTGCAGCTGTCAGAATCTCTGGGGCATCCGTTTAAGGAATTTGTTAGAGTCTGGTTGGTCAGATGTTGCTGCTATAAGTCGGAAACGAGCACGGTCTCACTTTACGATTTCATTATGACTATGTCACATTTCGTGCTCATATACACGCTTATTTCTTTTTTTCGTGCAATAGTCATCGGGTGTTTTGTTTTTATGAATCCAGCCAGAGATCCCTGGCGTGCGACCCTCACTCATTACCTACAGGTAAAGAGTTTTACTGGAATAAAGTCGACAGCTGTTTTCAGGTTTATTTGGTCTCCATCAGACTGAACGTTATGAGCAACAGTCAGAGCAAACTGTGTTTTTAAACGATGTCTGGAAAAGAAAACATAGATGCCAACGAAATAACCACAAGTCTGCAAGTCTCGATCAGAAGGTTTGCTGAGCTGGAAAGCACTCGCTTCAGGAAATCATCCAGCATGCGCTCTTCTACTCCTGCAGCTGCTGTGGCCTGCATCCAGTGTAAACCGGCGGCCTTCGGCAACAGTAACCACGGACAGCGCCACTTCATCAGTGAAGCTGATCAGCACCACGAACAGCTCCCGCCCTGGACATGAGGGTTTTTATGGGATTAGATTTGTGCCAATAGGATCAAGAAAAACACTTTGGAGAGCAAACAAGTTTTAAGACATTGAGAGAAAAAACATTTGTTTCAAAAGAAAAACTTGAGATCTGAATCAGATTCTTAAAATGACCAAGAAAAACACTGGTCAAACAAAAATTAAGAAATTGACAGAACAAAAATATTGACGTCTCTCTGGAACAATAGACCATTGTCCTGAGGCTAGCACAATGGCTTGCTTAGCAGCTAGCTAATGAGCTAATGTCTGGTTAAAACCAACTTAAAAAGTGGCTTAACTTACAGATTAACTAAGAAAAGATAAAATATATTATCAATACTCACTTTAGATCCTCCGTAGACACCACAGACAGCAGAAATAATGTGTTTG